GAAGCATATTTACTGAAGTATGAAGAGGCATTGAATTGGGCAAATGTGGACAATATGTGTGAATAGATTCATGAATCGTTTGCCGCAAAGCAAGGAGTGAGAGTTGTCGTCATCCGTTCAAGGTATGTATCACCCGCCCACAATTACCCCGTATAAACATGCACAGCCCAACGGCGCCGGCCTTGGGGTATTCTCTATATTCATGCAGACTGGAGGCGGTCTGTCGATGGTCAACGAGACGTCAACCTTTCCGAACCAATATACCCCAATAAAACAAGATAGAAAAGAAAAACAAAAGTCAGATCTTCTCCAATTAAATAATCTAGCTACTGAACGGAAGCCTGGAAAGTGGGAAATAAAAAAAAATCAGAATCAAAAGAAATAAGAAAAAAACAAACCCAAGAAAATAAAGGAAAAATTGGGAGGAGAGAAGAGGGAAGAAACAGCACACGAAAAAAAAAGGCGAAAGGGGGGTTTCATGCATTATGTCTCACAACTGCGCCGGACCTTGGCCCTTTCCCAAAAAAAAAAAAAAAAAAAAATGAAATAATGATGCTTTCCACAATGCACCGCAGAAAGAGAGCAGACAATAGGAGCTAGTAATCCAGGAAGATAAACAGAGATGTAAGAACTGTGAACAGAGATAAAAAATAGAAGCAGGATGTATATGTATGTAGTAATCATTTTTGATGTGTTCTTTTGCATTTTCTTTTTTCCAAATTCAAAACCATGATCCAAAATGCGAACACACAAGATGAGCCAGAGAAAAAAACTCCTATCTTTTCTGCTTTGATGTTGTGCAATGAAAAAAAAGAAAAAAAAAATCAACAAAATGAAGATATTATCGGCAGATAGAAGAGAGCCAATCAGAACGGGAGAACAGGCTGCGTATAAAAGTCGAGACATATCCGCTAGGTCGAGAGTATGATGATTGCTTTCGTAGGCGTGGAGAGAAAAAACGTCAACGGCGTCCCAGACGTCCGGACAATAGAAACATGGAGCAAAAGGCGGCCGTATGCAAGAAAAGAAGGAAGGAAGGAAAAGGGGGGGTTAGAGACAGCAAAAGCTCCGAAATTCTGGCGGTTTGAAGCTCAATCTTTCCAATCCCAAACCTGCTTCAAGAAATGCGCCATGTTGACTTTCTTATTTTTCATTTCGACCATCCACGGATGTTCCAGCATCCGCCAAGGCGTTGCTCTCCGGGGGGGTTCTTTCTCCAAGCTAAGAAAAAACGCGCAATTAGCATCTGCACCGAAGATGAAGTAGACTTGATAGAGACAATGACCACTCACCAGCATTCAATAAAGTACTTGAAATTATCACTCCAATAGATGCCATTCTGCGGCTCATCTTTCAGCTTCGGAATGGGCTGGCGCACGATATACGTCAGGAGGTCGATCAGGCCGGCTCGCGGCTGCATCACGGTTCCGTCTGCTGGGAAGGGGAAGCGGTGTTGAGCAGTCTCGAGCAGGGTGACGCCCAGAGACCAGACGTCGGAGGTGATGGTGTAGGACTGGCCCGTGATCCGCTCGGGGGCCATGTAGTACGACGTGCCAATGAAGGTGTTCGCGTCGCCCTTGGTTCCGAATTCGCCGCTGACGCCGAAATCGCAGAGCTTGACTTGTCCGGTTCGGCAGAGGAGGATATTGGATGGTTTGATATCTGTATGAAGCATTAGTATGGCCGTAGTACCCACCACAGTAGCAGCGAGAAGGAGAGCATATACCTCTGTGGATAATTTTACGGCCATGCAAATACGTCAAGCCATTTAATACACCCTCGGCAACCTTGCCCAGCACTTTTTCGCCCGTTCGACCACCCAGTTTCTTGACCTCTTTATAAACACTGTCAAGACTGCCGCCCTCGCAAAACTCCATGGCAATTGATATCGTGCTTGAAGACCGATCCATAAACGCCCCATAATATCGACAAATATGCTCCGAAGCGCAGTCTTTATTGAAATTAAGCTCGCGAAATATCTGTTTTTTGACATCAGGATTGGGATCCGTAGTAATGACCTAAACGGGGGGAAGTCAGCAAAACAAGTGGCGTTGCAACAAAACGGGACGCGCACCTTTAAAGCAAAAACCGTCTTTCCGCCCTTCAGCACACAGCGGGTGACGGCACCACCGGCTCCTTCACCCAGACTGTCGAGCTCCACGATCTTGCCCTGCTCGCTGGCAGCGGTCCATTTTTCATCATCCAGGTCCTCCACATCCAGCGGGCGGCCCAGCCCCTGGCTCAGCTGGTCCAGATCCGGTAAGATGCCGTTCATGCTATTGTCCCGTTCCATGGATATGCCGCCGTCGCGGTCAGAGTAGACGGAGCTGATGGCGGACGAGGGATCGCGGGTGTTGCCGAGCGGATCGCGCATGCCCATGGCGAACGAGAGGGTGGAAAACGACGAGGAGGCGGCGGAGGCCGGCCCGCTGTTCTTGCCATCGTGGGTGGTGGTGGTGAAACTGCCGGAGCGAGAATGCGTGGTGAGGTCGTTGGCGGAGGCATTGTGGTAGGGCTGCTGCATGGGCCGGCCGTTGTAGTAGGCGGCGTCTTCGTGCGGGATGGTGCCGCGGCTGCCCATGGGGGTCGCGATTCGCAGCTCGGGCGGCAAGCGGCGGGCGGGGAGGGGCTGGGCTTGGGGGTCCTCTGGCTGCGCGGCGGCGACCTGGTTGACGGGGCGGGCATTCGGCGAGGGCGGGATGCCGACGGTGAGCTTGGGGGGTCTGCGGTTGCCCGGCGTGGGGATCTTGAGTAGGGGGGCGGGCGAGGTCATTTTCTGGCGACGGGGGCGGTCCGTGGACGCGCTGCAACGGAGAAGCGACAGGCGACGTAGGGGGAAGAAGGTGTTGTTGTGGGCGAGGGAGAAAAAAAGGATGACGATTCGATCAGCGGATCTGAAACTTCACGACTGCAACCCCCACCAATGGCGGCAAGCCGAAGTGTAGGATTCGACGATGCCGGGCACGAAACGCGGTTGGGTCGAGCGAAGACAGGCAGGCGGGTAGGCGGGTAGGCAGCGAGGCGAGCAGCGCAGGACGACGAAAGGGATAGGAAGAGAATGAGATCAGGGAGCGGCAGTTCAAAGAGCAGGACGAGGCAGTTCACTAGTTAAAAGAAGACGACGACCAGAAGCGCCGACAGCCAGCAAACACGTCGTCGGCCGCCCAGACCCAGCGCGAGCGATTGGCAAACCGGCCGAAGCTACACAGGCGCGCCACGAACGGGTTCGCCGAGACGCACTCAGCAACGACGGGCGGGCGCAGCAGCAGTAGTATCAGTATCAGTATCAGTATCAGTACGGGCAGAGCAGAGCAGAGCAGAGCCGGGCGGAGAGAGCGTGGGAAGAGGGAACAGCAACAGCAGCAGCGGTTAGTTATAAGGAGCGAAGGGGGGCGCTTCGCAGCAGAAACGCCAATAGTCAATGCGCGGCGGGTGGGCCGTGGGCTGGCTTGGTTAGTTAGTTAGTGAGTTAGCTTGCTGGTCGGGGGCGGCGGGCGGCGGTGAAGCGCCGACAGCAGGAAGTAGACAGCAGTATTGGAGTAGTAGAGAGCTGGGGATCGGGTAGCAAGACAGACAGACTGGCAGACTGACTGACAGAGAAGATGCCGTTGTCGACAGAGGCTGGCGTGAAGCTTGATGTCATCGTCGCGCAGGCTGGTATAAATAAATAACAAGACGACGCAAAGGAAGACAGGAAGAGGAGAGACATACATACATCCATCCCTCCATCCTCCATCCCTCCAGCCTCCAGCCCAGCCGCGCTGCGTCCGTCTCTGGCTCGCTCGCTCGCTCGCCCGCACGGTCTCGTTGGGGGCCGCCGCTGAGGGCGCAATGGGGTCCAGCCTCGGGCCCGCGCAGCAGCAGCAGCAGCTTCGTCACGACTGAAGACTTACCCGTTCGCTGTCCGTGTGTCTGGCTGGCAGTCAGCCTGTCTGTCTGTCTCGCTGTCGGTCTGGCAGCCTTTGCCAGAGAGCCGCGAGGGGCCGTAAAGGCGCAGCCCCCTCCCGCCCCGCCGCCCGCCCGCAACTCTCGCGCAGGGCTAAACTTAGCAACAAGAACAAGACCAGCGCAGGCACCGCAGATACGAAGCACCACCACCACCACCGCCGCCGCCGCCGCCGCCGCCGTTTCCAACTTAAGTCCTGCCCGTCAAGCACCAGCTACAGCCAAGCAAAGCAAAAGCAAAGCAAGCAAGCAAGCAAGCAAGACGCCGTTCGCCAGTCAGCGCCCCTCCAACCTGGACAGCCCCCCACTCCCTCTCACTCTCTCTCTCTCTCCCTGCGCGCATCACCCGCGACAAGAATAGATCTGCTGCACATGCCAGGCCGCAGTCCGTGTGCGCCTGGCCCCTCCCATCCCTCCCTCTCTCGCTCGCTTGCTCAGATACGACTATTCTCCAGACCCAGACAAAAACTAACTACTTCCCTAACCCACTGCTGATCTCCGGCATTCCTCGTTTCCTCGCCTAGCCCTGCCTGCTGCCGGCCCGGACAATGCTGCAGGAACAGCCTGTCCTCTCCACGTCGGGCAAAAAAAAACGGGGGTGGAAAGGGCCGCGCGCCCCCCCCCCCCCATGCCCCCGTAACCTGTGCCCTGTCTCGTCGTGTATCTGCGCGCTCGACAGCTTATCGTGCATGGCCAACCTGGGCAGCGCCCTCGCCTGAAGATCACCCGTCATTGTGTGCGTGTGTGTGTGTGAGTGTCCGGCTCGCCTGTTTTGAAACTGCATGGGAGGGAGAAGAGAAGAAGGGGCCGGATGATAAGGCTGGCTGGCTGCCCCCATAAATACAAGCTAACCACCCGACCGCGACCGATTGCTGTTTGAAGTAATTTCTGTCGGCCCTGGCTCCGCATCGCAGCCCATCGTCGATCTGGAGGAGGAGCGGCCGATCTGTCGGAATGGCTTCGTCGAGAGTACTTGTACCACGGCTCCCCCACGACATGACAACGGCCAGGTAAGTCAGGTCAACCCGCTCTCCTGCTCCCCTCGCAGCCCGTTGTGGCCCGCCCGCCCGGCAGCCCGTCCAAGCGTGCCTAGATCCAGGGTGCCTGGCAGCCGTCACACACTGACCACCTTGCTCCTGCATTGCCTGACTCGTGGCCCAGCGCTGCCTGTGAGTTACTCCGGAGTATTCACGCCGTGAGTCCGTGCCCGCGACGTCAGACCCCGTGATTTATGCAAACAAAACAAACGCATTACCCAGTATGCCCCCTCTGCCCTGCCAAGACGCCCTACCGTGCCTGCCCCAAATACCCCCTCCACGCCCTATTACCCGCCAGAGGACGACGAGCGTCTCCGCGGACCCTGCCCCAGTAGTACTACTAGTAGTAGTAGTGTGGCCGACACAACCGTGGCGTCACCGTGTCCGCGCCGGGCCCGGCTCGCGGCGCTCAGCGATCGGACGATTCACACGCTCGCCATTTGCAACCCAATCGGGCGTGCGCCCGCGGGCCGGGAAGAACCGGGGCGGACTTAGCGCCGCGTGCCTGACCCGGCCCGCCGTTTTTTTGTACGCCTGCAGAGACGGGGGGTATGTGTGTGTCGACAGCGACCAAGACACCGACACTGCTGGTTAGTTCGTAGAGAACTAACCGCTGCTTCATCCTGGATCTCCTGTCTGTATAAACTCGATTCAGCGCGGGGCCAATCGCCGCGCGCCTTTTTCAAAGCACCCGCCACCAGCCAAGCTCGTCCTCCGCCCCGGCAATAACTTAATCCCTGGCAGCTCGCTCAAACTACGAATACCTGGCGTGCTCGACCAAGGCATTGTTCCCCTAACTAACTAACTGCTGGCAAATGGCCGTGCGCGCAATGATAATATTACCGCGCTGTTTGGCTTCGGCAGTGGGCCCACTATGGCTTAAGGGCCTTGCCCGGCCCTACCCCCCCGTTCTCTCGCGTGCTGTCTCGCCGGCAAGCTTTTCTCCCGCCTGGCGGAGCGGCTCTCTCTCTCTGGAGTTGATCTCCGCGGAGCCCCAGGCTGGTTTTTTTGCCTTTGTTCCCTTCACTTCCTCCCTTTTTTTTTTTTCGGCGTCAGCTGGGTCGTTTCGGGATGTTACGAGACGTCCTCCCGTTCGCTCCGCCCGCCGCCGCACGGCAAATTCAGGCACAAGAAACCTGTGCGCGCCTCTCCGCGGGGGGGCTGTAGTTAGCTAACTAGCTAGCTATGACGTGGCGTGTTCCCCCTTGCGCTCGTGTAGTAGTAGTATATAAACGCCTGCGTGGAGGTCGGATGCCTGGGCTTTTCTGTCTTCCAATCCTTCCATCACCAACAGCTTGCCCTCACACACAGCGCAAATCTCTATAATTACACAATCGTCTTCAAGTACTGACAGACTTCTATCCCTTGTGTGCGCCTGAGCATATGTTCTCCTTCTTCTCCTCCAAGCCGCAACCCACCCCCACCACCCCCGCCCCCGCTCCCGCTGCCACCGCCGCCAACATGACCGCCCCCGAGCGCCCTCCCATTCAGCACATCGAGGAGTCCTCCCTCCAAGACGTCGCCGGGCGCGTGGCCTACCTGAAAGCCTTCCTGCACTTCACCGACGACGACGGCGCGGCGCTGAACGCCGCCACCCCCATACTCGCGCCCGCCATCCCCGCGGTGCTCGACACCATCTACACGAACCTGATCTCATTCGACGTGACAGCCAAGGCGTTCATGCCGCGACAGCCCGAGCAGGACGAGCACGACCCGGCGGCGGCGACGCTCGAGCAGCTGTCGCTCACGCACCCCAACATCCTGCACCGCAAGGACTTCCTCAAGCTGTACCTGGTCAAGCTGGTCAGCAACACCGACTGGTCGGCCGGCAGCAAGTTCTGGGAGTACCTCGACAAGGTCGGGCTGATGCACACGGGCGAGCCGGGCTTCAAGCACCGCGCGCGCCGCCCGCAGCTGCGCGTCGAGCTGATGCACTGCAGCGCGCTGCTGGGCTTTGTCGAGGATATCGTCGTGACCGCCGTGCTGGGCGCCGAGGAGATCGATCTGCCCACCAAGACCAAGGTGATCCGCGCGTTTAATAAGTTGCTCTGGATCCAGAATGATCTGTTCCTCAAGCATTATACGCCCGAGCCGTGGAGCGCGCAGAAAGAGGCTGCGGAGTAAATCGACTGTACGAAAAACAATAATAAATAAACGACTTGAGATGACAGACGGGCGAATACCACTACTCTGGAGTTCCGGCTGCTACGGGTGATATGCTTCTTTTGTTCTTGCTGTGTTTCCGTGTCTATTCCTTTTTTTCTGTCTGGTTGTCAGCGGCCGGAGTTCAGTCGGAGCTTGGTGGAGAGCCGAGTTAGTTAGTTAGTTAGATCTCCGGTGGAAAACAAAAAACACAACGCTCTGTTGACGCGATAAACGCGATTTAGAGTTGAGTTCTGTAGTTAGTCTTAGTTGGCGAGTTAGTTAGCTTAATGACTTCAATCGTCAAGTCCTTTCTTCTAAACAGACCTTACTTCCCCAATCCCTCAAAAAAAACCCCGATAGCTACTCCCCTAAGCGCCATTATTAGCCAGCCCTCCACAGCCGCCCTCACCGGGCATCTAACCGGCTAACTAGCCGCGCCACCCGCCAGACCCGGGATCCCCCTCGGCGCGACGCCGTGGCACATCGATCCAGCTCTCCGGAGCCGCCCGTTTTCCCATCGGCTGCACGTCACTTGTTGCAGCTCCCGTTCCTGGCGAGCACTAGCCAACGCCTGCGTCGTTGATTGTTTGCGCCAGTCGACTCAGCCGGTAGTTAGTTAACTACCTCGTGGTACTGGTGGTCGTGGTGGTGGTGGTGGGAACAGCCACCCATAGTCGCGATTGGTATCAGGTGGCAGCGGCGGCGTCATAGGTTAACTAGTCACCACCCGCAGCGCTGCTGAGACAAATGCGCTGCCGGCACCGGCATGCGAGTTGGGTAGCGAGGGCGATCAGGGCCCAGTGTACTCCGGACAGATGTGTTTTTTTTTTCCCCCAACAAAAAGCCACATCTGTCGTATAGCAGAGAAGACCAATTCGGATCAGACCAGCTGACACGGCAGGGGAAAAAGAAACACGTTGCGATGCTCAGGTGGGTGGCAAAGAGCGATAACGACCGACGCTACCAGGAATGGACTGCTGGCTATTCTAGTTAGCCTCCAACAGCGGCCAGCAATGTTGAGTCATAGTCAGGCCCCAAAACCCCGGAAATTACTGCAGATGATGTGTTCGTACTTTACTCCATTCGTTCATGCATCGTCTCAGCTTCGCCACGCCGGAGCATTTCCCATTATCTGCTTTGCCGTGAAACGAGCCAATCTTGTTCCTGAAGAAAAAAAAAAAACAAACAAACATGGGTCCGACCCGTCCGAGAGACCCTGTCTGGATGAGGAAAAGCGTTGAATAAAATGTGTTGGCTCTGATCATCCAAGCCGCACAGCATGCAGCTCTGCCCGACACGTTGCAGGGCCGCAGTGGGCCGGGAAAGCACCGGCAAAACCTGTCAGGCCCGTAGTTAGTCAGTGTGCGCCGCGGCGGCCGAGAGAGAGGGGGAAGTCGGCTCCAAGCAGCCACACGGCTATCAAAGCAACCACGCGAATGGACGCCTGAATCTGCGCACCGTCCAGAACGACAGGTGTTGAGAAACATTCTTACGTCAGTGGTGCCTCGCTCACCGCCTCGAGTCCAACGGGATTTCGGGTTTGCGTTGCGGCCCTGGAAGGGGGGAGATGCTTTCGGAAGCGCATTACAGACTGGCCTGGATTACAACTGACAGGAACACCTAGTGACAAGTGACTACTATTTGCTTTTGGTCCAAAAAAAGAATTGACGGTGTGGCTTGAGAAGAGTCTAGAGTTGTTTCCCTAGCCTCCTACAGAGACTCTGACTTACATGTTTTGATTGATAACTACTTTTGATATGATTGCAGGGCAGCCACCTCATTGGGTAGTTTGAATATTCTGGACCCTTGAAACAAAACACATCCTTGCATGCATAATAGATGACGCATTAAGTTCAAACTATTGTCTTTGTGTTACTGCTGCTAAATTATCTGAAGAACTGAGACAAAATTCAAAAACAAGAAAAAAAAAAAGAAAGAAAGATAGAGAGAGAGACAGAAAGACAGAGAGATAAGAGCCATTCTAAGCCAAATTCGCCGGCGTCATTGTCTTGAACAGCCCAGGGGTGTCGGTACCCTACTTCTTAAGATGCATAGACTCGATATGCTTCTTCATATTGTCTTTCCTGTTGAAGACGCTGCGACATTCCGGGATTGGGCATACAAAGGACTTGGGAGAAACATGAAGATGTTCAATGTGCCGACCGACATCTGCCGGCCGCTGGAACGTTCCTGTGTATTGGCAGGCCATCCATTTGCATCGATATTCCGCGGAGCCACGGGGTCCTCTGTTCCCAATAGATGATTAATAAAAGTAGAGTCATGTCAAGGTTGAACATACCCTAGCTGGCTCGGAGCAGCCGCTTCCTTAACATGAATGCCTTTAATGTGACGCATCAAATCCGTCTTATTCTGGAAATTCACCATACACCCCTCCCACAGGCAGGGATAAAAATCTAGCGATTCGGTAAGGCTAAAGTCACCGATAAAACCATCTCCTCCCTAAAATCGATCAATATAGTGTCAGCTTTTGGGACAGAAAGTAGGAAGTGGAGGATAGTATGTACGTTGATATTGGCAAATAGATGGGAGTTGAAATCCATTATAGCCAAGTAACTGTGAGGGTATAAATGAATAAGAGTGGAGATACCAAATAGTATTTACTTGCAGGACAAGTGATATTGTAGCTGTAGAAAGCTACTGAAGAAGATAGACTCGAGTTCCAGTAGAAGCTAGATTCCGTGTAGAGCATGGAGAAGGGAAACCATGGCGGAGGCCTGGTTAAATAGGGTTGAGCGAGGCAGTCTCAACATTCAAGAGACGTCCTGCTGATAGGGGTCTTCTCTGCGAGAGGGCGTATAGGCGCTGAGGCGACGCCTACACGCCTATTGCCCTGGCCAAGAGGAGGGAAAACAGAACACCGAATACATAACGATTGATTGGGCGGTAACAAGGACTCTTGACGAGGCCACACAGAAGGGATGATCAGAGCCCTCAGAGCAAAACCCGCCCAAGAATACACTAGTTATCCATCGGAACTTACATATGCAGACGTCAGGTGTGCGCTGATGGCCCTGAGCCCGGTCGATTTTAACCAATTAGTGAGTTGGCTTCCCCAAGTATCACCTCCCATTCGTTATTCTTCCGCTTCACAATTTATCGGCGTGGAGATATGGTTGAGATTTCTGAGGGCAACAGCCAGGTCCAGATCTCAGGGAGATCGCCTTGCATGTTGAGCGGTGCAGGGGTACAACAGGAACATGTTTTTCCGGCCCTTTCACACGCAACATGGTCAGCCAGTGCCTCGACTCTGAAACCCGTTTTGGAAGGGCCATCCTCAAGTCACAAGCATCTTCGTGCTTCCCCCGAGGGCGCGGTGTGCGGATTAATTCACCCGAGTGGAAAAGTATAAACCGATGGTGTTGTCACCAAATGAAGGAAGCAGAAAAAAAAATCACCTCTCGAGCAGCCCTAGCTTGTGGCGTACATCCCTGTCGGAAGTCGAAGCTGCTCCGACTCTCTAGTAGTTATTAGCACAACAAGCGTTTTAGCCCGTATTCGTCGATGGACAACAAGGGACCTCCCCATGCCATTGAATTCCATGAAATCCCTATAGCATGGAGTGAAATAGGTCGTTTTGTCTTGGATACTAACTGCGATGTTTTGGGGAAATGATTGTCTCGCGTTTCTCTCAAGTCGTGTTTAACCCCCAGTGTCTTCAGGACCCAAAATACGAGCCACGATATTTAAAAGGCTGTGTTTGTTCAGTAACTAGCTCAAGACGACGACTTGTCCAATGGAGGAGCTTTTCCAGACGCCTCAACAGGCTACGTTAGCCGTCGATCTCACCACCCGCCCACTCGTTCTCCGTTGTGGGCCTTGATCATCTCAGAGGCTAGGCTGCAAACTCGCGTCAAATTCCGGATGGCTCCACCGCGCCCTAATAATTATAAGAGCGCCAGGCCATGAGGCCAATCTTGATACCACGCCCACTGTATTCATCTGTAATAGCTCCAGCTATTCACCGCACGGTATCTCCTTATCATCGTGCGAGGCAACTGGGGAGGCGCTGTGGAGGGCGCATCTGGTAAAGATACAGCAAAGAGTATCTGGGGCTCATTCAGAAGATTGAAGATTCTGTTCCATGGCCCAAACACCGAAATAACTGATCGGCGCGTGCCTTATAAGGCAAGACTAGGGCGTGGACACTGTACGCATATTCAATTGCGTATTTTTAGCCACAATTAAGCCCTTATCAAGTTGTTGCACGGATCAATTGCCCATCATGAATGGCTGAAAGTTGCATAGCGAAAATTGCCCAACGTGCTGTATTCCTTTTTCTTGTTTTCAATGGCTAACAATTTAATCACTGACTAAGCGGGAGTGGCGAGTGTCCCATCATGACATATCTTCGTTGGAAGTATGTCCCATTTGAGGCGAGCGGTATAGAAAAGTCTTTTCTTTCCAGACAGCGAGAAGACGGCTCCCACGGCTACTTTCCAAGATGAGATGCAGTATAACATCATCAGCTGTTAGTTATCCGGTACTGACTCTGCTCCGTCAACAATTGGGCTTTATTTCTCAAGTCCACACTTTCACACCACTGGAACTCCGAACATGCATACCCCTTTGTCAGGAGATGTCTATAATCCGGATGTTCCAAGATTTCTTATGATTCAAATGAGGAGAGAAGGCATGCGTGTGCAGTCGGCAGCCGGCAGCTTAACGCTTTGGAAACGCGACTGTATTCTTTATCCAGGAGAGAGAAGGCTGATAAAGCAGACGTGGACTGCCATGGTGAATACTCGACGAACCAACCAACAATCATGGTATTTTGCATCACAGGCAGAGGAGCAGGATCTGGCTTCACGAGAGAAAGGGGGTGTCAGGAGTCCAATCAGATGCAAAATGGAGGTAACTACCTGCTCGGCCACAGAAAGGCAGCAATGATCAGTGTTATTTGTTCAATCCTCTTCCACATGAAGATTGCTACACCAGCATCCTTACTAGAACAGCTTCGGGCCAGCAATCGCGGTTCATCGATCGGTTTAGGGTGTAAGACCAGTGTTCAGTTGCATCCCTGCATAATCCCTAACAAGCGCTTTAAACGAACCATAGCATGTCGTTTGCAGGTCTGTTACACGCGACGGTTGTGGCGATTCGGTTGCCAAGTAGCGGTCAAGTAGTTGACTTGGGTGGCTTGTTTCAGACAATTTTGCTTGGAGAATTGACAGATGTCGCTTCTTTTTCTGTGTGAACCTAGAGTGTGGGTCGTTTATGATCCCTGACAACAGATGGGGAATACTTGGGATGCTTATATGATTGGAATAACTAATTATGCAAAGCCACATATGTAGAGAAACGTGTTTCTGTGGAATACTCTAAACTACTTGGATTATTATGTATCTGTCTGCACAACGGCCTGTCACATAAGGCTCAAAATTCCGAAAATGTCCTTGCACAACACTCTGGCAATCCATACACATCAACACCCCACAAAGATACCTTTACTTCGCATGCCAACCACAAAAAGAAGCAGGGCAAGTTGCATTTTACATTAACACACTTATTGTCATCGTCCTCAACCGTCAATTTTAGGGAACTGGAAATCAACAGTCCACACCCTTTAGTTCGCAACTCAACCTGCATTGTGGCAGAACCACTTGTAGGCGCCGACGCATCCGAGAGCCCAACATGGGCATGATGTGTAACTCGGATCGTTGAATTTATAGATTGTCAAAAGTTTTTAGGCGCCGTAGCTAGTGTGTTGCCTGCCACGTGTAAACAGGGGGGAGGAGGTTGCGATCCTTTAGAAGGGCGTTTTGAGGTCTAAATAAGATCAGAAAAACCGTTCGCCATTCTAATTGCAGCATACCTGTTGCACCTGAGTTGCCGCATGCAAGTGTCAGGTCTGTACCATTTGGTACTATTGTTAAATATTAGAACCATGCCAGATGACTATTGACCCAGCCTGTGCATTGTGCTGCATCAGGGTTTAAATACGGTCTGAATCATAAATTAGGAACTTCGAGCAGGCAATCATCCCCAACGGGCAAAACAACAGACCTCTGTCCATACTGGACCGCGTTTCATATCATCAATAGTAGGTTGTGACTTGACAACCTCTCCATTATAAAGCCAGGTGGTAACACCCTTGGCGGATCCAGCCAGTTCACCGTTTTCATAAAGCTGTATGAGCCTGGTGAGGTTGGCTTTCTGAAACTGCCAGTGGTCATCTGAGAGCAGCTGCCTGAGTCTGTTAATCCGTCTCTGCGGGTCTGGTGCATATGGGATATGACTAGAGAATTTGGGCTGGGGGTTCGCCATGATGTAGAAAGATGATTCTGTTCTGCTCTGGAAGTTGGGATTAGCAGGGGGTCTCTGAAGGTGTTATTGAGGTGGTGGACTCACAATCCCTTTTCTGGGTTTATAAGTTGTTGAAAGCTATCAAAGAGTGAATAGGGGCAGAGCAATGAATACAAAGGAGGGCTGAACAGAACAGTGATGGAATATTAAAAGAAGGGAGGGTGTTTGCAGGTTGTATTGATGGAAGTGAGGTTGGTCCTCGAGTGAAAGCGAGTGGTTTGGGGCAGCGAGAGGTTCATAATCAAGAGGGAGCGCGGAGTGTGTCCGAAATCTGCGGTGTCGGTCCATGATAATAAATACGGCGTGACGCGTACTTCCGATCAGCATCTGAAACGCCTTTGTTGGCTGGTTACATAAGCACAGCCGATCCTGGCTGCTGGAAACCAGGGAACGTTATTATTCACATCGCACAGGAACACGGAAGCCCTGAGAACGAGAAACAATTCTGGGTTATTATCATTTTTTGTCTCCGTGGGCGGAGCGTTTCTCGATGCTATCCACTCAGCAGACATGCCTAGGCCGCACGTTTCATCCGCGAGGGATATTGCCGGCCCCGCGCAAGGACAAGGGCACCGGGAAAACTACACCTCCACAAGGGGATCAAAGGCGAGAATGACTTGTTGGCCGGGGCCAGGCGCCAATAATGCATAGCCCTCACAGATGCCAATATCGAAGCAACAAATAAAAAGAGAATACGGGGTGTCATTGGCCGCAGCCGACGCAAAGATCCTGTCTTCTGGCCTGCCAATCAAGACAAGAAAACGGGGTTCCTGCAGGTGCGATCGTGGTGCCAATTATTATTATACTTAACTGCAAGAAGCTTGTCGCAGCCAGCGGCTGCGGCCGTGGAACTCGAAATATCGCGGTCTCCGACGTTGTGTCAATTCAATAGTCCGCTCCGGTCGCAGATCGGCGGTGATACGAGGGCCAGGAGACTGCGTCAACAATTAAACCTGATGACGCTGAGACGGCTTGCTGGCCGAACACTACTGTTGGCACTTGGGTTTTTTGTTTTTTGGCGCAGAGGTAACTAAATGCCGCAGCGGCTGGAGGCCTGGTGTTTTGAACCGCGAGCATCAACGGGCGAACTCTGGTGAGCTTAGCGGCGCAACTGGCTCCACCGCGACTGGCTGTGGCGGCGAATCATCGCACACAAGCACCGCCGCCGGGCAGGGGCCCCCTGAGCGATGCGCGGGACGGCGGGTTTGTTTGTGCGGTGGCGCCCCAAAACAGCCCCCCGGCGTTCCAGGGGCCCCTCACTCCAGGCATGCCGACCGCCGGTCCCCCGTCTCTATACCCCCTCTTCCCGAGTAATGCCCCTTATTGGGTCAGGGGCATGATCTCCTGTGCAATCTCCCCTCTGCTACAAAAGTTGCTGGCCGTCCCCATGGCGTTTATGTTTCCTCTTCTCTTCTCCATCAGCCACTACTATACCGATCTTCCCAAGCAACCGCTTGCTGTCTCTCCTTTTCGACTTCGGTCGCCCACATTCTTTTAATATCAGACTAATACTGTACATTTTCATTCTTTCAACGACACCCACCAATTTTTAACGCCCATTTCTATATAATCCAAGTCAAAATGCGTTTCACTGCTACTTCTGTTGCCCTCTTCGCTGGCGCTGCGCTCGCCATTCCCGCCTACGAGTATGACCAGACTATCTACTCTACCCGCGAGGTCACTATCACTTCTTGTGGCCCTGAAGTCACCGACTGCCCTGGCAAGCACCCCAGCCAGACTGGCCTCCCCACTCCTCCCGTCTCGGCTCCAGTCTCTACTGGCACTGGTGTCGGCCCAGGAAAGCCGAGCGAGACCTCTTACTCTACTGAGTACATCACCGTGACCGACTGTGGACCAGAGGTCAGCGACTGCCCATCTCACTCCACCCGCACCCACATCTCCATTGGCACTGTTATCCCAACTGGTCTTCCCAGCGGTGTCCCATCTCCCAGCAGCAGCGGCAACCCCATCAAGAGCGAGAACCCACCTTACCCAACTGGTGGCAATCCCGGCCCAAGCACCTCCGTGGTCACCTACACCACCTGCATTCCCACTGAGATGACCTCCATCGTTACTCTCTGGCCCACTCCCGCTCCATCCGGCACTCAACCCGGCCAGCCCGGCCAACCTGGATCCACCTGGGTTCCTTCTGGCACCGTCCCCGGAGCTCCCAGCGGCACTGGCGTCCCCCCTCAGCCGTCCTCTACGTAAGTTCACTTATGAATGCTCTTGCTTCGGAACAATAAACTGACAGAACCAATTAGTGGCCCCCCAATCTTTGAGGGTGCTGCCAACACCTTCAGCGGCTCTTTCTTCGCTGTAGGTGTTGCTGCTGTCGTTGCTGTTCTTTTCGCATAGATATCTTCTCCATTGATGATACCCACGATCTGCCCCTTTAATACCCCTGTCGTCATGCTTGTAGAATCAGGACGTTAGGCGTGCTATTGGAGCGTTCAATTTGGGCTTTCTCTCTAAGGCAGGACGGGCCGGGCAGGGTAGAGCAGAACGATGGATACCCTCGGCGTCGGTGGTGGCTAAGATCTCGAGGATACTTTTGCCATCATTTTCTCCTCGTGGCAATGGATTGCTGATTAGGACATATGTTTCCTCCTATTTGTGGATATTTGTATTTCTCAAAAGACAATATTTCGCCCTTACTCACCTAGAAACGGTGGCTTCCTCCAATGCCTCTTTTTTAACTTCATTTCCGGTTGATGTGTTTCTCAACAATGGCGCCTATTTTTCTGTAAACGGTGGAGTTTAGTTAAATGAACACCCCCACAGACACTATACCTAAATAGACAATATGCTAGCCTAATTAAGTGTGATCCACTCCCGTTTCCTTCCAAATTTTCATTCAGGCACAGACTCTGTTTCATACATTGGCTCCGGAGTTGCATGGTGTAAAGTTAAGATGGTGGGTGGTTGAGAGGGACAGTAGTCCTTGTTTGCCATAGCCTAAGTAAGGTGGATAACTATCCGGTTCTATGGAGATGAGAACTATCATGACAGCCTCCAGCTTTCTATTCATCTATCAATCCAACATGACAAAATGCTCAGATCATACTCCTGCCTTGACCGGGAAAGGCCATATGGCTCTGGCCTCTTCTGAAGATTTCTCCCCAGCAACGGTTTGAATGTACATACTCAACAATTTTTCATTCTGCATCCTCTTTTCATTCACATCCAATCCCGGTGCGACCCATCCTTCGGCATCAGTGTCAAGGCATTCTCGCGCAAGAGCCTGAATCTTATACCAACCTTGATACTCAGAGAATTGGCGATCGTGCGTATCGACCTGCTCCTGCGTAAAGGATAAAGGGCATTCTACAGAAAACCCAAGGTCCGACCAATTCTGAAAGAGTTCTATCAAGCATGCACGAAGCGGGAGAACGCCAATTTCGGAGACTTCTCCGCATCGAAGAAATAACTCCCGGAAGACACGGGGTACGTTCATGGCCCTATGCGCCGGTTTATTCTCAAGCAGAGTTGAGATCTCATAAGCCTTTGCCAACTTTACTTGGGACCATTCGCGCATTGCAAGCATCTTGCCATCCTCATCTAGGGTATCGAAATCATCGCGCAGTTTCACCTTAAATATCCCCCTCTCGTAATCGTAGTTCTGTGGGGGTCTGAGGAAGACTGGCCATTGGGCCTGGAGAAATGCAGGGAGAACAGAAATCGACTGGAGGTCGATAAGGGATACTATTCTTGAACACTCATCAGAGGCGACGAAAATGTTTCCCATATGAAGGTCAGTATGCCATATAATAGGCTGGGAGGCTTCCCCTTTTAATAATTCGTTCGAGTCCAGAAGTTCCATTACACTCTCTGTTTCTTGTAAGAGTTCAGTTTGTTCTTTGACATCTCCTTTATAAAAGTGTGTTTGGTTCTGCGGGCCGTTCTTTAATATTCGTAGCATTTCGCGCTTTGCAATAGAAACACCAAGGGTTGAAATTGAATACCCTATGAGTAGTTAGTATATGAACTATCAAAATACCCAGGGGATTCACAAGGTCCTTTATCGAAGTCCAGACTTGGATCCGGATTATATCCCCGATCACAAGAAGGTCCAATACAGAAAGATGGATCAAGTCCATCGAGGGGCTTGTTTGGTTGTTCTATATCCGCTCGCAGATACAGTCCTCCATAAGCAGGGAAATGAATAGCTGATAATTGAGCCTCGATCTGGGTCAAGTTTCTGATTAATTGTAACTGATCAAATTCGGCCATACTACCCCAAACTTGAAACAGTGGAACGCCGGCGGCTTTCTCCATGATGATATATTCTGCACCAACAGCATTCGAGCTGTTCGAACACCATGCAAGAACATGAGGGACAGGGATGCTAGTGTGTTTTCTGACTATTTTATAGGATATTAGCCACTGGGAGTAGAATTATCCCAATATAGCGTACGGTATTCGAGAGCGCCGACTTCGCCAGCTGTCGTTAAGGTGGGAGGGCCAGCAATGTGGCATGGAATTTTTGCTATCACTTCAGATCCATTCTCCTTTTTCATCAAGAAAGCCTTGCCAAAACCTCCTTCTATTTTTTCAATGGCTGCGACCTGACTAGGCTTTCCACCGACTGCTGCAGCAGTATTGCAAAGCTCATCCACATTGAATCGGACGTATCTTCTGTTTAGCTGGTATTCTTCGTTGGCAAGAAAATGGCCATTAGTGTAAGCGAAAAGCTCCTCCTGCGTAATGGATGCACCTATTTGATCAATCAGAAACTGAAAGAAGCTGCCTTTGCACCAAACCCCTTTCCCTACTTACCTCGACATGTTATCGATAAAGAAAATTCAGGTCTGCCATATCGACGTGTAGTAAATTTTCTGAGCGCTCTTAGCATTTGGAGAGCAAGTGTTCAACACATTTAAAAGAAAGAGGTGATCGCAGGAATGCCAGCAGGGAACTCATAAGACACTTAAGGCGGTATGGTGGATAGTTCCACAAGGATCCACTACACCTCAGATCATATCGCAGCTATAAATAAAAATTGCTATCTCAAGGGTGACTACATAAAAGCTAGTTATTTTCTGTGGTTGCTGACAGTGAAATCAAAACCCTTGCTATTTTGAAACAATATTTCCAATAAAAGGGAAGGCATCTTTGCGCTTTGCACAGCCATAGTCCCATAACCTTGGAGTCTTGAATTTTCAAAAGGGTTTTCTGTTGAGAATTGTCTTGAGGCCATCAGGCTCATAATCTCTGGTCGCATACAACGTCAAGAGAATGCACCAAATTATCTAGAATGGGCATGACATATAAAAATTTCTATTACATATTAAATGTCATGTCGATACCAGGCAGCGCGTTATTAAGTCCATGGTATGTGAAAAGGATATGTGTTTTGACTGGCCTCATACCTTTTTTTTAATTCCTAGTTGCTCAAGTGCATGACTACTGCAATCTGGATTGCATGCAAGATACCTACAGAGATTAGTATATTTATAAGTGCAGGTAATGTTATCTCTGACACAGATGACTATCAGATTAAGTAACAGCAACTGTTGAAAAATGATATCCATAATGGGATAGCAGGCCCTCCTGGCGTCAAAGCTGACTCCAGGCTATTTCTTGGAGTAAGGACTTGGATCTGTTGGTTGCGTTCTTGAATTGCGCCTATTAATATCCCCCAGTGCTGTTAAAAGAATGGCGCACATGCTCTTAGTATCATCGATAAATCGGACACTCAGTGACATTTAGGCAAGACTTGTCACAACTTGGCGAACTTTCACCACTTAGAAGGCTTGAGCCTTCCCCAGAAAGCAGGCGGGTGATAGGCTGAGCCTGATAAAATGAGCGGGAGAGCATAATATAAATCATTTTCCCCTCACTGTGGCTGGGAAGCGTTTACCGAGATCATCACCAAGCCTGCAGCTGCTACCAGCGAATACGGGTTGCTTAGATAGTCAACACATAACGCTGCGTCTGACTTGCGAACCACGGTGAAAAGATTTGTATTTGCGACTCAAAAAAAAAAAAATAAAATAAAATAAAATAAAATAAAATAAAATAAAAAATTTGCAATGATAGTATTGCAAGAGTCCGGCTGGATATCTTATGAGTTGCAGAACAATGCTGCGCTGATGGCGAGGAGATTGCTCGCATGATGTTAGGATTCCCCCACAAAACTTCTGCTGAAAAAGGTGGCCCAACGTGAAAGTGGCATATCGGTATATTCAATGTTTATATGAAATAGCTAGCCAGCTCCAATCCGGGTGTAGTTCAGCTTGTTGCTAATTTGGAGTAGCGCATTGACATTCCTCTGTGCTGGCATCTCAGCCGTGACGCAATTAAAAAAAATTCACCGCACATTGTGAAAACGGCTGTGGTGATCCTTCGTGAGAGCTCACGTCCGGCATTTCTTATTCGAGATGAAATTTTCTCGAGCTGAAGAGGGCATGCCAATGAGCGACAACATGACGCCAGTGGCAAGCTGTTGGATGGGGGAAATTCTATTATTAGTTCCGCCGTCTCGGCCTACTCGTTGGTCTTAAGCCCGACAAGGTTCTGGGTTCAAGGTGCGAACATGCCGCGCGTGCCGTTCCGTCCATTGAGTATGAATGGTCTTGGTAGTCAGTCTGGTGAAAGAAAGGTGAACTTATATGTTCCGAGTACTCCGCAAACAAGCTGCCCATGCCTCGACAGCCGTAGATGATGTAGTCCTAGTTATAAAACGTTAGTCTGTAGAGTAACTAGCTCACGTGGGAATTGGGATAAAGTTTGGTTAGTTCACTAACTGACTCAGGCAACTCTCAGCCACCAGCGCGATCTCAACGACATCAAACAAACCTCAATGGTTCGATTTTGGTCGACACGATCTTTGTATCCGCAGTGTAATGTGAAGATGGGACACATTCATCGCACCGCCAATGCAGGTCTATTTTCGCTTTGATAACGGCCGAGCAAGGATCTAGGCCGGAAAATCCGACTCAGCATGGAGGCTATGTTTTTTGTACCAGCGATAATTGAACCCGCTGCTGTGCAGTATTTGTAATGGCTGGACCACTATGCTGGGCTCTTTCTTCACACTAGTAACTATCACTAGGCCGAGAGGCGGCGTTTCCGCTTTACGTCAACGAACCGTGCCCCCCCCCCCCTTGACGAATTGTTCTCGGCTGACTCCGCTGAGGACTGCAGCATCGTTGTATTTGACCCTCCAATCAACTATTTCATACGAACCAGAGATGAATACTAGCTCTCCTCTCAAATGTATGGATTGTTCGTTTCAAGTCACCAATTAAGACGTTCCAGTAAATGTGTAAATGATCACCAAGTTCAGTTGACATGTATAGTGCACCCATAGCTTATGGTATAGGTACTTTTCTACTCCGTGGCTCAAGTTTAGATTCAGCATGTATTATCCTTGATATCTTAATCTAGCATATATTTATATTATCTCTACTGTCCCACTCTGAATGCTTTTTTAATTCTCAGCAGTCAGTAAGCTTACTCTCATAGAGAGAAATCTTATTCATCGAGAGTAGAAGACTTCTCTGTCGATAAACTATCTTTGAGGATAGTGGGATTCGTAACCACAATGTTCTTTCCCAGGTGGCTGCTCCCCAACAATGGAACATGCTGGAAGGATTCCTGCAGACGTTTACCAACTAACTAGGTAGTACGCCATACACCCTCCATGGTTTTTGGGGATTCACAGTGATTATTATCTCGTCATTCGGCACCATCGCCCTAACATACGGCATAAATAGGAGGAAATTCGTGTCTTTTTACATGGCTAGCGATCTCACGCATTATTAACCTGGAATTTATGAATTGAGTCGGGAGATTAGGATGGCTGGGCATTGGGATTTGAAGTCATGGTTGGTGGAAGATGATCGTCTGGCACGAAGTACGTTGTCGCAATATTGAAAAGAAAAACAACTGGGATTTCCTCACCGCGAAGGGCATACGGAGTACTCAGCTGCTCCAGCAATTAGCGGGCCAGCAAGTGGCTGCCGGCCGGCCGAAGACTGGATGTTGTAGAAGAGAGTTAGGGCCAAAAGCACGTTGCTGGGAATGGCGGGTAGTTAGTTAGGCCCGAACGCACTCCGTTTCACCCTTTCCAACCTCTCCGAATCATCTGAAGAGCACCGGATCTTGGACGCTGTCGTGGTTCCAACACCTCCCAACAGCAGGGATCGAGCACCAAGTGATCATCAACCTTGGGACCCAATTCTATTTATAATTAGTTAACTAGTTAACTAGCGACTCGGCAGCTGCTCCTTTCTTTTGGTGTCCGGCTTGATTCAACGTGTCTCCCAGTCAAACCCCTCTCGAAGCACCCCGTATTCAAAGCATAAAATTTCCTTGCCGCGCTTAGGTCACTTCTGCGGAATAATGAAACGAGACCGCCATACGAGGCGCCCGCCAGAAGCTTCAGCGGCCACACTCTCCATCCAGGATTGGCCAGATCGCGCCCGAAGTTGGTCTGGCTGCTGCCAAGTTCGCCAGCCGTCGTTGCCCCGAACCACTGATCTCTATGTCGTGCGAGGACCGGGCGAGTTCTCGACGCTTCGGATGGCTTGGGCAAAAAACGTCAACAGCGCACAAGACGGCCCTTAACATGCCCCCCTAGTCTACGAATTTCAACAGGCCTGATCCTCGCGGCCGAGACGCCCAATTATGTTACTGCCGATGAGCATCATCTCCTCACCAGCACTCTGGGTGGCATTGACATTGACGGTGTGATTGTGGCCAATTTGCGTGCCTGACACCGTCGTATGCGGACAATTAAATGATCCCTTGCTTTAGCGCGGGTCCCGGCTATCCGTGATTCAAACTGATGAATCAGCCGGATTTTCGCCATCTCGGGGCTTTCTTGACGAAATACGAATCCATGCACGCCTATAACACGGTTAGTTGGTTTGGCCCGTCCGCCTCCGCCGCCTCTGTTGGGAATGGGGCAAATATATTCAGCCATGTGGCCAAAGAATTTTTGCGCATGGGTATATATCTCACCTTGTGATTGTTGGTTCCGCCCTCGTGGAATTTCTATTCCACCATGTTGACGACATTATTCTGTGCGTGCTGAGAGGGCGCGGAAAAGTCCCAGGTTTATATAGGGCTGATTTGCCCTTCGTCGAGGAATATAATAAGTCGGATATTGCAACACACCCGGATAGACAGAGGGAAGAACAATGAACCGGACACGGCAGTCTACCGACTCTGACTGGGTGAGGGGAGGATACAGCACCGCTTATTCCGTTACCCAACACCTTGTGCCACAGGGAGAAGCCTCCAGGATGTTCCCAACCGATACCAAAATCGAACGAAATTCAGATACCTGCCAAAATCCAAACGATTCCCGCTCTAATCGCTGCAGGAGCTTATGGGCCAAGTTGAAGAAGCCCAAGAGCGAGGATGGTCGGATGGAAGAGGACGCTTTTGCAACTCCCAATAAAAAGACCCCACGACGTGCAACAGTTGGGGCAAATCTTGTCTGGGACTCCAAACAGCAGATGTGGCTGTTTGCCAAAGAAAACCTCGCCGTGGCCGACGCCGTAAGAAAAGAGCCCCGTGGTCCATCGTCACTTTCTTCCACGTCTACAGTCAATTATGCCGAAGAAGATCTGCTTTTTGCGCAGCTGCCAGGTCATTATACGCTTAGCAGCATATATAACTGTATCAATCACGACCAAGCACTGCCTGCCTACGATCCTGTTGAGCATGCCGACGATGTTGGTCGAAGAACAAGCGCAGATGGGCAGTGGGTGCTTGTGGCGCGGGGCTCCCTAAACTCCACTTCGACAACGTGACATTTACAGACGCATTTGACGTGGAAGAATTACCGAAGCTCTGAAGTCTTGAAGGCTTTGTTTTTGGGTATTCGCGGAGCTCGACATTTTGCCCCATTAGGCTCCCTCTGACGGGCAGAGTGGAACATTCAGACCGTGAGTGTTACCTTTTGTTAGACGAAATCTAGCATATCTCTAATCTGGACCTTTTTCTTCAGGACTCGAATTAAGTGAATTAAACTCAGTATGCATTCAATGGGTTAACAATCAGTGCCATACCACTATATCGCGGGGAGGTATATATAGCGTCCTCTAAGCGGTGCACGTCTTTGGCTTGCGCTGCCGGAGACATCAAATGCTGGAATAGATTAGATTGCAGGTGACGTCTATATGCGTGATCAGTGATGGCATTACTACACTGTACAACCAATGGGTATTAGCCGGATGTTCCTTTTTAATCAAGTGGAAACCCCACACTTGTTCCCTTTCCATTTCCCCAAACATGTCAGAAAAATGGATACCTCCATCAGATATCAAAGAACTATGTGGTACTTTCATCCACCACTCCATCTTTGTCCATCCTCTGTTTTTTCCTCAACTAGCAACTCTTTACAGTTGAGGTCTATCCTCCATTCAACATCTAGCACATAGTATGCATCTCTTTCAACTTTGGCGTCTCTCGGCAAATAAACAGCTATGCACATGTTGAGTCTGTTCCCCAGCCGATAAAAATGCTCGGCCTTGTTTCTCAGTCAATGACTCAGGCTGCTGTTTATTTACCAACACGTTAACAATTTGATAAAAAACTTGAACTGCCATATTATCTTCTGTTACTCTTTCTCTTATCAACCTTTTGTCTTGACCACCTTTTGAAACTTGTGTTGGTATACTATCTACCAATTTCATTTAGGAATTTATTTTGCTTGACTGCCTCTATTTCAACTAACTGCAATTACCAGTCTTCAAGGTGCTTTCAAAGTAAGTAAAGACCTTTGTGCTCTGTTCCTGCATACTTGATAATGCTCCTGTCGATATAGTCTGATCCTTCCGCCAAATTAGAATATGACCGCAAATTCGATGGAGATTTCTGGCAGATCAAGCCTAGCATCTCTTTTTGAAAATCCTGAATTGTTTGTCAATGGTGATTCCTCCATCAAAAACATTCAGAATGGCATCAAAGAAGGCTTAGGCCATCTTCAGAAACTCAAAGAAATATACACTAGGTACGCTGGCAAAGCCTGGCTTCGAGAGATCGAGGAAGTTGAAAAGAAATCGAATATCTATAAAAGGCACGTCATTGGCCTCTTCGGAGAAACCGGAGCAGGCAAGTCGTCTCTGATCAATGCTCTTATTGATGAGGAACGAATTGTGCCTACGAATGGCATGCGCGCTTCCACCGCTACAGTTGTTGAAATAGCCTATAATCATGATTCTACTCCTTACCGAGCTGAAGTGGAATTCATTACTCGTGAAGAATGGGCTTCCTATTTGCGGGTCCTCTTCGGCGACATCAGCGACCAAACGTCGGATAATACGTTGAGGAATGATAAGAACAATGAATCTACAATCGCTCTTGCGATGATCAAGGCAGTTTATGGCACTGGCTATCAAAACACCGAAAATTCTAATATCGACGACTTCTTGAATCACGAGAGAGTAGTTGATATCCTTGGGCAGGTAAAATGTTTTGAACATAATGACCCAGATACATTTTACCGCGAAATCCAACAATACATCGATTCAAAAGATAGAAACTTGACCAGCTCTTCGGATATGGAATATTGGCCGCTAATTCGGGTCGTGCGCGTCTATGTTAAATCATCAATCCTGAAGACGGGTGCGGTGATAGCAGATTTACCTGGAATCCAGGATTCGAACCCAGCTAGAGCTGAAGTTGCGAATAAATATCTTAAGGAATGCTCCAGTATCTGGGTGTTAGCACCCGTTGTCCGTGCTGTGGACAACAAGACCGCCAGGAACCTTATGGGCGACAGCTTTAAGCGCCAGCTTCAAATGGACGGTTCGCTGCATTTCGTTTCAGTCATTTGTACGAAAACGGATGATATATCATTCGTCGAGTTTGCCCAGACAGCAGCAATTTCTCAACTTCACGGGGAGACACGCGATGCAATACAGAACCTTAGGGCCAATATTGTGTCTTTAAGAGCTCGAGAACGAGAGTTAGAGGCCACTAAAGCCGACGTTAAGGGAAAATTTGAGATCGTTGATGCCGAGCTTGATAGTCTTCTGGAACACGCTAACTCCCCTCGAGGTGGCCCAGATACCACTACTCTCTTGGGGCAAACATCCCAGATGAGGTCGCAGTTAAAAGGCCAAGTAACTAATCTAGAAAGAGATATTGCCGACATCGAGGGCCAGGTTGCACTAGCAATGGGAGATATTGATGGCTTGAATTCAATTTTTGAGAGGGAGTGCGTTGCTCTTCGAAATAGAACCGTAAAAGCTTGCGTCAAGGAAGACTTTGCGGGGGGCATCCAAGACCTTGACCTCCAGGGTAAGAAAACGGAACCAGAAGGTCCGTTGACACGGGATTACCAGAGCCTTGCAGACTCTCTTCCGGTTTTTTGTGTGTCGTCCAGAAGCTACCAGCAGCTTCAAGGCCGAATGACACAGGATCGAGAAGTCATTAAAGGTTTCCAAACCTCTGATGAAACGGAAATTCCCCAACTTCAGGCCCATTGTGCCGATAGTACGCTTCCTGGTCGCCGAGAAAGGGGTTTGGAATTTCTAGACCACTTGGAGCGACTATTCAATTCGCTTAACTTTGGTTTGCCAGTAGATAAGACATCAGCCTTGGAGATCAAGAGGAGGATAAAAGACCAGAAATGGTTTGCCGAAAAGTCAGTGGATCTTGAACGGGTGAGTATCTTTACTCTAGATTCTGTCTGGCGCCAGATCTGACTATGTTATAGCATTACGAACGGCAAATTGCGGAATTCGGCGATGCGTTGCATCAGATCATTGAAATCGTCGTTTGTAGCAAACTTGGTAAAACCTCAACCAAAGTATTGATGCCTCGCGTAATTATCTAACCTTGTCTTAGCTTCTGCTGCATCTCGTGCCGAAAGAATGGCTCTTGTCGTCCTAGAAGGTTGGGGTGATCAGCTTGCATGGAACACTTTCAAAGCCATCTGTCGACGGAATGGAAAGTATACTAGGGGTACACAAACCTTCGTTCGTCTCCCTCTCTCTATCCCCTAACTTCCCAAGATTTATACTTACGAAACACTTAACTACAGAATCTGAATTACGATCTGTAAGAATCAGGCAGCACCCTTTTTCATTACAAAGGATTACAAACTAATTATTACAGCTGTGAGCCTCTATTAACTGCCCTTCAAAACGGCTGGGAAAAGTAGGCGGATTGACCCATCTCAACCATAGATGATAATACTGACAACGATACTAGAGCGTTCACCGAGGATTTCGCAGCTGCATTGACACGCCTTGTCAAGAATTGTAATCGGATAACCAGCCTTTTCTACCAAGAGGCAGAAGCCAATCTTGTGGTTCTTGCGTCTAATGAGAAGCAGAGGAAAAGGTTCCAAGCGCAACTAAAAAGATACAAAAACATGTTCGCACATATACACTCGTCATTGCACGGAATGGTCCGTCTTGAACAGCAAAACGCGAGTCGTATAATCGAACCAACTGTCCGAAGCGCCCTTACCCCTGCGTATAGTATTGCTTCCCAATATAGTGGTAAGCCATCAGTCAAATTTCCACAAGACGATTCTTGAGGAATATTAATGTCATACATAGGGGATGGTTGCTACCGACGTATGAGAAATGTCGTCGGAAGGCAGATTGCAGAGAACATTCCAACGATGTTTGCGTCGGCCCAGGATGAAGTCATGGCAGTAGTACGCCGGCTATCAGCTAAGTTAGAAAACAAGGGCGCTAAATGCGTAGAGGAGATCCGAAACATGGTGATCCAAGATTTCACGAGAATCTTGGAAGATAACCCTTCAGCGTATGATATGAACCGAGAGGTTCAGGAGGTTCTGGAGAACATTACCATGTTCAAGGACGAAGTCACTCCAATGGAGGAAGACTAGCAACCAAGCGCTACCAATCTCTACCACGTACCTTTTTTTGTACTTCGTAAAGCAAATAAATAGTTTTTGTCATTGTGTGATCCTATGATGCCCAGTCTTTCAAGAAAACGGGGGTTGACCCTCCCCTTCCCCGTGAGATCTTATTCCTTCGCCCAAGCGAAAGGGCCTCGTTCCAAAACAGAAGGGAACTCTTGTTCCTCTGAGAGAACCGCCCGCCGCGGAACTGGGTTGCGCGGAAAGGATACGAAATCCCAACAGCACGACACTCTCTACTTGCCTCTGGCATCCTTGGATTTAGCAGGCGCTTCTGGCACTCTTAAATAGAGCCTTTGGACGATGATCATGCCGACCAGGGCAGTACTACTGCCAAGGGTGCTGTTTGGCGGTGCGAATCTTTTCAACATCAGTAATACATGTTGATCCTGGTGTGCACGTCAACGTGTTGTTTGACTTGTATGTTCCAGATTCATATTTCTTTTCTTCCTACCAACAACCCTTGAGTGTCTACTATTATATGGCCAAAACGTTGTCTGCATGATCAAGGACCCGGATAGGCGGTGTGTCCAGGCGGCGGGATATTGCAATCCAAGCGGAGCTCACGCTATGAGGTATTCCTATCCTCTTCTTGCAGTTCCACCACTTTTGGAACCTTGGTATTAGATCCTTGGTCATAGAGGACATAGATGGAGTGAACTAGCTAGTCTATGGCAGCCAAATTATTCACTAGTTGACTAGTTATAACTATGCAGCACGCTCTATGAGTATTCAAATGTGCTGGAATAGTTGAATAATGCTTACGAAGTATTAAGTATATAAAGAGCTTTTGGATGGGGAGAAAGTAGCCGTGTATTTTTCGGCTGGGGCATCTGTCATCATCCCTGTGTAATGACGATAGCTATTCAAATGATGAGCACATCATCCAACTCCGACCCGAAATGTGTGCACCGTACGGAGTTATTGGATAAATTACTTCACTCATAAGTATGGTTTCTCCCCAAAAAATACTCGCCCGAATTTCCTTCATAGAAGGAGGGTGGCGGGAATATAGGATTGCTTCACAAGACGAGATAGTGTGAGGTCTTGGATGAGTGGCCTTCCATCGACTCCAGCAGCCGATACGGGGTAGCGCGCTTCAGTTCAGGGTCGTCACTGATGTGGATTTTGCAGTGCGCTTGTGGAGTGCCGTTGTAAGCCTTTGTTCAATACAAAATGGGGCCGAACGTTGTGCCTGAAGATCATCAAGCTAGCTTTAGCTCCACTGATCTCCCTGCCGCGATGCCCAGACTAGGCTTAACTCAGGGCAAGAATGATGTAGGTGCTCATAGTATACGGAGCATCTCACCGGCGCGCAGATATCCTCATTGGGGCTTAATAAACATGGCACTTGTTTCAATACTTGCTACCGAACCGGGAATCTTGCAACGACGTTATTCCCTCGTGATGAGGGTGGTGCTTCCTCCGTTACCCGCCGAGAACATACTTGCCACACCAAAAGTAGCCGACTCATCCGGCTCCCAATTGCCAAGCAGGGGGGAGGAGCCAAAAATTTGCTTCTGGATGCTCAAGTAGGGAAACCAAGTACTGGCGACCAAGGAACATGTTCAACGTGGCGCCCGCCCAAGGTTGGCCCGACCGTTGAACCACGCGAGAATGTGATCTGTTGCACCAGGAAAATGTGGCTAAAAATTCCTGCTTGTCTATCTTGTCTAGCTGCAATAATAAACTCGGGTTTACTGCGATAGCAGGGGGGGCCTTTTTGATATTAGCATTGAACGCGGGATAGAGTCAATATTTGTTTTTCACTCGTCGTTATTTTCATTAACTACAACATACTATTGTCTCGATGGAGCGGCCCTGGAGAAGCGGCCAGACTCTCCTAAAGTACTCCGTAGGCGTTGTCCCTAGTGATGTCGCCATCGAAGTTTTTCAGAATCGTTTTGACAAAGTTAAATCCTTCGAGACCGGCAAATCAAGCACGATAGCTGTGGGGTTTAAGAAGCAAACTATTGAAAAATGGCCTTGACCCTCGGGCCTAGGCGAGGTCAGCGTCTCAGGACGGATATGTATCTGAGGACTTCCCTGTTAGCCTTCTAGTACATGCTTGTTAGGGTAACTAGCCAAGAGGAACGTACCTACAATCAGGGCCCCATGCCCGTTGTGCAAGCAAGGCTGGAGCGCCAGGAGGTAGGGCTGAAAACCTACGCTATGGCTCCGAAGTGGCGGTCACCAGGGAGAACTGTGTCATCATTCCACCGTCGGACAATCTGATCTGACAAATAACTATTCTCCGAACGCCGCCCTGGTGTACCGGTCGGCAACGTCCCAGCGAGCCCCCGCTTCGAAGCGCCCCATCGAGGATAGGCGGACGTTCTGGTTGCTCTGGGACGCAGAAGCGACGGTTGGCGACCCCACGGCGCCGCACAACAGCCGCATGCTCGACGACAAGCCGGCATCCGCCAGCCGGAGACTTCCAGCGTCCGACTCCGTCGCGTTTGAAGTCGTCAAAAAGGATGAAGACGCGGCCCGAACAGGCTAGCACGGGGGCGGTACTAAGCCCGATCGGGCCCCGCGCGGTCACGCTTCGTGCATCCCAAACGTCGTCGCGGTTTGAGATTTCGACGTCGCTGCTTCACCCGCCTGCTTTGGGCCATCTCGCACAGCCCGGCGTCCAGGGTTGCTTGTTCTCGCACGGCGTCAAGATGTCGCTACTGCTCCCAGGGGCTGGGCCTCGCCCGGCTCTGTGTTCTCCCCTCTACGACCGCACTGACGCGCTGTTAGTTTCGCATCTCCCAGAGAGGGTCGGGCGCTTCGATGCCCCGCCGTAACTGGCCCATGCTGGCGCCAATGGTGATCTACACGTTCTGCTGGAAAAATTCGCTCGGCCAGAAGGGGATTCGCCCCGGCGCTGGACTGTGCAGTCTGATAAATATCTGTTCCTCAGCGTTTCTTGGCGGCCATCCTGGGCCCGGCGATGATGAGACGCCCCTGTTCTCGATACAGCACGGTCAAACAGCTGAAAGCCTTTTTATGCGCAAATCCTTTTCTCGACGCCTGAGCGATGAGACCCTCCCGTCTCGTCCTGGCGATTTATCGTGTCGGATAAAAAAAATGGTTCGGTAAATTGGGTTAACCTTTGCCGCCGAGGCTGTTTATTTTCGCGAATGGGCGACCATATCATATCACTACTGCCCGAAAGGATTGATATAGATATAGTCTTTTTGTTTCTTTCTGGATTCCTCTTTTTTTTCTCTTCCCTCTCTCGTATGATGCCCTGAACTCCACACGGTTCAAGTCACTCCTTTTTCCAACACACTCTTTTCAAATATTTGTTTTTTTTCTGTTAGAGGATGTGAAGCTCTACAATCATTACCTTATCACAGATTTTAAATCAATACCAGCCTTTCGCGACAGCCTTGGGCATCATCAGCCTATACCCCTGAACTTGAGCCTCATTTATTCGGCCATTCATTCGATCTTTACAAAGATATCACTTTCCTTTCCATCTTCATTTACTTTTATATCTGTTCCATTTTTTCATTATCTACTTAATGATTGAAGCCCATCCTCGAGAACGGTCTCTACTTCTTATTTTTCAGCGCTCTTTCGTGACGATACTAAACCTAGTGTCCACTTTTTTCTCGACTTAACCAAGATGTCAACAAATAAAACGATATCTACGCAAGGCCCACAAGAGTATGTTTATTATATTTAATAGATAGAAACGTTTGACTTAATGACCTTACTGGTAGGAATCTTTGGCCATCCACGCTTTCCCCTGTCCGGTTTCTCCCGCCGTGGGGTAAAAGAATCCACGACATGAGCGAGTTCATGGGCGAAAATACGGTGGATTCACATAAAACAATGCCTGAGGGATTGGGGGAGCAGCAGAAGGATAACCTCTTCGTCGGAAAACAGAATTCTTCCCCTAAGCTTAATATCGAACAGCCGCGACCCCTATATCACAACATATATTCCCTCCCTATGGCAGACAGTGATGCTAAAGATCCCGCCTGGGTAGCCCCAAGTTATTCCTTGCCTCAAGATGCGCTTCTTCCTGCCGAAATCCCCCCTCAAGGTAAGACCAAAGGTTCCAAAAGGATCCTTGCGTGGACAAATGCTAACCGGCGATAGACTTTTACGAGCGGCTGTCTTTACCGGTGCATTCAAGCTCCATCATCAGCGATGCGGATTCTAGTCCTTTCGTGGACTCTCTCGGCCTTCTGACAGAAGACGTTGACGAGAAGTCGAACGTGAGGAAGAAGCCTCGTCTGGAAGAGCCCGAGCCACTTGCGCTGAATGCGACGGTTTCTGCCCCGCTCTCTTTCTCGCCGTACTCCTTCGCAAGCACTGCACCATCTCTAGACTTCACATTTTCGGCATACCCTGAGGTGCCAGTGACATGTGCCGCCTATACCCCCCAGCAAAGCGCGGTTTATTTTTCTTCAACCCCGCTGTCGCCTGTGCCTTCTCCCAGGCGACATTCTGATGCCACACGGTTCCGAAGCCCTGTACGGCCAACACCATCTCCTCGTCCAAGACCACAGTCAAGCCCCTATTCTCTGGAAGTGAGTAGAAGACGGCTGTCTAACAGCTCAGTCACATCCATGCCGTCGTTCGCCCCCTCTCCGTACATGGGTCGCAAATCCGCCAACTCTTCGGCCTACACATCCCCTCAGATCCGAGGGTGCCAGTTTTTCCCAACGGCGCTGGCTCCTCCGCAACCGAACCCCCTTCAGCCGGGAAATGTCTATCTGAACTCGATGTTCCCTAGCCACGACCAGTACAACACTCGGTTCATTGTTCCCGAGACCGTCGCCTCGCAGCGCGTGCCGCGAACACTACGTAGCGATGTCGATCCCGATCAGGCGTACTTCGAAGACTTCGCAGGGCTCTCTGAGCCGCCCGATCTTCTTGGGCCGCTGAAGGAGACGCCGCTCTCGCCTCCGCCTGAAGATATGATGCCAGCCGACCCCACGATGGTCCCGCACGAGCAAGACCTGCGATTCGAGAACGATCTCTACACGCCGAAGTGGGTGCGCGGCCACGGCAACAAGCGTGAAGGGTGGTGTGGGATCTGCAAGCCCGGGCGCTGGCTTGTGCTGAAGAACTCGGCGTTCTGGTACGACAAAAGCTTCACGCACGGCGTCAGCGCGGTTACCGGCCAGGCGTTCGCGGCCCCGAAGGACATTCGGCGAACAGAAGGCAGTGCCAACATCTGGGAAGGACTCTGCGGTAACTGTGACCAGTGGGTGGGGCTGGTGACCAGCAAGAAGAAGGGTACGACATGGTTTAGGCATGCATATAAGGTACGTTTGTTGTTAAATTTTGCTTCTGCCTTGTTTTTTTTTGTCTTTCTTTTGGCTAACCTCTTTTTTGCAGTGCCACAATCACTATAAGCCAGATGATGCTCTTAAAAGACAGCGGGAGAGCGAGGAGCGCCGAACGGTGTCGACGGCGGATGCCTACTCTCAGTCCCCACTGTCGATACCTGCCTCCAAGCCAGTGCCTTTGGCGCTAGGGTATCCCGGCGCTCCAACGCGCAGCGGGAACCCAGTCAACAACCCCCGCGGAGTGTCGACTGTACAGTCGATGCTGTCTATGATCTGACCATATTATTTTTGTTTTTCCGCTCTGTTATTTTTCTTTTCTTTTCCTTTCTTTTCATATGTGTTTCACCAGTGAACTACAATGGCTGTATGTATGATAGGTAGGTATTGTCTGCTTGTGTGCTGTTGATTTGCTGGGCGTTCGGGGCCATGGGTTTGTTGGCGGATAGCTAGGCTCCCCTCCTTTTCTTCCCTTCGACGCCGGCACCATGTGTGCTGAATACACCCCAGTTTGCATTGGTTTTTGGATTGGATGAGTGTGCATGACTTTACGCTGTCATCGATATGTTTTGTGTTTGTATTTATATAGAAATTGTGGATTGTTCTGGCCTTTGGTACTCGGTACTTATTAATAATTGCGAGTGTGGTAGACCCGTCAGCTGTGATATTACCGGCGCCCTTTGACCTTACAGTGAGTTTCCAAAGTCTTGTGAGAGCAGTGAAGTTTGCATGCATGAGCATGGGTCAAATATCCGGCATGCCGGTCTCCAGAGATAGGTAACTACTATAATCGTGGACCAAACAAGCCTGCTATCGTCCACGCAACTCGATACGGTGGCACACGTAGTATTATCATCATCGGATCAGCCACATTGATTGCTATGCTGAAGGAATGGAAGTCAGTTCCCGGAAGCTTTCATCTCTCGCACCTTGCTGGCGTGGCCGGCGTTAGTGTGCGGGTGGCGGGCGGCGCGGCGAGCCGTTGCAACGGACTCGACGTGTGCGATGGGGCGGGCAGCAGCCGGCCGTTGCGGGCGTTGTGGCACGGCGGATGGCGACGAGTCTGCCGTCTGGCGTCTGGCAGCGAGAGTGTCTGTCTGTCTGTCGGGGAGGCAACGGGCGCAGGGGCTGCAGGGCGGTTGGGGTTGATTGGCAGCGACGCGCAGAAGCCGGTGGAATCGCACGGCCGCTTCCATTGCACCAGCCTCGCGATTCGAGGCCAGAGACCGCAGAACCGCACACACAGACTCGCAGACTCGCAGACTCATATAACTGCCTACTCACATACTCACAGACTGCATACTCACATACTCACAGACTGCATCCCTCCCTCCTCGCACTGCCCGCTCTCACCACCGCGCCATGCTGACGCCCGCCCAGCACCATCCGTGAGCCCGCAGAGTTTTTTTTCTCCCCGACCCAACCACGGGAACCACAAAGTTTCGCGCGGTCGATTTCCCATCCTCTTCTCCTCTCCTCATGTTCCCCAAATTCCTCAAAACCCCTCGATCGCCCGACAAGAAGAAGCCCAAGAGCAGCCCGCACGACGAGCGGCCACCGGCCCCCGAGCCCAGCACCACCACTCCTAGCACTGCTCCTCCTCCTCCTCCTCCTCGCCGCCACCACAGCCAGCGCCAGACGCCTGCCACTGCCGCCCCGCGCAGCGTCTCGGACGGCCCTGAGCCCGCCTCGCCGCGCCGTCCGCCGCCGGCCAACCCACCGCCGCCGCGCTCGCACCTCCGGTCGTCGTCCACCTGGAGCTCGCGCGACACCCGCAGCCCGCCGCCCGTGCCCGCCTCCGCGCCCGCCGCCAGCCCGCCCAAGCGCCGCTCCAAACGCGCCTCGCGCTACACCTACGACGACCACCCGCTCAACCTGCCGCCTGACGAGCTGCGCCGCCTGTCCGCCATGGCTGCCGCCCGCGACGACGCCCGCCGCTCCCTCGATGACCTGCCCGACCAGCCGGACACTGCTACCACCACTACCACCACCGCCCCGACCTCGCCCGCCTCGGCTGCCACGCCTACCATGAACTCGCCTGCTACCTCCAACACCACCGAGCCCAGCAGCGTGCGTTCTAAGCGTAGCGCGGAGGAGCGTAGTCCGACCCCGCCGCCGCACATCGTAACGCCGCCTGCTGTGGATGCGGAGGCCTGCAAGCTGGCTGGGAACAAGTTTTTCAAGGCCGGCGAGTATCAGAGAGCAATTCTTGAGTATACCAAAGGTTTGTCTTTTTTTGTTGCCAGAAAAAAATTTTTTTTTTTTTTTTCCCTTTGTCTTCATTTTTCTCAATATGTGATTGATTGTGCGCAAGTCAATGGCGATGTTAACTTTTGTGCGCCCTCTGTGTAGCGGTGGAGGCTCAGCCGACATCATCCACCTACCTGTCGAATCGTGCCGCTGCCTACATCTCTGCCAATAGGTACCATGAAGCGCTGGAGGACTGTAAGCGTGCCGATGAGCTGGAGCCCGCAAACCCTAAGATCATGCACCGGTTAGCACGCATATACACAGCTCTGGGCCGGCCCGCCGAGGCTGTGAACATCTATGCGGAAATCAAACCCTCTGCCTCTGCAAAAGACAAGGCCCCTGCACAAACTATGCTGCGCTTAGTTACGCAGGCCGAAGAGATGTTGAAGCAGGACAAGGGTGGTGGTTCCATGGTGCTCTACTCGCTGGACCAGGCCGTCAAAGGATTAGGCGCGGGCATGACACAGCCTCGGAAATGGCTCCTCATGCGAATCGAGGCGTACTTGAAAATGGGCAACGTGAATTCGCTGGGAGATGCGCAGAACCTTGCCATGTCCTTGCTGCGGGACAACAACCAAGACCCCGATGCGCTGCTGCTGCGCGGCCGCTTGTTCTATCTCCAGGGCGATAATGAGCAGGCCATCAAACATTTCAAACGCGCGCTGAGTCTGGACCCGGACTCGACGCAGACGGTGAAATACCTGCGCATGGTGCAGAAGCTGCTGCGGACCAAGGAGCAGGGAAATACAGCGTTTAAAGCTAAGCGGTACCGAGAGGCGATCAGTTTATACACGGCCGGTCTCGAGATCGACCCAAGCAACAAAGATATCAATTCCAAGCTCCTACAGAACCGCGCCCAAGCACATGTTAATCTTAATGAATATGAAAAGGCCATCGAAGACTGCACCAAGGCGCTCGCCCTCGATCCCGCCTACTCCAAAGCGAAGCGCGTCCGCGCTAAAGCCTACGGCGGCACGGGTGACTGGGAAAAAGCGGTCAACGAGCTGAAGAGCATCGCGGAGAGCAGCCCTGGCGAGAAGGGCATCCAGGAGGAAATCCGCAACGCCGAGTGGGAGCTCAAGAAGAGCCAGCGCAAAGACTACTATAAGATCCTTGGCGTCGACAAGACCGCGACGGAGCAGGAGATCAAGAAGGCCTATCGCAAACTGGCCATCCAGCACCATCCGGACAAGAACCGCGATGGGGACAAGGGTGATGAGCTGTTCAAGGAGATTGGGGAGGCATATGAGGTTTTGAGTGATCCACAGTATGTTTCGGTCCCATGTGTGCGTGTTATAAGGTGCTAATCAAGCTTTTTTTTTTTTTTTTCACAGGAAACGAGCGGGCTATGATAATGGTGAAGACCTCATGGACCCTAATGACATCTTCGCCCAGGGTGGGTTTGGCCACATGGGCGGCATGGGTGGCATGGGGGGTATGGGTGGTGGCCAGAACGTGCACATCGATCCAAACATCCTGTTCAACATGATGAATGGCGGCGGTGGCGGGTTCGCACGAGGCGGCCATAACCCCTTTGAACATGCCCACAGATGGTGATCAGCGAACTCCTGGTTTGCTTTTTTCTCATTACTTTTGGTCTTCTTTTTTTTTTCTTTTTGGAGAGCCAGAGGGACCAAAAGATGGGTTTCTCCCCCATGGCAAGAAAGAGAGAGAAAAGAGAAACATGATAACCTACCTTCTGACAATTTTCTCCTTCCTGTACTTTTTCTTTTGCTCCTCTTTTTTTCTCTTTGTCTCTTTTTCCTTTCATATCTACCCCCCACTCCTCACTGCAGTAAATACCCAACTGCCCTCTTCCCCCTACATACACACTCTTCCCACCACCGCCACCCATTTTCCCGCGGCTGCTTTCATCTTTAATTTTTTGGGTGCTTGAATGGGCCTGGCATTTTTTTTCCTGCTCTCTATTACTCCCGCGGCATTGCATTTGAAATATCAAGCAATTTTGTTTGACCTCCGGCCCCCTTCCTTTTTCGGGGGCTGGCTTGGTCCACGTTGAAAATGATCGCATACAGAAAATGCATAGCACATGAAAGATAGAACAAGCAAGACTTTTCATACCATCATTGCGTCTGTTTCACCTTGATATTGTCTTTTCCTTTCTCTTCTTTTTTTCCCTATTTTTTTCAGGCTCTTTTCTCTCCTTTCTGGTCTTTTTCGATTTGTATCATTTGTGTGCGTTTTCTTTTCCTTCTTCTCTTTTGGACTTTGGACCCCTCGGCAGAATGACTTTTTACTGAGAATGATATGACAATAACCTACACCAGTCCAATGTGCTATATCCAGCCACTCAATTTCCCCTTAGCCATGGAGAAAAGCCAGAAAAAAAAGAAACATAGTTACATAGTTCTAGCAAAACTTTGGTCGAAATAGAAATCGAAATTCACCATTCAATTTTTTTCACCCCTTACCGAAGAATTCTCCTGTATTTATCTACCTGTTCTAGTTGGGCTCCGCGCCATCTTGCGCGGGCTTTGCGCACACGCGCACAGCCCTTCTTGGGACGGGCTGTTTGATATCTTGGCCGTACTTTCTTTTGTTATAGGCCGTGTCTAGCAATTCTGGAGCTCTTTTAAGATAGCTACCCACTGGCCGAGACATTTGTATGCAAGGTACGCGCGATCCTTCAATAGTCCACTTATATTGGGGAGAGAAGAGGTTTTAGCCTATAGCTAACTATTTGCATATACCCAAGAAAAGACAGGCATTTGAATTCCAAACATATACAAAGAAATCCTAAAACAAGAAACAAAACACACATTATTCCATTCCATCCCATCCCATCACTCACTCACTCACTCACTTACACTGCCTCACTCCCACTCCTCGCGCACCCAAAACTCCACATCCCCGCTGGTCCTCCCACTCACCTCGACATCCATGCCCTCGCTCCCCCACCACCGGCTCCGCGCCGACTGCCGCTCATTCACCTTCTTCACGCCCTCGGCCTCGCGCCGCCCGGTAGCACTCACAAACACGTCTGCACCGCCGACCCGCACCGCGCCGCTGCCGCTGCGCGCTCGCACGCGCCCCGCCCACGACCGCGGGTACGACACGCGCACCGAGCCCGAGCCGTGTGCCGCGTGCACCGCCTCCGCGACTGCTACTTCCGCAGTTCTGGCGGCAGTCCCGGAAATCAGCGGCTCGGCGAGCATGAGGTGTGTGCTGCCGGAGCGCGTGGTGGTGGCGATGGAGATGTTGGCGGTGGTGGTGGGCAGGTCGCGAAAGACGAGCGGCGTGAGCCGCGCGTCGATGCTGCCGCTGTGCGCGGACAGGTGCACGCTCGAGGAGAAGGCGACGTTGGCGGTGATCTTGCCGCTGCGGGTGTGGATTTCGATCTCGTATGGCCGCGCGGGGATGGGTGTAGCGGCAGCAGTAGAAGTTGTACTGTCTTCTTCTCCCTCGCTTCTAGTATCGAGGGAGTGTTCGAGCATGTGTTGGATTTCGCGCCATGCGGATTTCATCTCCTTTTTGAACCGCTCAAATTCATGCTTGAAGGTGCCCCTGAAGCCGCCATGGTGCTTGCCATGCCAGCTGTCGCTGCCGGGCGTGCGAAAGTGCACCGAAATGCTTCCGGACCGGGTGTTGAGGATCAGTTTGGCGGGCTTGGCCGGGTCGTTGGGGTCTGCGGGCTGCGGAATGACTTCTACGGCAATGGAGCCGGATCTAGTGCTCAGAGAAAGCAAGTCATACAGTGGGTATCGGCCCCAGATGCCATCAGACGACTTGTGAATCACAATTTCTCTATTATTGGTAGAGCTGTCTTGTCCAAGATGGTCATTGTGATGCTGATGATGTTGCTGTGACTTGTCAGTTCTGCAGAAGTAGACAAAGAGAATCAGACCCGGTGAAACTCACCTTCTTCTTGTTTTGGCACACAAGCTGCACCACAAGCCCAACTAGAGCCAGCACGAAGAAAACCTTGAAAATGATAAAACAGATTCTCTTCTTCGCTGATCGACAGTGGCGCGGGCGCTCTCGAATCCTCCCACAGCAACCGCGCCTGCGAGCCTTTCGGCATCCCGCCTCGGCATCGTCGTTCGCAGCACCGGGAGGATTCTCCTCCCCCTTTTTCACCTCGACCGGAGTGCCTGACGCCCCGACGACGTCCTGATATTCAGGTGGAGGAGAGTCTAGGAGGACATCGCTCTCCGAAGCATAATCCTCCTCCGCCACTGCCTCCTTCTTGGTGACACTATGGCTGTCGGACACAGACGGCGTGTATATCACTTCGCCGTTCGATGTCGTCGCGGAGTTGGATGGCGAAGGAGGGCGGCCATCCAAGACTCCGTTGTCTTCGGATTGCACCGGCGTGTATTTAATCCGGCTTTGGTTTGCCAATGGAGCCATATTTGCTGTACTCCGTCTGCTTCTCGGATGAGAGGTCGTCGTTGGTGCCCGGTTGATTGGGCTCGCTGTCGCGATCAGTCAGCAACGGGCGCCGGAAGATAAGCATGAATAGGATCTGCCATGTTAAAGGCGAGAGAGACATGACGGGCAAGGAACGAAAGAGAGCAGATCTCGAGGAAGTGCAGGATGACGATGATGATGATGCTCAGGGCAAATGGGAGAGAGCAGGCGGGCCATACTTATAGACCGCGTAGACGGTGATGCCTGTCGAGGGCCAATATCTCACGATGCGCTCGAATCCACAACCAACGCAATATGCACAGCGCGTCAGCCACCGGCGTTTGATGTCGAGGACGGGCTAGACGAACTGCTAGGCGGTTAGAATGCACAATACGAGCCAATCCCACCGTGGACGGGGTCCGGTACCAGACTTGAGCGCAGGCCACGCTGTGCTCCGGCGATGGTTCTTCTGCACGGTGCTGACGACGCCGAAGAGCTTGTCAGGCAGCCGAATTATTGCCAACAGGCGCCCGGCCGACACAGCCCGGGCCTGGCGCCAGTTTGGCGTCACGAATCGGCGGGCGCAGGCAGCACCATTCCGCATGGCTCTGGGCAAACTGTAACTAAACTAGTTAGTTGCACGGCAGGCTGCCAGCCGGCAGCCAAATAGCCGCGAAGCTTTCGAACACGCCAGGCAAGGAGGTTGTGATGAGAGCCTGCCAGCTTGAAGACACAAAAAATGGAAACGAAGGACGAAAAAGCAGGAAACTTTTGTCTCGTCGTCATTCATAGTTAACTACTCAGTGACTCAGCACTGCTGCCAACTTAGCTCACGAACTATAGAGTATATAAACCACTTTCGCCCACTTCCGCCTCCCTCTCTCTCTTTCTCTCCCCATGCAGTAAGGTAAGCCACACCCCCCCCCTCTTTCCTCCCCTGCTTGTTGTTTGCTCGGCCTGCCGTGAGTGGAACTAGATATCTAACTACAGAGAGGTCAGCCTCTCTGTAAGCCGGGTCCATACCGGCAGAAGTGACTCCCGAGGCAAGTCGGGAGCCCCCAAGCCCCACCGCATGAGAGCCTGACTAACTTATAGATAGCCTGACAAACATGGCCTCTAGAAAATCTGTTGTTCTAATCATCGGCATATAGCCTCATATCGTAACAAGGTTTCTATCATTGGCGTGGGACTATTGAGTATGTGGGTTTCACATACCTTTCTGTGGGCTCTGTGGGCTTTGTGGGCTGTGGGCTGTGGGCTTTGTGGGCTATTAAGAGTCGGCTCGCCATCGCTTCTGCTGAAGAGAGTGATGATATTCAGCGACCAAGCTTATTGCTTCCACTTCGCCCCTTTCTGTGGGTGTTTGGAAGCATCTGCCTTGCGAGCACCTCTTATCTGACTCTTCATACAACACCCTATTCACATATACCCTTGTTCTGTCTTCCTATCTGTGGGCGTATGTTAGCATGATAGCCTTGTAGTGTATAGATCTTGACACTTAACCCTTGCCCAGCACCTATCTAGAACTCGATGTTTCTCCCTTTGTTTTCTATTAGAACCTATTAAATTCGTCTAAAGCCTTTAGGCTTATGATGGATGATGAGAAGAAGAAGAAGAAGAAGAAGAAGAAGAAGAAGCAGAAGGAATGGGGGTTTGTTTTGAGAATTTATACCCTCTTTTCTGTTCATTCGGAAGGAGCTATATACCCTCTAGATAGATGAAGAAATGCAAGTGCAACACGCCTGGTTCGTGGCCTTGTCCCTCGTTGCTACTATATACAGTATTTAGGTGTATTGCCGGGCTCTCCTTCCGTGCTGGCCTCCTTTGGTCCTTGACTGGAAGGCGGAGACGGGCCGTAGAAGGTGCTATAAGAGGTAACTCTTGCTCGTTGGCTAGGTAGAATGTCTACGCAATGGTACAGATATAGAGGACATGGATGGCAGCGTATTCTTACTGACGACACGGCAGAAGCGCCGACATAGCTGGAACCACTCGAACTGACAACTATTTCAGGGGTTGAATTACTATACAACTGATGCCATTTCGATGATCAAGAAACCAAGAACAAATACATAATAGCACAGAGAAACAAGTATGGGAAAAATTAGGCACACACTAGGGGGGGTAATCACAGGTAGCAAGTTTTTGAATACAGAAACTTCTTTGTTCATCAATCATAAAGCTCAACAGGATTTCCAGCCATCATGGTCAGAAGTATTCTTTTAACAGAAGGAATGCATACTGACCCTGAACTCCAGCGCTAATGATGCAGAAAACACAAATCAGGGGGGGTAGTAGTTAGCACTGAAACCGCTCAAGTACAGGCAGGAGAAAACAAAAGTCAAAGAACCATGGGGAGATACGCCGAGGGGATGTAGTGAATGGGAGTGTGCAAAACTCATGCAACGATATTGCTTTATGATTGTGTGAAAAACAAATCACAGTTCTTCTTCAGCCACTCTCACACACTCTTGCTCCCTCCTTTTTTTCAAAAATTCTCTTTTTTTTCTTGTTCTTTCTTCAATATCCCAAGCCAGATATGATCGAGTGTGTCTCGCTCAGAGGCAGCCCGCAGATCCCCAGAGCACGAACCTGGCTTCCTTTACGCAACCGCTGCAAACCAACAGCAACTTTCCAGGCCTCAGTCTCCGGCACCACAAACACATACTTCTTCCCTTCCTGATCTCGAAGACTCGCCCGAACCACATGAAGACCTCGCGTGCTCTCACCATCAGCACTCTGCCCGCTGCGACTCGCCTCAAGGCGACATTCGTTCTTGCAGCTTTTGAGCAAGGAAGCTAGATACGCGTCTGAATCTTCGCTGCTGATCGCCTTCGACGCCTGAGCCACTATGCGAAAGGGGTTGAGCGTGGGCGCGCTCGAGCGCGTGTTGGGCGGTGGACTTGCTCCCATCAAGGGACACCAGACTTCTACCAGTTTCATTGTCCAGGCCTTGATGTCCCATTCGCGCTGGGCGACGCCGCGCACGTCGTCGTCGACGAACATGCCTTCCGTTGTAATACGCAGAACCAGACCATCCGTGACGACGCCGCGGCCGGACACCAACTGCGCCACAGGGGTTTTCATAAAGGCATTGTTAAACGAATACACACCGTGGATGACGACCTTGTCAGGATTTTTGGTGATGTATGGACCCCGTCGAGATGGTGGCGGCGTCGTTCGCGCGGTCGTCCGTGAAGCATCGGAAAACACTGAAGATGCACACGACTTCTTTGGCGTCCCGGGCTTCGGACGATCGTATGGACGAAAAGAATACGCGTCGTCGTTGTTTACCGTAGTTCTTGCGCTAGAAAACGCGGTTTTCTGGGGTGAGGAAGGCTTTTGAGGAGAAGATGGCTTCGGTTCAGTCCTAGCGGACAACACTGATGGAGCTTTTCCGGCCTTTTCTGCAGCTGCTTTTTCTGCGGCCCGTTTTGCTATCGCTGCCTCACGAGCCGCCGCGAACCGGGCTGCCGCCTCCTGACGCGCCTTGTCCTTTGCAGCTTTCTCTGCCGCCTCCTTGTCGGCTGCTTCTTTCTCAGCGCGTTCTTTCGCTCTCTTTTCCTTCCACTCGCTATATTCTTTCTCGCGCACTTCTCTGTCGCGTTTCTGCTGCTCTTCTTGCGCGATTCTCTCTTGCTCTTCTTGCTTACGTCTCTCCTCGTCGGCGCGTTTCTTACGGAACTCTTCCATCTTTCTACGAACCTCCTCTTTTCTTCTCATGTCTTCCCTTGCCTTTTCCCAATCAGCCTTTTGTTTCTCCCGTGCCTGCTTGCTGTCTGATTTAGGCGCCATTTTTGGGTCCAGTTTGGGTTCTTTCTTGGGTTGCGGCATAGGCTCGGATTTAGGCTCAGGCTCAGGCTTCGGTGCAGGTTTGGGCGCTGGCTTGGCTTCTGGTGGTGTTGGAGGTTTGGGTTCAGGTGCTGGTTCGCTTTTTGGTTCAGGTTTTGCCGGTTCTGGTTCGGGCTTTGGTGCTGTTTTCGGCGGCGGGGCAGGTTGTGGAGGCGATTCCGGGGTAGGAACGCGATGAGGTTTAGGAGCTTCTCTCGGTCGATCTGCTTGAGGGGGGGTAGGAGGAGGTTGGGGTCGTGGTGGTGGCTGGTGGTAAGAAGATCGAGGAGGCGGCGATGACGATGTGTTGGCGCCAGGAAATGGATTGTCCGCATAATACTGGTGGCCGCCAGGAAATTGGCCACCCTGGTACTGGCTTCCTCCTCCTGGATACCGAGGGCCTGCGCCAGGTGACGGGCCGCCAAATCCCCCACCAGAGTATTGACCACCGAAATTCTGGTACTGGTGACCTCCTGCAGATGGATTGGGGCCGTCAGGCGGAGGGCCACCGCCTGGAGGTGATCCAGGAGGTGGTCCTCGTGGACCTCCACCTCCGCCTGCGCCCGGCGAGCCGTGTCTGTCGCGATTGCGAGGTCGCGGAGGGCTACCGCTACCACTGGCCGGCACGCCCTCTATCTGTGTCCTTCCGACGGTCCAACAAACGACGCCCACACCGATAACCAGCATTAAAACGCCCATTCCCCCGCTCTGCACCACTGTCGCAAACCAGTTTTTCAAAACCGGCAAGACGTTTATGTATAGAACGACACCCAGCAAGGTCGCCGCAACACCGGCTAGAAAGCTGTTTCGGTGGCATTGCAAGGAAGGGAGATACAAGAAACCGGAACCCGAGGAATGAGGAGGAATAATAAAAATGTCATAAGGCCCCTCCGGCAAGTCTGACGCTTTTCGATATTGCCCATCGTCTGCCCCGCCGTCTGCCGTCGTCCTGGGGTTCGCACCATGAGGCGGCGGCGGTGGAGGAGGCGGGCCGTCCATCTTGTGGGAGGAACGGGCCCTCGACAGAAGATTTTTCTAACAGAAGGAGAAGATTCTTTCCCACCACGCTACGTCCACAGTAGTTAAAACGAACGGTCTGGTATAGCTCGATTTGTCCGTCTTGGCAGGCGTTGCTTCATGATTAGAGAGACATAAGCTAGCTGGACAATCAGTTGGGCCTCGCGTGGCACTTTGGGCTTTGGCGATGCGCAGCAGCGTATTAGAGCGACTGGTAGCACGGGAGATAGGCAGTAGAATTTGCAATCAAAGAGAAGGCTGGCTCTAGTCGAGGATGCACAACGGGCGAGACCAACCCCAGTGTAACGGCGCCAGAAAAAGGCAGCGAGTCGAGCTCCGTGTCGAGAGGTGAAAGCGCGGGAGACGGAGCACAACAAAGAAGCGGGGAGAATAGCGAGAAAATAATAAAATAATAAGGGAGACGTGCGATCGAGGATCAACGGGGGGCGGCGCTGAGCGAATTGAAGCGATTATTCTGCAGCAAGGGCGTGTTCTCCGAAGTGGCACTGGCACAACGAGCGATACCCAGCCGGGGCAAGGATGAAAAATTCTCGAGTCCTCACTGGGCCGGTGCGGGCACGGCAGCGTCAGGCCGTCCAGGATCCTCCCGTAAACAAACGCTGGGTGTTGCCAGAGCGTTTTCAGTGGACGAGACCGTTGCTATCAGTCTGGCAGAAAACGCTAACGGCTGCGCGCCTCCAATCGGATGCCACGAGACGCCGCCAACCTGCCCACCAGCTGGGGAATTTCCTGGCAATAAATGTGACCGGCCCGCTGCCGTTGAGTTTATTTCGGACGCAGCTGTGGTGCCAATGCCGCTGTCTGGCCTGTGGTGGTGGGAGTCTGGAGAGGGGCAAATAATGATGAACTACGATTCTACAGGAGGAACGGCGTTGACAGCGAGATCTAGTCAACTAACTACGGAAACGGCCGACATAATCAAACAACACGGCACAGACAGGCAGCGACCCCAGCGTTAATAATAATAATTTAGTTTTCCATCGTAGCCACCCTTGCGATCCTCTTAATCTCACCGCTCCCTGGTGGAGCTGTTGGGGTAGCTGGGTTGGCGACAAACCAAGGTTGCAAAAGGACATGCTGCTACACCTACGATATGCACTACCCGCTGTTGCTCGTCTTGGTCGCTTGGATGCTGTGCGGTTTGCTGATGCTGTTCTGCAGCTTTGGCGACAGCCCGCGTTGTTTGTTTTTAAATTTCCACTCTTGGACTAGCGTATGTGACAGGATATCTGATTGGCTAACCTTATTTTGAGATGCCGGGCTGCTTAGTCACCTCCCGCTCCCTGGTGACTAGCCTAAATAGGACTGGCTCCGTTTCAACCCCAACCTGCCCAGCACCACGCAAGGTCTCCAACGAACTCCTTCGGCGCTCTGACGACTCCTTCATGCACAGACCGGTATGGCAGCCGCCACAGGTGACGAGCTCGCCCGTGGCACGGTCCGGAAGATAGACTTCATTCTCCTTCCGTTTCTGTCGCTGTTGTTTCTGGTAAACTCGCTGGACAGGTCCAACATCGGCAATGCCGAGACCGCCAATTTTACCCGCGATGCAGGACTGCAGAAGGGCGATCTGAACGATGCGATGGCGTGGTTCTTCGTCTTCTTCGTTGCGCTGCAGCCGGTCGGTGCGGCGGCTGGGCGGAAGTTTGGAATGAGCATATGGGTGCCGACTGTGATGAGCCTGTGGGGGGTGTGCACTTTGCTGCACATCTGGGTGAGGCGGCGGTGGCAGCTGATTCTTATTCGAATTGTCTTGGGGACATTAGAAGGTGAGGGCCTCTTCCCGGCTCTCTCAGCTACAGGTTCCCCGTCAAAAATCTCCCGTTGGAGAATCGTTGGGAACCTTGCTGTGATGATGCATGAATTAATGCCCACCCCTTCAGGGGTTTCCTGGCTCGCAGTCGTTTCATATACTAACAACGGAGATATTTCCAGCGGGCTTCTATCCCACAGCTGTGTCATATCTGTCGCTTTTTTACACGCGATATGAGTTTGGGCGGCGTCTAGGCCTATTTTACGGGTCGTATGGTGTGGCTGGTGCCCTTGGAGGTCTTTGTGCCTTCGTTGTGTTCTCCCGGTTTCCGTCTGACGACGACGATGCAGCAAAACGACTGGACTCTCATAGGTCGTGGAAACCTTGGCAAGTCCTCTTCCTAGTCGAAGGGCTTTTGACAATTGTGATTGCCCTTGTTGGCTTTCTCTGGCTGCCGAAGAGCGCCGGCACTGCGTGGTTCTTAAGTCCGGAAGAGAGAAAATGTGCCCAGGTGCGTGTTGCTGCTGATCGCGAAGTGGCTAATCAGCATCGATCGGAAACGGCATCGACTACGGACATCGGCACGGAAGAGGAATTCCTTGAAGAAGACGCAGAGCAGTCTCGCAGATTACTGGAAGACGAGCAGACAATGACCGAGAACAGGGCTATCGTTGCTGGCAGTGATGCATTCACCACAGATGCTGGGTTATCTAAGTCGGAGATGCTCTCGACCATCTTGTTTCTACCGATGATTCTCCCTATCCTCATCCTAAACATAGCGTCTGCAATTCCGAGTACAGGCTTTTCTATCTTCCTCCCGATAGTTCTATCCTCGATGGGGCTCTCGTCTCCGGTACACAGCAACCTCCTTACAGTACCTCCGTTTCTTCTAGCGTCGATAACTCTCTATCTCTTCATGCATTGGAGTGATAGGTCACACAACCGCTTTCGACCTATACTGGTCAGCCTCGGCGTCATTATGGCTGGACTTGCTCTCACTCTTTTACTCTCCCCGCCCTCGGGCCCTACCGGAACTACAATGCTTTATTTCTGCATGTGTCTGCTTTTGAGCGGCTGCTTCATCCCAAGTCCCCTCACCGTCGCGTGGTATGCGGGGAATATCCCCGACCCCGGAAAACGAGCGATCGTCCTTGGCATCAATGGTTATGGAAATCTGGCCGGAGTGTTTGCCACTCAGATATTTGCCCCCAAGTACCAAGAAGATGGATTCCGGATCCCGTTCCTGATCACCTTTGTGATTATTCTCTTGAGCCTTCTTGGGTTCGCTGGGCTCAGAGGTGTGCTTGGACTGATCAACGGAGCACGGAAACGATATCTACTTGGATGGTCCGAGGCCGATATTGCGGATGAGCAATCTTCGGGAATGGGCAGGAAGCAAAGCTGGGGCGAAAGGGCACCACCTCTGGTGATTGTTGGGGGAAGCCTCTGGGACAAATACGTGAGATATTATGTTGGTATGGGCCTTCTGGGTATGGATGCGGAGTCTATCAAGGTTAGACGAGGAGACGAGAAGTTAACGTTTTCTTATGGGTATTAACGATACAATCACGATTAGATCTGGACATGACTGCATATAGATGATATATATTAATTGCTAAAATTTTTCAATTAATGGCGAGGCCACCAGTTGATCACCATTTGTTGCCTTGTGTCCCTGGGATGTTTTGCAAGTTCTGGATCCGGTTGGCCCGCAAATCCCACCGCTTTTCCTAACATCATAATACATACAAAAGCTTAACTATCAAATATATAACCGCTCATCAAAGGTATCAAAGTCTCCTTTCCATCAGCGAGCAATGATGGTGTCTGATGGAAGACTATCCTGCAGCCTATTTCAGCGGATTATCTATTATGTTCTCATTGCCGATATTGCATCACCGTACGCCTTGAAGATAAGATCATATAGATGTTTCGGGCCTTGCGGGGCCCCGACTATCAGCCCCTGTTCCCCACGAGGAAGGGGTATATCCCAGATAGTTCAGCAAAGGAGTTTGACAAACTCAAATTTCGGAGGGAACTCCTCCAGCAGATATTCAACCCCGTCAAGTTGCATATCTCCATGCTTCGTTCTTGCAATTGCCTTGTAACTCCCAGTATACCACCCCTTTAGCGTATTGTCTTTGGGTTGATCCTGTGGCTGTTTCGATTTTTTCCAGCCTTGTCGTGCACACTGAGAATCTAACTAACAGCCTGGCTGTCAATGTAGATGCTCATGGATGGGTCAAAAAGTGTGGTCACCAGGACACTGAAGCCAAAGACAGGAAGAAAAGGCAGAAGAGGAAGAGGCCATATTGCCACCTATGCCTGGAAAAACCCACCCTACCCGTGGCAGGCGCACTCAGAGGGAGAGTCGGATACTCAGCAGAGTATACCATGCAATCGATTAGGCAATACTGGCTGTATTAGTAGTAGTGGGGGTAGATCGAAACCATGAGCTAGCTGCATTTTGATAAAGCGGCCATATACTCCGTACTCATACTACATCCGAATATTAATTTGACTCTTTGAGGAATATTTTGCGTGCTGATCACTTCGAAGACAGGTGCTCCACGAAGCTGCTAGGTGTTAGCATGGAAAGAAGACGGCAGCTTCCGGGCTCAGAATCGTGAAGGAGACGCCCAGCTGCTTCCATCATTACCGGAATAAACTTCTCTCTGATCTGTTCAGTTATGATCCGATGAGTGACGTTTCGTACGCGTCTCGGCGTCAAAGATACCCGTATTACCGCATAAAACGACCGTCACGGCGGTACCGGAAACAGGATAACGCGGTTTCCGGCTGCCTGCGCTGTCGCTCTCCGGCTTCACGTCTTAACGGCTGCGGGCGAGGATCATCCAACTCGCAACCTGCACACATTTCTACTGTTCCGGCTGTCTATTCTTCGGCAGCTTTTCTTCCTCTGTTATATCTGCCCGCCCTTTAACCCCAATGCACGGCTGTTCCTGATTACTGACCCTCAAGGCTCCCTGATCCTGGCTGCCAAGTACATGCATCGTCGAGTCTCCTAACACTGTGCTTATTTGTTCGCCCCGCAAGCCCACGAATTCCCCCTTCGGCCGTCTTCTTCGACTGCCCGATGACCTCCGCAGCTGTGGTGCCGGCAGGCACCTTTATTCCCGGAACGAAAGTCCAAGTTGGAAACCACCGTGTCGTCATAGAAAAATACCTCTCGGAGGGCGGTTTCGCCCATGTCTACGTCGTTCGCCTCCCACAACCTGTTGACGGCTCCGACACTGCGGTGCTGAAGCGCGTGGCCGTTCCAGATAAGGCAGCTCTGGCGAATATGCGCACTGAGGTGGAAACCATGAAGAAGCTGAAGGGACACCGACATATTGTGACATATATTGATTCGCACGCATCGCAGCTTAAGGGTGGTGGATATGAGGTGTTTCTGCTTATGGAATTCTGCGCCGGTGGCGGGCTGATTGATTTCATGAACACGAGACTGCAAAATCGGTTGACGGAACCGGAGATTTTGAAGATATTCACGGACGTAGCAGAGGGTGTTGCTTGTATGCATTACCTCAAACCTCCTTTACTGCATAGAGATTTGAAGGTGGAAAACGTTTTGATCTCGCTAAATGGATCTTCGTACCGGTACAAGCTCTGTGATTTTGGATCTTCCGCGCCCCCTAGGCCGCCTGCGACTTCTGCTGCTGAGGGACGGTTGATCGAAGACGATGTTCAACGCCATACTACCTTGCAGTATCGGAGCCCGGAAATGATTGACGTATACCGAAAACAGCCAATAGACGAGAAAAGCGACATATGGGCACTAGGTGTGCTCCTATACAAACTTTGCTATTATACTACTCCTTTCGAAGAGGTAGGGCAGATGGCAATTTTGAATGCCAGTTTTAAATATCCCGCGTACCCACATTTCTCCGATCGATTGAAGCTATTGATAGGTAAGATGCCTCTACCAAACGGATTGGAACATCGTCTAACGGCTCGTTTTAGCGACAATGTTGAAAGAAAACCCACAAGATCGGCCAAATGTATACCAAGTATTGCGTGAAGCATGTCATATGGGAGGAAAAGAAGTTCCAATTCGAGACGTAAGCGTATTATACCCTGTAATCATGCTTGAAGGCTAATTCGAAATTGTAGATTTATGCTGGCCGTACACAGTCAGAAGCGCGACAATATCAGAAGTTGCCAATTACCGCTGAAACACCAAAAATTGGTGCTATATTCTCCCCGCCTATACAAGAGACTCAGATAATACCGGAAATTGCTCCTATGAGAAGAGGTAGACCTGTGAAGCCTATCTCAACTCAACACTCTGCCAAACCAAGCCCATCACCTCTGCGAACCCCTGCACAGGACCCATTTGCTGCCCTTGACGGAGGAACCAAGAAAACAAATGCGGATGAGCTTTCTTCTAGATTTCCAACATTAGATCAATTTTCTCTTATTCACGAAAAAAGCGGCAAATTTGAATTTGAACCCACTGTGGCTGCTGATACAAATGCGCCAACGGAGGATCTTTCCAAGAGAATAACAAACGCTCTCGCAGATGATGCTTTTGTTAAACCCCCCACAGCTCCTCCTCAGAGGAGTCCAGCTCTGGGAGGACAGCCTACTAAAGTTTCACGAAAATTTACAGAAGAAAACATGACTCAGACAAATATTCGCTTAGAACCTCTACCGCCAATCTATCAGCCCAAGCCCCAAAAGCCAGTCATGATATCTACCGGTACAATGACATCCCCATCTCCGCCCCCTCCACCTGTAGATAATGTCACACTGCCGGCCAAGCCGTCTCATAGGCTCTCGGAAACACCCCAAATCAAGCGACAATCTTGGGACCATGGTCTTAACTTGCTGGGTAAGTCGCGGGATATTCTAGGACGACGGTCTTCCAGGAATCTTTCATCAGATGACCTCCCCAAATCACCTGCATCTTCCAGGCCCTCTCTGGAAGGACCTCGCCCATCAGCCACCGACTTGAACGATCCTTTAGCCACTCGCTCAAAGTCCGCAAATGCAAAGTCACGACCATCCAGCGCATATTTTGGGTCACGAATCGAAAATTTAAGGGACCAGGAACCCTCACCTTCGCTATATGGGTCGAACTCGCGTCAAGAATCCAATGATAGTGGCGAGCTACTTCGCCCAGTACGTTCAGATACAGACCGCAAAATCTCATCCGATGTCGATTACTTAAGAGCCAAAGAAGAAGAAGAGCAAAGTCGCAAGCAAGAAAAGCGATCCAGCACGGGATCGAAACATGTGAAACGCTCGAGTCTATCCTCTCTATCGCTATCCGGCACAAAAACGCTATTCGCCGGTAGATTTGGTGATGCTTTCCGTCGATTCGAAAATAATGGCACTCACGACCCTAAAGGCCTTTCCCAGGAAGAGCGATATGCCGACCTTAGCCCAATTACCGGGTCGGAAATTGCCGATATGAGCGATGACGGCCCCTCCGCTGAAGAAGACCATTTGTCCCCGGAAACGCGACGTGAGCTCGAACGGCGCCGACTGTCACAAGAAGAAAAGAGAGTTGCCAATGCTGCGGCAGAATATCGACAAAGGGTAATTGAAAAGGGAGGGTTGGGTGGATCGGCTGAAGGGCCGAAATCGTCTGTGATACAAAATAAGGTCGAGTCCCTCCTCAAAGAAAATGTTAAACCCTCGACAAAAACTGCTTCAGGGTATGGTAAATATACTGATGCAGAAGCTGCTTTGCAGGCGAAGCAGTTTGAAGGTCCTGTCGAGAGGGCAACGCCGAATGTGATTCGAAGACCCCCAACTTCAAATCAAGAGTTCGTTCCACGGCCGTCGTCAAAAGATATCCAGAGCTCTAGCGGATTCAAACATGCGCCTGAACCTCCACATGTCCAATTACCAATACGCCCTGGCCCTCGACCCGTTGCACCTCCAAAGCCAAAAAGTTTGCGCAGCACCGGTGAATCACCAACAGACGCTGTTTCTGAGGGGCGTTTCCCAATCGACCGCAAGCCCTCTAATACCAAAGAAGACTGGGAAATCAGCTTCAGCCGCCGATATCCAAGTCTTTCTGGACTCGAATTGGTAGAAACGGAAATAGACTTGCCTACACCTACGACCGCGAGCCACAAAGTACAGCTGATGCGTACAAAGGAAGTATAGCTAATGATATGTGGTATATTTGCATATGTTTTCGCATTATTTCTCATTTTACCTGTATAAATTTCTTAATTTTTTTCCACCATCGCATATAATGATTTTTATCTCGACGGGCAACATGTCGGACCTAAATGGATATATGGCTTTTCCTCTACAGCTTAGCCTGTATACTCCAAGGCAATTCCTTTGGACATGTTTTGTTTATGCAACTTATGCAGACTGTTGTCTGTACCTTTGTCTTTGTTTCTGCATTTTGAGCGAATGTCTTACGTTGAAGCATCAGTATTAAGGACAATACATGATAGATTTACTCCGTACTCATCATATTCAAGCATGGAGATTGTTGTTTTTTGGCCGAGGTCGGATATTTGATTATGTAATCATAGCTAGAAGCCAGCCTGCGCTTTTATTGTCTTAAGAATTGACAAATTCACTGTTGGAATAATTGGAGTCCTGAGTACATCAGTATCGACAGGCAAACTATGGCGCCAGTAACATTGAGCCAGATTGACGGTAAGCCTTAAAGCTGCCCTTAGACTTGATACAGCCATGGATGCTAAGACCTCCTGTCGCAAGATGACCTCAAAGACGTAATTCAGAATTTTTTCGAAATCCAGTCAGCAGTGCATGGATACCTGGGCCCAGAGACACAGCAAGAACTTGTCAAGAAACTGTTCGTTCCCATTCCCGCCCTTGCTTGCTGTCCGACAACGATGACTTGCTAACCCCCGCAGAAAATCGTTGACCATTTCCCTTCAAACGCTCTCCGCACATTCTGCAGCAGATCCGTCGTATGTTGAACCGTCACTATCCCGGCTTAGCTTCTCCTCGCCGAATCCCCCTCTACACAGCGTCAAGCTGCCGCCTGAAATCATCGACTATGTCGACGCGGCGCGCAACCCGGATATCTACACGCGAGAGTTCGTGGAGCTAGTGCAGAAAAGCAACCAGGATCTGAAGGGAAAGATGGAGGCGTTCGCCAGTTTTCAAGAGGTGCTAGCTAAGGAGATGGAGAGCGCAATGCCAGAATGTAAGAAGGAGATTGAAAGGGTGATGGAAGCGACCGGAGGGAAGACTAGGAGTTCGTGACATGATTGTGGCTGGGAGACGCAGCAGAAATCCTTCATTCATGCATTATTGAAGTGAAGCGGGGAATCAAATGCTGTCCGGGGCTTTACACTACGGAGTACTGGAGATGGTTTGATTTCGAACGACTCTAAATGGTGGAAGGAATAGCAGGTTTCAGAGGTGCAGGGGAGCCGCCTGCGGGTTTGCGGGCGCCGTTTGATCTCTTGTGAAAACAGCACCTTCTACTCCGGACTCCGTACGAATGACGGAGTCGAGAAAATCCCGTAATTTTCCGAGCTATGACGATTCGGGAGCTGCCCAGAATACTCCTTCACTGCGGGCTTGCAAGGGGTGCTACGTCCACCGTGCGCGTAGCTCAGTCCAACAAAACGAAAACGAAACACCGGAAAAGTATTGAAACGGCCTCACCGCTCGATTGGGGGCCCGATGGTTCTGCGATGGTGGCGTGAACAGGGTGCCAGGAAGCGTCGAGATGCCCACCTCTTCTGCCTCCCCTCGCACAGAGAATCGTCGATTATTATTACTCCGTACGCAGTACTTTGTACGGAGAATTCTCGTTGCCTTTGGGTTGTCTGACTAAGCGGAACAACCGTTCGCCTGGTTCGGCTAGCGCTTCCCAGTCGATATCCTTGCGAGCCGCAAACCCACACAATCGAGCAGAACTTCGGACTTTCAGACATCGATTTATTTTTATTAAACAGCCGGCGTTGTCTTAACTTGCTCCCGAAGCGAGGGAACCCCAACTGCGGTTGTACGCCCCTTATTATATATATTATCATCATGCCGCTCCTTCAGCTTCCCCCGGAGATTCTGATACTAGTGATGAACTACGTGGGATCTGCTTATTTCCGCAAGGACGTAAGGCGCCTTACCGTCTGTAAATATTGGTTCGTCTTTGCCCACGCCTCGTGTTTCAAGCATCTCCGGCTCTCACAAGCCGCTCTTCTGGACTTGCTCTTTTCCCAAAATGCCGAAAGAGGTTTGCTTGTCGTCCAAACGCTTGTGGAAAGCTTGGACTTGGAACTTAAAGGATTCGAAAACTGGAACCGCCTTCCCGCGTTCTTAGAGTATCTTTTGCAGGGTGTCAGTGCTCCCGATATCGCCCCTAGCTGGGATAAACCCACCGGATGCGCACTGCGTGCAGAGTGGACGGTGATTTTGAACCGCAACCTAACCAGATTCGCGGCCGCAATCAACTCTTCTCGAAAACTGCGAGTCCTCCGTATCCATGCCTTCAGTGAACGTCATCCCCTGTTCCCTTTACTTCAACGTCGCAACTACCTCATGCTACCCACAGTACGCGACTTGCTATCTGTGAGCAATTTAAGGCTCCTCGACCTTGATCTGTGTGGCACCACGTTAACCTCAACAACAGAAACTCCGAATGGCGAGTTTCATATCTGTGCAAGTATTGGTACCCTTCTTCCTACTTTAAAAGGTCTTCGCCTGCGCATGCGCAGCATCTGCGCGGATGTTTTGAAACCCCTGCCGCATAAGACCAACTTGAACTTAAAAGAGGTACTTATAAATCTCAGTTTGTTTGATAGGCCTCCATTGACCTCACCAAAGTCGGCGCACTCCGCACGGTGTGGGTCAACTGACGGGGCTTTTCTTACACTAAAGACAGAGATTAAAGATCAAGCAAAAGCTCTTTCAGCGCTTATGGCATATCCCCAAAAAGTAAGAATTCTAACTCATAAACTCCCGGGCTTCGAAATTCGGTCATTCGATGTTATGACTGGCAAATCCATGATACTTCCGAACAACCTAACCTGGGGCGATGACGGTAAGATTGTCAATGAGGAGGATCCGGATCAGGACTCTGAATTTGAAATTTAACGCATTTGACTCTTGAAAGCATCGCGGCTGTCTACGTATGTGCGGGCCTAAGCACATGTGGCTTTAATCTAGAAAAATCCGTGCTGCGATATGTAACAGTGAAGTAATTTTTAGTTTTTATTCAAGAGACCAGGGTCTATCACCCTAGTGAAGCCTCGCCTTAAAAATCACTAGGCACGAAGCCATCCTTCGGGCCATTATTATTGCTTCGAACGGTAGTCCAACATTAAGCCTTCCGTCTTCATTTTTCCACCAATCTACTCCTCTGTTTTCCATCACTCTAGAAAGAGGCAGGGAGCTGTATACTTTATTAACCTGTTCCTAAGCAATACTATTGCCGTACGTCATCCCTGCGACTCTTTTTCTGACCGCAAGGCTTTACCGAGGCGAAATGATGACGATAGGTACGTGATTTAAGCGCGTCTAGTTAGCTTGAACGTAGCGCTCTATTTTGGCTATGCCTCATATTGCATTTTTCATGCAACCAGGATGGTTTTCCTTTCCCCTGCTCCATGTCCTATACATAAATTACAAAACGACAGCCTCAAACTCAACAATTTGAGGACTTCCCTCGCTAGCTATATACATTCGGGAGAAACTGAAGGCTGTTATCATAGCTTCTCGATAGTGACAGCTTGGACGCTGCTCCAACCAATGGCCGTGATCAAATTGTGCCCCGTACTCGTTGTCAGAATAAAAAAGGTTGTACTGGCCAAGATGACATCGTTATGAGAAAAGGGCGCCGGGCACGATCCCCTAATAAACAATAGTCGGGGAGGCATCATTTTCAACGCCCAGCATGCCGCCAGCCACGTGGGGCGATCAGGATTCAAGGCATGATTTCCCATTTCCCCCCTCTGGTTGCAAGATTATTCTAGGGAGGTGTGCGGAGGACCAGGCGATGAATAGTGATCTCTATGATCGCCTCTATCCCCGCATTGAAACCGGCCGATCCGATTGAAAGTCAGATTCTGCAGCTCCACAAAAAGATTCGCCAGCTGTTGAACCACTTATGAGTGGGTACCAAGAAGGCGTGTATGGAGTATATGGGGAAGGGTTCGTCCACCTAGGTATACTCTATCAGCAGATAAGAGTGTATGGGAGGCCGGAAGGTCGGCCGCGAGACATCTTGAAGTCGAACACCTGAGATCCCGAAATGGAGGTATGGTGAGAATGATGTTCATCATCGTAGCTGTTGCGCCCAGTAATGAGATATGCTCGCCATCAGCTTGTAGGCTGATATGAGATCCAAACCGCCCAGTTAATGTTGTCTGCGATAAGGTTCTTAAAACCAACAACAAAGCGCGAGTGATCGATATTCCAGCCCATATCGAGAGATAAGCTGGTCTGGCGCTTCCGCCGCGAGTCTATTGCGAGTTTCTGCGGATAGTCGAGGAGTCGCCGAGGTGCCGGTATTGCTCCGAGCCGGAAGACAGAGGTGGGTGGGTAAAGTCCGGTCAGCCTTCGCTAGGTCGATCCAGACTAGCCGTCGGACAGGTAGCTAGTTTGGCCAGGCCTAAATAAAGACACGCCGACGAGGCGGTCGCTGCGATGCTGAGCGGCACGGACGTCACTGGGCAGCCACGCGCAGTCACGGGGGTGGGCAACCTCCACGCCGCGCCACCACCGTCGAGGATCTCCAGCCCACCAGCCCACCAGCCCACCGACACGCAGACTCAACGTCCGTCCACCGTGGTGGCTCTGCAGGAGTGGGTGTCGCCATCGAAACAGCGCCCTGAGCGTTGGCTGCTAGGTGGCCAAAGTTCGCCCCAGGGCCCCAGTGGGACAGAAACACTGGTTCTTGGGCCTTACCGCTGTCACCCCGCGCTGGAATCAGGGCTCATCCACGACCCGAAGCCCGTCTGTGGGCGAATCTGCCTCGCCCACCGCCCAGCTGGCCGACACGTCTCCAGAGTGTGCCAAAATGTCGATCGGGAGCCCGCTGGCTGCCGGCACGGACCTGGCCTCTTCACGCAAACTCTCAGCTGGAGGTCGATCCCCAGCCCAGGCCAGCCAAGGGATCGGCGCGTCTTCACGTAACACACGTTTTCACTGACAAACCGGAGGTGCCAAAGTTTCGGCGTCCGTGGTTAGAGATGGAGTCCACCCTCTGACCGACCTGGTTGTGGCTGCTTGCCTCCCCGCCATCTCGGTGCTGAGGTGCACGGGTATGGCCACCTACAGAGCTGCGAACCAGTGAACTGACTTCGGTGTTGCCGCCTGTTACACGGAGAGCCGCCCAATTTCCTGGAATCCTGGGCGATTTCAGCTCTAAAGTATGGCCGCTTGTTGGCGGTGGAGCGTGCCGCTGGCGCGCTCCTTAAAGGATCTCTATGCTTTAATATATCCCTGACGGTGCGCCGATCGCCTCACCACCCAACTTCCTCTCTTCTTCCTTAATTCTTTCAACCATGGCACCGCTGGGGAAACCTGCGGGCTCAGGTCGTTCAGTTTATACTTATTGATATAGCTCGTTGGCGCAGAGTCCGGAGAGGCAGCGGTTCACCGTCGGAAGCGGGCGAGATGGTGACCAGCGGCTTGTCCGGTGCATACAATGGAGGGAGTTTGACGGTCAAGGTGACGATCGCGACGTTTCTCGGGGTGGCCTGCTACAACGCCATCGAACTGTGCATTCTTATTTTTGTCACCTTCAACCGATATCGCGGACTCTATTTCTGGAGTTTACTCGTCGCCGGCATTATAGGGGTAGTGCCCTACTCGATTGGATACCTGATCAAGTTCTATGATCTGATAGACTCGGTATGGCTTTCTGTCACGCTTATCACAATCGGCTGGTGGAGCATGGTGACAGGGCAGTCCGTCGTTCTTTATTCCCGATTGCATTTGGTCCAGCGCGATCGAGTTATCCTTCGCCGCGTTCTGGCTCTCATTATCGTTAATGCGATTATATTCCACATCCCAACGACGGTTCTGACCTTCGGGTCCAATTCGGAGTCCAACCATGAGTTCATCACCGCTTACTCGATAATGGAAAAGGTGCAAATGACGGGGTTTTGTGTGCAAGAGCTGCTATTGTCGACACTCTACATTGTAGAGGCTGTCAAAATCTTGCGATCATCCTCCGACAAAGGGAGCCGAAGAATTATTTACCAGTTGTTGGGCATTAACTTCATTTTCATTTTGATGGATATCGGACTCCTTACAGCCGCATACGCAAATTTCTACGTTATCGAAACGACTCTTAAGGCGATGATCTACAGCGTCAAGCTGAAACTAGAATTTGCAGTGCTGGGAAAACTTGTTCGCATCGTCCATTCTCACTCGTGGAACCCCGAATTTAATCACGGCTCTGATGGGTTACCCGATTTCGTTAATGGTAGCCTTCTCACCACCGACGTCACACGAGCGCCGATGTCTGGAAATGGGCCACCAAAACCTCCGTGGGTGCTCACCGATGGCTCCGATAGACTCGATGAAGAGTTGGCTTATCGAAGAAACCGCTCTCAAAGCTCCCCATCTTTACACACCATGACCTCGAAAAATTCCGTAGCAGTCTGGCGTCGCCCTGTTTCAACAGATGGCATTCCAGGAGTTCTACCTTCACCAACAAACAGCAAATCAACCAACTCGAGTTGGCTGCTACCTTGAAAATTATAGAGGCGTTGAAAAATGTTCAAGACATCGAATCACGGCACCGGAGTAAAAAAAGGACGCTCTATCCACTAGCATGGTCAGATACCGTGACTTTAAGTCATGGTATGTCTACAAATTTTCTTAGGAAGGTTCGTCTTATACCTTATAACGGTGTTTCTTTGCCCTTACTCTTTTAGAATCACTTAACCGTTAAGTAACTAACTCTTGGTCAATAGGAAATTTATCCGTGCCCCGCAATATATTTGCGAGAATCAAGAGATCCGCCGGAAACATGTGGTTGATTTGGGGCATGAAAGCACCCAATAGAACCACACGCGGCACGCCACGTCCCTTCGCTCCCCCTACTCAACAAATACACGGGTCGGAAGTAGAGTTCCTGTGCGATGGCGAGATCTCTTGCTTGCCCGCTAGGAACGAGGAATGGCGATATGTGCCATCAATTGGCAATTCTGTATCAACATAGCTTGTGGGATGCTAAAACAAGCCCCACTAGTATTCATAGCCGTCTATTGTTGTTTCGGCATCTAGTTCAAAGAAATATCTCACTCAGCAGAGACTTGTAACATATTATATAAAACAGACAAGGGTGATTAGAAAAATCCCCTGATGTAAAAATACTTCGATTATATTAGGTAAAAGAATTTATATAGCTACTTTATACTCGTGCTGCTCTAGCTGGGGTTCCGTACTAGATCTCTGGAGAAGCGTTGCAGTCTGTATCCGTAGGGCCAAAGGGGGTATATTAGGGCAGGTTGGGGCTATTTCGGCGCGGATTATCTGCTCCCGAGAACCCTATCAAGTCAAATCAATTCGGCAGAATACGTGCGCGACAAGCAGCTCTGACACCTTCCCATCTTCGCTGATGGAGAAATCGAAACATCTTGGTCTACTCCGGGCTTTCTCCTGATGGGCTCCATGCCCAACATGGCGCCAACGACTCGACGCCGATTCAGCCCGCTCGCATTCACACCTGGCCCAGTTACCATCGTATCATCCCTGATATACATTGCATTCCTCGTTCCACTAATTGTTATTCAACACGTTGTCCCGCCTGCGCCCAGGTCGAACCCAACGGGCATTGATTTATCCGAGGCATGGTCTGATCTGCAGCATTTGACCGGTGGGTTTCATCCGTATAACAGTCGCAGGAACGATGACGTCCGCAAATGGTTATTGCAGCGCGTAGACAATATCTTGGATACGTCGCGCCAGGCATACAGCATCGATGGTGCAACAAGTGTTGCGGCCCCGGATGTGATTGTGTTTGATGATACGCTTTCCAATTTGACGTTTTCTGATGGCCGCGTTGGAAACAAGCCTATCACGGGTGTCTACTTCGAAGGAACAAACATTATTATTTACATTCGGGGCAGTGACGACGATAAAGAGACATGGTGGGATGTTCCTAATGGCAAACCAAAAGGCAAGGGAGGGGTCCTCGTCAACGCTCATTATGACAGTGTGTCAACTGGGTACGGAGCTACTGATGACGGCGTTGGAGTCGTGACGGTACTTCAGCTCTTAAAGTACTTTACTTTCCCCGGCCACCAACCTCGCAAGGGTCTTGTTCTTCTTTTGAATAACGGCGAAGAGGATTATCTTAATGGTGCCCGCGCATTTGCCCAACATCCATTATCAAAATTCACACATACATTCCTGAACCTGGAGGGTGCTGGTGCGGGTGGACGTGCAGCCCTATTTCGAACAACAGATATGGAGGTTACGCAATTCTACGGGAAAGCCAAACATCCATTTGGCTCTGTGATCGCTGCAGACGGCTTTAAGCTGGGGCTCATCCGCAGTGAAACGGATTACGTTGTGTTCAATGGTGCTATGGGGCTACGAGGCCTGGATGTCGCTTTCATGGAACCTAGATCACGCTATCATACGGATCAAGATGATGTGCGACATACAAGTATGGGTTCTCTTTGGCACATGTTGTCAGGGGCCATCGCAACTATAGAAGGCCTAGTATCCTACACGGGTAACAATTTTGACGGCCCAGCTACCAAAAATGGCCATGTAAACAGTGGAACGGGCACATATGGTGTTTGGTTCGATTTCCTTGGCTCATCGTTTGCCGTGTTCCGCCTACATACCCTCTTTGGAGTGTCCGTGGCTCTTCTTGTGCTTTGCCCCATTATTCTATTCATCACGGGTATAATTCTGAGCAAGATGGACAAGATGTACCTCTTTTCTGTGTACAAAACTATACCGGAAACCTGGGAGACTATACCAGTTCAAGGTTTGCGAGGCGTATTTCGCTATCCCGTCATCCTTATCGTCTCGTCCGGAATACTCATGGGCCTATCTTACCTGCTTGCTAAGGTAAATCCTTTTATCGTTCACAGCAGCAGGTATGCTGTATGGAGCATGATGATATCTGTTTGGATATTTGTTACGTGGTTCTTGAGCTGCGTAGCCGATTTTTCCAGGCCGTCGGCATTGCACAGAGCATACGCCTTTACTTGGCAATTCCTTTTCATGTGGGCTGCACTTGTGGCCAATACAGTCCTGGAAAATCAGTATCATATCGCAGCAGGTTTTCCTGTAGTATTCTACTTTGCTGCGACATTCTTGGCCACTCTACTGTCCTACCTGGAACTTTTCGCCCTGCCTAAGAAAACTGAGTATGCTCGGGATCAGAGCCAGTTCCCTGACCGAGTTTCGAGCAGCCGCAGCAGCCGGCTCATGTCACCTTCGGCAGAGGAGTTGCCATTGCCATCTAGCAGCAGTAGACTTAGTTATGAAGCAACCCATGATGAGGATGAAGAGCCCACAGAATCTACCACTTTGCTTGGCAGACAACCAAGACCTACTTTCGCAAACTATATGAGGACAAGGCTGGATCCGGAAGGCGGCGATGCTACTGACGACGAAGGATATATCGAAACCGGTGTTTTTGGCGAAGAGCAGAAATGGAGCGCAACCTTGCCTTCATGGATATGGATTATACAATTCCTCCTACTCGCACCTATCGCCGTACTTTTTATTGGCCAAATTGGCCTTTTCCTTACGTCGGCTATGAATCAAGTTGGCGCCGATGGAATCCGAATGCTTGTGGTTTACGCCGGAATATCTGGACTGTCCATATTGCTTCTTCTACCACTCGCACCATTTGTTCACCGGGTCACTTACCACATTCCTACATTCCTCCTGCTTGTCTTCATTGGCACCCTCATCTACAACCTTGTCGCTTTCCCATTCTCTTCCGACAATCGCCTGAAAGTATTCTTTGTCCAAGAAATGGATCTAGATACCGGTCGAAATGAAGCTTCTTTGGTGGGCGTCGATCCGTTCATTAAAGACATAGCGGCCTCCATACCAAGCGCATCAGGAAACATAACCTGCGTTCCAGATAAGATGGCTGGACGAAGTAAATGCTTTTGGAAGGGCCTCGCCCCTAATGTTGTTGATGGAACACCCAGCGACAAGTGGCTCACGTTTAATATGACCGAACCTACAACCCAGACAAAAAAGAACAAGCCTACCTTGCTTCACTCCCGATTCCATATCTCCGGTAAAAACACCCGGGCTTGCAAACTTCGATTCAACAACGCCGTGAGCGATTATTCCATCTCCGGCTCCGCTCTAGACAGCCGGATGCCCCATACCGTCCCGCAAGGTATCTCTGATATCCGGCTTTGGAGCCGGACGTGGGAGAATAACTGGATCGTTGACGTTTGGTGGGATAAAGATGACTTTCAAGAATTGCATGGGAAGGCTGCGTGTTTGTGGAGTGATGCTAACGAACCTGGGGCCATACCCGCGTTGGATGAACTAAGGCTGTTTGCGCCACCGTGGGTGGCTATCTCAAAAGCCCATGATGGGCTAGTTGAGGCGAGTCGTAACTTTTGAGGTGGAATCATGCCGATTTTAGAGGAGAGGCTAGATATGATTTTATGCGCTTTCCTTGGTAGTAGTCGTGGTTGCTGGCTAGGAAACTCGGGTTGAACTATTTTTCACGTATAATGTATGTATCTATGATATCCGGGGGGTTCGTGTTGTATTTAAACTCTTAACAATAAATCATTTGACATATTTCTCTACGAGCGCTCCATAGTATGCACTTATGTGTCGGTATATGCGTTCATTCGGGCATCTTTCAAGAAAAGCACCGCGTGTCAACCTAGACTCCTGCCATGCAACCCTCAAGCTACCCTGCAAATGTAATGAACATCAACTAGGTATGACTTCAGCAAAAGCCACAGTGATAATGAACATATCTCCTTGGTGCCATTATGCCAGTCAACTATCACCTATAAACAAAAATGCCGCGCTCATGCTATCATTAACATCGTAGCCTGACACCAACTCACCACCTTTTCAGCAATCAATCTCCCAGAAGCAATCGCAAGATACAGAAGAAGGAAAAAAGCCAATGCAAGTTTATTTGAAAAACGAGACATGCAAAGATATCAGGATATCAGCAAAAATAAAATTGATCGGATACAGCCTTTTATACGACAGTAAGGCAAGGCAGGGTAATGATAGTGCCATATGTCGAGTTCAAAGTAGTGCTTCCGGTGTTTATATAGTGAGTCTCTGAGGCACAATTTGACATCGCTCCATCAGATATGGAACGCGTAAAGACTAAATCCTTAGATTTTTTATAGCTATGAATGAATGGCCGGCGGACGACTCTTCAAGCATCGCAAAGGCACTTTTCTGGGCCAGGTTTCGGATGAGAGAATTTTGGAGTCCACCAACTAGCTTTGCGTAGGAGGTACTGTTTCTTCGGGGCTTTCGGTATCGTCGTCATTAAGAACGGTGGCATTCATAAGGCCGGTGACTTGACCTTCTTCCTCATCAAGTTCCTCAGCATCATCAAACATCGTTCCTTCTTCCAGCTCCAATTCACGATGGTAAGCTGTTGCCGTTTGATTTAAGAAGTCTCTGAGTCGTTTAACCCCTGCACCACTAAAAACACAAAAAACTTCCCTTTGCTGTGCAGTAAATTCGGCAGGAGGTTCTCGGCAAAAAGTAGTTAGCTCTTCTCGCAGAAATGCATGAACTCCAGTCAAACTGAGGTGTGTAAGCCGAGGGCAGTGATTAAGTAACTCATGAATCCCCTAGACAACTGCTTAGTATTTTCATCACAGGGATCAAAATATTTGGGACATACATACGTCAGTAGTAAGATTAACGCAATAGCTCAAGTGCACCCGTTCCAGAGAACTGACTAATGGATGCTGGGGAATGCGTGGCTTGGCCAATGCATTGATACTTCGGTCAGTAATCGCCTGACACTTGACCAGGCCTATTCTTCGTAGTTTCGGTAGCGTTGCTAATTGCTGCACGCTCTCATCGGTCAATCTGTGGCAACAGGCTAAATCTATGTATCGGATACGGTTGCATGATTTGACAAGTTGAATAACTGCAGCGTCGCTAATATTAGAGCAGTGACCGAGGTGAACATAGTGTATGTTCCTGCCCAACCGGCAAATCGCTTGAACTGCACGGTCGGTGATGAACCTGCACTTGGCCAAAACAAGATTTCGTAATCTCGGGGCCGAATTGATGATCTTCTCAACCGCGCTATCTCCCACACTTTCACAAGCGGTTAGATCTAAGATGCGAAGGCTATCAAATACTATTCCGTCCGGCAAATTCAGGAATGCGTCATCGGTAATGCCGACGCAATGAGCAAGCCGTAGCTCTCGGAGATACCGAAGGGTCGACAGAAGGTGGGTTACAGCCGTGTTCGTTATCAGCTTACAGCCATGAAGGTCGATCTCAAGCATCGAAGGACAATTTTCAGCAAACGCTGCAATCGCTCGATCGGTGACTTGATGGACGCCGTTCAGTTTTAACTAGTATTACATTTAGTATGCCATTCTGAATCTGGAATTATCCAAAAAACTTACTCTTTTAATCTGATGGCAATTCCGAGCGAGCGATACAAGTGAGTCGTCGGTTATTTTCTCACAACCAGTCACATTCAAACCTTGGAGTCTAGGGCAATTCCGACCAACGATTAGAAGCGTATGGTCCGTGAGGCTCTTCAAGTCTGAGACATCTAGTGCTTGAAGATGACGATTCCCATCAACAAGATCAGAGACTCCAGTGTCAGTTAACAGGAGGCAGTTTGTCAACGTTAGTCTTTCAATTCTTTTACACTGGACAAACGAGATTATTGTGCCATCGTTGACCTTGGAGCTCAAGGACGAAAGATTCAGCCGTTTAACCAGATCGTAGTATGGAAAATAGCTATCCGGCGTGCTGATGGCACCGGCGACTTTCTTCAAATTCTCCCATGTATTACACGATGGTCGATGCCACAGCAAACCCACACAGTGTGATGCCCATCTCTGGCAAACCGTCATACAGTTCAGCATATCCGCAGGGGACGAAAGTTTCGCAAAAATGGCAATAAGGAGCTCAGGAGGTAGCCGAGAAATAGGCGGAAGCGTGACATCTCGGCCATCGACTCGTAGGTCCCGCAGATTTCCAACACCGACAGAGGACTGCGAATCGTTCGCCTGGATAAAGAAATCCGTATCATCGTCGACCACGCGTTCTGGGGAGGTAGATGACGAGGACTCTGAGGCGGCGCCACCAGAAAGCCGCAGGTAGCCACGCGAGCGAAACATCCTGGCAAATGGGAAGATTTCAAGGAATATCCAGCCCAAATACGTGGCGTATCCCTTTATATGGGCTTTCACAGTGTAGGACAAAGGGGATTGAGAGGTGTGGACGGAGCGAGGCAGGGCGGCGGCGGGGAGAAGGGGCTGGTGTGATGGTAACAACGACGCTTTCCGGCCAGACAACGGTCAAACTGTGTAGCTCTCCTGATGAGGCGACGGGAGGATAAAGGTAGGCGCCGACGTAGGAGGGTTCGTGAAACAGCGACGTGTGTCAAGCGCGGCTCAGGTGGCACGACCTGTGAGGTAAGAGCCTGGAGGACGATGGCTCAGTGGCGGGCGGCGGGTAGAGAGACAAGGAGGCGCATCAACAAAGGCCGTGCAACAGAGGGCAGTGTGCTGGAAGGAGAATAGCGGCTAGGCGGATGGCTGTAGATGTCGAAGGCGTTTCATATTCCAGGGAGCGCGCGGCAATGAGGAGCCGCCTGCTCCAGAACTAAGGACGGGCCGGAAGGTGGCGGGGGTACGGAGTAGTTAGGCCAGAACACGAAACAAACAGAGAGGGCAGCCGGAGCGCGTGCAGGCGTGGGCTGACAGAGCGGAAGCTGGCAAGGTAGTGGGGATGCAGCGAGAGCGAAGTGAGGGTTCTGCGATATCGAGGATGATGCGGGATGTCATGTGTGGGTTGATGTCACTCGCCACCCTAATGACCAGCAGAGGTACATGTGACGGCTGTATGTTCTTGCAGCCACGCCAGATGGACGCGAACACGCCCGCCGTGGATTCTACAGCCGTGTCGGCTCGAAGTGCCTGTTACGACGGGATAGCCAGTGAAAGCCGAGCATACATAAGTCAGCACAGAGTGTGCTAGGAACCGACAGCTTGATAACTAGCCAACAGCCGCCTCTATATACATAACTAAGCCACGCGTGTCCTATTTTACAGCATTGCGGTCCGCTCCCCTTGCCCACTCACGCAGTACGTTCTTCTTCACTTTGCCTGTGCTCGTTTTAGGCAGCTCTGAGAGAACCTCGACTTCTCTAGGGACCATAAATCGGCTGATCCCGCTGTTGAATTTTGCCCACTCGATGACTTGTTCCCCTGTCAGTGTTTTCCCGGCCTTGACTGTGATAAATGCCTTGGGCCGCTCCCCCCAATGTGAATCGGCGACGGCGACGACCCCGACTTCGAGAATATCCGGGTGGGTGGCAAGCATGGCTTCGAGCGCAACCGAAGAAATATTCTCGCCTCCTATAGGTAAGGGTACATTAGTTAGTACTATTTTTAGCGAACATATTGTAGATCATGGTCCTACCACTAATGATGATATCCTTCGCCCGATCTAAAATTTGGATAGCCCCATCTGCATGCCAGACGGCTAGATCGCCAGAGTGAAGAACTCCGCCCGCAAAGAGCTTCCGTGTCGCCTCTGGGTCATTATAGTAACCCTTGGCGCATATATTTCCGGTGAAAACAATTTCGCCAATCTCCTTACCGTTGCGCTCAACGTCAATAATTGTGCCTTCAGGCACCTCAGTCTTGATAACCCGAACTGGAAGACTTGTTACGAAACCATGGCCTTGTCGAGCCATTCTCTGATATTTATCCTTCAACGGCATTGTTTCCCATTCCGGCATATGGTAGCCTTTCGTGATGGGCCCATATGTTTCCGTAAGACCATATACGTGAACCGGATATAGATTTAAATTCGACATTTGCTCAAAAAGATGGGGGGTGGGCGGGCTAGCCGCCACAGTGACCCGCACAGGATCTGGAAGTCTCTCAGCCTCCTTAGAGCTGCAAAGTACTGTATTGACAGTGGGAGCAGCGTTAAAGTGGGTGATCTTTTCTTCCTTGAGTAGTCGCCAGATCTCGGGGTAGTCAATCTTCCGTAAGCAGTAATGAGTGCCCCGTACTGCTGTGACAGCCCAAGGGAATGTCCACCCTGAGAATCTAATCAGTGTTTTCATCCTAAAGGCGGAAGTATCAGACACGTACCCATTGCATGGAACATTGGAAGTGTCCAGAGGTAGCGACATCTCCCCTGGGCGTAATTCAAGCCGGATTCAATTACATTCGCAAGAGCCGCCAAATAGCACCCACGATGAATATACTCTACACCCTTAGGCCGCGCAGTTGTCCCGCTGGTATATGCTAGAGCAATAAGGGACTCCTCATCCTCAGCGTGTGTTTCCAGCGCATTCCACCCATGATTTCCCAGCTGCGTATCATACTTCAAGCCTTCAAGAACGGCAGCATCAAAGGGACCGCTAAGTTCTCCATCAACAGCATCGGTGTCAGTATCGATAATGACAGGAAAGTCGGGCCGAGTCTTTCGAAATTCATCCAGCAGGTGGAGGTATTCCTGATCGACGATAATAGCATCAACTTCAGAATGTTCAAAGATATAGGCAACGTCTTCCGTTTTTAAACGATAGTTTACCGCTACGGTATTCATTTAGTTAAAGGGTTTAGGCGCAAAGAGAAACAACCACCTACCGACGTTCACTGCGCCGGCAGCTGCGATTCCAAAAATCGACTCCAAGAACGCAGGCGTGTTTGGGCTGAGAATTCCAACTCTTTTATATCCATGCTTCTTGATATAATATGCTAGGCCTCTTGCCCGGTCCGCAGTCTCGATATACGACCTCCTGAGTACTTTATTGTTGGCCGTAATGTGGTAGACGGCTTGGGCCTAGATGCCGCTCGGGTCAGCCGCGGCTCAGTGTTGCGATACAATACAAATAGAGAAGGCAATTTTTAATTAAGAGTCAACGTACATCGGGCTCAATCGCCGCAGCGCGCGGCAGGAAAAATGTCGGTGAGAGCGTGTGCCGGTTAAAGTTGTGGTGGCCGTCGTCGGTGCTTTTGTGGAGCAGCTGCGCAGTCAGACTCCGCAACCGGGATACAGGGCCGGACATGTCGACAGCGACCGTTAACTGGGAAGATGCGGGAGAAAAACGAGTGTGGACTTAAAGAGGATGTGCCCGAGGGCTATTTTATACCTCTGCTAATCGCCAGGCTCTGGCTGGCTCGTCGACTCTACTCCAAGTTTCCCCGAGCATACCCCGACCCAACCTGACGATCCTCCTGCCCACTGTTTCCCCACCCCCCGTTAGCCCGAGGACTATAACCGACAGTCTCACAACGGAAATACCAAGATCAAAAATAGGCTACGTGTACCGACATGAAGTGTTTGAGTTTCTTGGAAAGATCATCTTGATTAAAAGGATTTGGAGCAATGGAGCAGTAGAGAGCTATGAAAGTAGCGTTTATCCCTAACGACGCCATAATGTAGAAATCAGTTTCTTTTTAATTTCCCAATTCCCATCACGATATTCCCTGAGTCATGAAAGGGCCTTCCCGATGGTAGAATGTGTACAAATCGTTCGGATAGCCGTCCAGTTTGCTCGTCAATGGCCACATCGCACCTAATGTTTCACCCATAAACAACAAAACCGCCGAGGTATTCTAGTAACCATAAGAAGCCAGCTGTTCCTTTGTCTTTTGATCCACAGTAGCGGATCTCTGGGACTGAGCGAGTTGCTTGCGCACAGCTCTCTTGCGTTCGTAGTATGCCGAGCTCTTGACCTTTCTCCGGTCCTCGAGTCTATAGAAAAATAAATTATCAGCAAAGTTGAACCAGTTATGAATCGCCTGTATCCAACTAACCTGGCAACAACATCCTGGTACTTCCATCCAACCTCGTGGCTCAGACGACCAACAGTGCAGTACTTTCGGCCGGGCTTGAGTCTAAGGATTCGGAGAGCTTGAGGGACAACAACTCTCTTCTTCTTGTCATATGGTGGTGGAACACCCTCGAACACCTTCAATCTTTCCATAGCAGCAGCGCCACGGGCAGTCTTGTGTGGGATCATGCCTCGGACGGTCTTGTAGAAAATCCGGGATGGGGCGCGGAAGTGGAAAGGACCTGCCATCCATGTTTAGTGAAATTGTATTTTCTTCGCTTCAGAATTCGCTGAATCTCACCTCCTCGGGTTGGGTTGAAACGAGTGATCTTGCGGAGGTAGGCATGGTACTTTACTATAATTCCGATTTGAGTCAGTCGAAATGTTTCCCCAATTGCATTTTCATTCGATAATCTCTTGATTCCAATAAAAAATCGTAAACTGCACAGAGAAAAGGGTAGGTCGTACGCTTGGCACGGAAGAATTCGCCAGAGATATTGAGAGCCTCGCAGCGCACAACGACGATTTTTTGGCCGTTGAGGAGCTGCTTCGCAACGGTACTTGCGAGGCGACCAAGGAGATGTCCCTTGCCGTCAATGACGACCTATAACGCCGGCAACACTTATTAGCAATCGCGTGGAAGATGGTAGGCAAGCAAATCGCTGTCGCAATATAACACGCACCACAGGCTCGAAAGTGGACATCCTGCACAGTCACCGATTCACGAGGCAAATATCCAGGATAGAGAGCTCTGCTCTAGGAGGCACCGTGTGCTGTGGGTTGTCGAAGGTGGTTGTCGTGGTTGTCGTTCGGCCTACGAAGTCGGATCGTCTCCGTAGCTTAAGCGAGGGCGCGTTTGTGTGTGCATTAGGCTCGGCCAGCCCTAAGTGGTCCAATCAGCGAGCGATGGTCACGTGGTAATTTTATTAGTCATCACATTTCGAAATAGATTGCGCCTCCCTCCATATCGATAACACCCCAGCTTTGAGGTTCTTCTCAAGATTGCATGACAGTTAAACGCTTGACGCTGGCATAAAAAGGATGCTAGGGATATCATACTGGGCCATGCTCCTCCAAATTGCACACAACTCCTAGACACCATGTTCTCCACTCAGGTCGATTCTTCAACAATACCGAGTACCAAGCGAACAACATCAGAGAACATTGCTAAAGGCGAATAAGACTTCTTCCTGATACCAGATACAACTGAAATATCGGGCGGCGCCGTATAGAGGAGCCATTGAAATATCTCTACCATTTCTTTGGAGACCAAAGGATTATCGACCTCAACAATGAAATTAAAATTAAAAACGTCACTTTAACCAGAGTCCATGGGGTTCAAAGTACTGTTGAAGCTTAAACTCTATAATTGTTATAGAAACTAGAAATTTTGGGACTTGAAAAGGGCAGAACAGTCATAAGATACTTCTATCCAGGCGAGAAATCGAATATTTGGGGAGTGCAGCTTCAACTCCTCAATTGCTATCTGCCTCTAGTTCCTCTCTGAGCCTTTGCTTTTTAGCTGGTTGATTCTGCTTCTGACTACGCTTGAATATGGTGTAAGTACTCCGTATTGGCATCCCGTTAAACAGTTAACAAAAGCAGAATGGGATATAATTGTTATTATTATTGCTCTCATCGTTACTAGCAGCTAAAGTATTCGAGAATCATGGGTTATGTAGAAAGCAACAGCAGCCATTTGGAGGTCTCTGCCATGAGATACTTTTCAAAGTCCCCGTTGGTTCGTGACTGCTTGACATCGTACCTCTTAAGACTTATAACTACAAGATGATTAGTCATATGTGTGATTAAGGTTCCGGCTAGCCGCGAAAAGAACGGACGTGCAGTCGAGAATCCTAACGGCGACGACAGACGCTTGGTGGAGTGATTTTGATATCAACTGCCTTACATGACACTCTTGAATGATATTCATGATGCTAAATCGCTTGTGCAGCAAACAAAGAAACCCTTGTATTGCCGACCGAGCTTGAAGCTCGAGGGTGCTTCGCGTTGGGACCTTGCGGCTTTTTACCTCTGCAAACAAGGCCTCACACCGGGTAGAGGATGGGAAAATCTTCGTCTTTTTTGCCGATGCCACGCCCTGAAACATCCAATCTGCATTTCCAATAGTTACTGAAACCCAAAACAGGATACTACAACAGCTCTTTGTGTTCCCATCTTATGAGATGTGATGTGCCGCGGTATTCTCTTTGGCTCACTTAATTGAGAGATTTTCCTCTTTTTTTTTTTCTATTTCCGACCGTGCCGTCCAGTCGTTTCAAATATTTCTCGTCTTGAGGTGATCATCGGACCTCCTTGCGTGCAGAGTTTTTTTCCCTGTGTCAACAGCGTTAACCCAAGAAAGTAATCGTGGGTCCGGATGGGTGCTGTTTTCTAGGTGTTTTCTTTTTTTGGGTATATCAATAATGCATTGCAGCCGGCATGAATCGGGCTCTTCGGAGTTTCGATTCCCGCTCAAGACGACCCGCCTGTTGTTCCTTGAAAGCGAGGGATACCCATTAAGTTTATCTGTGAGCATCCTATATAGCGACTCAATCCCTTTGGTAAATGACATTAGCCGAATGCTCACCGGGGCATGCCCTGTCTGTGTCGGCCGCTCATACTTGATATAGCTTTTTAATTGGATAACAACGGCCCTGAGGAAAATACCGCAGCGTGAATGTGGACCTGTATTCCCATATTGTTATGTTTTACTACGGATGCTTTGGGGCTGCGAAGCTGGCGGAAAGATGCAAGGGTACCGACATACCATTTCACCCATGCTCATCCTCTGGGTATATATCCGTGGGTCTATTCTCGGTCAACGGATCCTCTTGACCAAGCACCGGACTTTTTATTCTGGCTTGAATTACTCCTTGTTGATTGCTTGCTACTGCTGTTGCTATGCAACATGCAGCCCAGTCGGCAGCCAAACCCGCTGGCTTGGCTATGCCTAGCATTGGCTGTTCTCCCTTCTGATGTCTTAGCTGCTCCACGGGGTAGTTATTCCCATATGTCCATCGCTCAATGATATCTGTTAGGTACTGATGTTCCCCTAGCCCAAAATCCGTCGATCCCATGGCCATCATGGAATTCAACAAACACTCCTGTTGTTGCCCCCCATCCAGATGTTCCCATTGCCCCGGTTCCAAATCCGCAGCCGGAGAGCTTTTCCACCCTTTCTATTCCACAGCCAGAGACGACACCTGGTCTCCCAGTTCAATCATTCTTGACACATCCGGTTGTTCCCGAGGGTTCAATTCCTGCCACCCAGCCTTCCATAGTTTGGAATACTATGTTAACCGTCTCTGTTCCAATACCTTCCAACACCCAGCAAACTCCACCAGCAGTCCCAAGTGACTCAACACCAATTGGTCAATCATCTGTTGCTGGAAATACAGTCTCGAGCATTCCGATTCCTGTGTCATCCAACACTGAACACAACCCTGCAGCTTCAACAGCATGGCAGCCCCCGGTAGTCCCTAGTGGTTCGCAGTCTACCGGTCTACCTTCCACTGCCGAGACTAGCATATCCTCGATTTTGGCGCCTGTATCCTCTGCAACATCCACGGTATGGCAACCTTCAGTTGTTCCGAGTGCCTCGATATCTACCAGCCAGGATTCTGTTGTCGGAAGTAGCACGTCAGTAGTAGTTCCCGATGTTTCACTTTCTGGAACCCAACAAATCTCCGCGATCCTCACGGCATCGCAGCCACCTGTTGTCTCCGGTGTCTCAACATCCATGAGTCAAGTGTCTGTTATTGACAATACGATCTCATCCGTTCCAGTGCCTGAGTCTTCCAGCGTCCAACAGGGCTCTACGACTACTACGGATTTACCACCACTGATCATTCCGGTTCCAAGCAACTCCGCTACGTCGCCTCCGGTCGAAACCACTCCTACGACGAAGCCAAATCCACCGCCGGAAGAAGCTCCCACACCTTCAACTGCTGCGTTGGTCTCCACCATTCCCTCAACAAGTGGTCAATTGTCCTCTGCCCAAAGCAGCACTCCCGCGAACTCCGTGATTCCAGACACGGTTTCCAATACACCAAGTGGAAGCGTGGATCCGAAGGCGCAAATCACAACCGCACCGCAGCAGACCGCTCAGGAAACTACCAGTGCTGTCAGCTCCACGTCAAGCGATATTATCCCAGTGGTTGTGCCCATCCCGGTTCCCGTGCCAAATCCATCGACACCCCCTTCACCACCACCACCGCCGCCTCCACCGCCGCCGCCGCCGCCACCACCTCAGCAGGATAATAAAGGGGGAGATAAAGGAGGCCCTCCTATTATTATCCCACCTCCAATTCCTCCCATTAATCCGCCAAAGATTGAGCCTCCGAAGATCAATCCACCTCCTATCATTCCCCCTATTATCCCTCCACCTCTTCCGCCTATAATTAACCCGCCGAAGATCGACCCCCCAAAAATCGAACCGCCAAATATCCACCCGCCTCCGATTTTCCCCCCAATTATCCCTCCGCCGATCCCTCCGCCAGTACTTCCTCCGGTACCTCCTGTAGTTCTGCCACCGATTCCGCCGCCAGTTCTTCCGCCGGTCCCTCCTCCAGTCCCTCCTCCAGTACCTCCTCCGGTACCTCCCCCAGTTCTTCCGCCTGTGCCTCCGCCAGTGCCTCCTCCGGTACCCCCTCCTGTACCTCCGCCAGTTCTTCCACCAGTTCCCCCGCCGGTTCCTCCGCCAGTTCCTCCCCCAACCCCCCCAGAGGTCAAACCCCCAGAGGTTGACCCTCCAATCAAGCCTCCTCCACCTGAAGTCAACCCGACGCCGCCTCCGGTTAGCCCTCCCGAAGATGCCAAGCCAAGTCCATCTCCCAGTGATCCCATGCCTCCGCCCACGCCTCCGCCCGGCGCCCCTCCGGTGGTCCCTACGGAAGACACGCAGCCCACGCCGACACCCGTGATGAGCTCTACCACGACATCCAGCAGTTCGTCGTCGTCGTCGTCGTCATCGTCTTCCTCCTCCTCTGCAACGGTTTGTCCCTCGGGTCTACCCCAAGTGCCCGAAAGGAAAAGGAAAGGAGGCTGTCCTGGTCCTCGCAAGCTGTGTAGCCCGTCGTGCGCTGCCTGCGTGTCCAATGAGGTTACACAGCCTCCTGGTCTCACAAAGCGTGAGGTTGAGTTCTTCGGCAATCTGTCTATGTCTGGTGATGGTTCTGCGCTCCATGGGCTCAAAAAGCGGACGATGAAAACCCCCGCGGATTATGGAAATAATCTGAACCGTTTCTTCTACCATGAGCTTCAAGCCGGTCCGAAAGTTGTTAAGGGGTTCTGGATTCCCCCCGGCGCTCCTAAGTCGCACAACCAGCCCTCGATCGTTACGGCCCCCCTTGGGAATAAGAATTTCAACGTTGGCCTTGTCAATCTTCGCGGGTGCTCTTCTGTTCTTGTTGCGTCGCGAGCCGGCATATGGTGGGCTCATTTCTGGGAAACCCCTGGGTTCAGACACGAGACGCTGATGTCTGGATATCAATACGTGGAATCGCTGTTCAAGACGTTCGTGCTTGATGTCTTTGACGGCGGCTGCGAGTACCGCATGGTCGGTCCCAACAACGTGGTTGGCACACGGAACGTGAAGGGTATTCGATGCTTCATGGGCCCGGATGCGGAGCAGAAGTGGTTTGACGCGGAAAACGCTCCGGTGGCGTTCATATTCACACCCGAGCACCACGCCGCGGCAGGGCAACCGCTGTACGGGCCGGAAGTCGAGAAGATCAAAGACAAGCTCCGCTCGATCCTCGGCGGCGGCCTGTCGGTCACGACGATCACGCACAAGACCACGTCGCGGCTGGACGACGACGGCGAGCCGCCGCCGCTCGCGCCCGGCGTGTACGTGCCGCACGGCAAGGCGCTGTTCCAGTACGACCCGCGCGAGCAGGAACGCGACTGCCGCTGGCACGCGGGCTCCAAGCTGTACGCGGAGGAGAGGGCCGAGCCGTTCCACGCGGCGCTGTGGCCGGCCACGCCGGCGCAGCTGCAGGAGCCGGCGCCGCGCAAGCGCGGCGAGCCGTCGCTCGATGGGCTCCCGGAGTCGTGCACGCAGCCCATGACGCCGCAGTCCTCGACGACGGCGGCGGTGGAGTCGTCGAGTGCGGCAGCCACGCCGACGGCGCCGCTGCTGCGTGGGCTGCCTACGCCTGACTTGCCTAAACCGGAGGATCCGAAGGAAGAGCCGAAGAAGGGGGCGCCTGAGAAAGATGATGCACCTAAGGAGGAGCCTAAGAAGGAGGAACCTAAGAAAGAAGACCCTCCTAAAGAGGAGCCTAAAAAAGAAGATCCGCCCAAAGAAGAACCTAGAAAGGACGAGCCACCTAAGGACGAACCCAAGAAAGACGACCCGCCAAAAGAAGAACCGAAAAAAGAAGACCCGCCCAAAGAAGAACCTAAGAAGGACGAGCCTCCTAAGGACGAACCGAAAAAAGACGACCCGCCCAAAGAAGAACCTAAGAAGGACGACCACATCGACGTGGACAAGGAGCCGACGGTGCGGTGCCAGATCCGGCTGGGGGGGACGGAGTACGCGCTGGCGGTGCTGCAGGACGTGGCGAACTGGGGCGGCGACGGGGTGAAGCTGCACGGGGAGCTGGACAAGGCGTGCGGCAAGGTGAGCGCGTGGTCGTACAAGGCCGGCGAGCGGGCGACGTTCGTGCTGCCGCTGGGGTCGACGGAGCGGTGCGTGGCGCGCGCGGTGCTGGCGGCGGGCGGGCCGCGGCTGCTGGCGTGCGAGAAGGTGAAGAGGCCCGGGTTGCCGATGGGGTAGTGGTGGGAGAGCGAGTGAGTGTGTGTTTTGGGGGGGATGATGGTAGAGGTGCGAGTGTATGGAGTAGTGGTTGATATGTGATCTGAAGAAGGCTGAGATGTATCCAATAGTAGTTACTAACTACATAACTAGTAGTGAACTAGCTAGTTCTTCGACAACACGGAACGCTTGCATCTTGAAAAAAGGAAATATATGCTATTGGCAACGAATGTCGTGGACGTTTCATTCGCAGGCAGCAGCCAGGTTTTTGGGGGTGTTTGGTGGTTCTTTTCAGACCAGGCCGGGGAGAGATGGACCGGAGTTGTGACAGACGTATGCAGTTGAAGCTCAACGACAGGCAGGGCAGGGTCTACTGATATTCATGACGTAGCCAGCCCGTCAAACAAAGGAAGAATAAGATTGCTTTGTTTTTTATGATTTAGCGGATACGGGCAGAGTCCAATCAGCCATGCCAATCGACGGGGGCGGCGCCCTATTTGTGACGGGGCGGGGGGGCCAGGCTGCAGCGTGAGGTGCGGGCGCGAAGAGGGAGCAGGTCAGTGGTGGGATAGTTAGGCTCGGCGGGCGCGGGCAAGTCAGGCGGGACGGCGGGAGTCCAAGCTCGGAGTTAGTTAGTTAGTTAGTAGCAGAGTGATGACAGCACGGGCGGGAGCCGTGGCTGGCCGAGGGGCGAGGAAATAAGGAAAGAAGGGCAACTAACTAGGGCAGCGAGGGAGAGAACGGGCTGCGTGGTGGGTGTGGCTGTACCACTCCCCGCGTGAGACGGCCAGCACGGCAGGGCGCCCCGCTACTGCCACGCACCGGCGCGAGCAGGACGAGAGAGAGGAGCAGAGTACGGAGTACGGAGTAGCTACTAACTACCACTCACAGACAGACAATACTATATAAGACTAGCAGCCCTGCCCTGCCCTGCCTGCGCCGTCTCACCGCCAGCGCACCACCCCTCGCACGCCCGGGCAGCGAATCACCGCCCGCCGCTGCTCATCCGGCCGTCTTGTCGCCATCCCTGCCGTGGCGATTAGTTCGTTACTGGCTGACTAGTTAACTAGTTGGTGGTGGTGGGCTTACTAGTTAGTTAGTTAGTAACTAACCAGTCTGCTATTAGTTAACCGCCCGTTCTCTGCCTGACAGCCTCCGACATCAACCACCTCACCTCACCTCACCTCATCGCTCCTCTCGTCCGCCCGGCCACCCCAACTCTGAACCCGCTTCTCGTCCTCGCTGCCTGCCCGCCGACGATGGATTATTGTTGCTGTCGCTGCTGCTACTGAACCTCCTCGAAGCGCCCGTCTTGCCTGACCACCACCTCCTCCTCCATCTGCACCGCCCTCTCCCGCACCATGCTGTCGTCGTCGACCCCCGACGTCGACCCCTACGCCACTCTCCATGTCGCCAAAGACGCCTCGCTCGCCCAGATCAAGGCCTCCTACCGCAAGCTCGTCCTCAAGTGCCACCCCGACAAGGTCAAGGACGAGTCGCTGCACCCCCGCGCCCGCGACGAGTTCCAGCGCGTGCAGGAGGCCTACGAGCTGCTGACCGACGACGCTCGCCGTGCCGCCTACGACCGCAAGCTGCGCACGCCCACTGACCCCAAGAAGGACTCCGACCGGCCCTGCCCGTCCACGCCCTTCTTCACCTCGCGAGCCTCGCCCGACAAATCCTACTACGACGACGACGACGACGACGACGAGCCCCCGCGCTTCTACACCCACCCGGGATCCGACCGCATCTACGAAGAAATGCGGCCCAAGGGCTGGCAGTACGACGACTACGACTTCGAGCCCCAGCCCGCCCCCAAGGAGCCCGAGGAACGCCGGAAGAAGACCAGCACCGGCTCGACCAAGCACCGCTCCGCCGCCGACGCCCCCAAGCCCACGCGCGAACACAGCCGCAAGACCTCGTCCCGCGCGAAGAACCGCGACAAGGAGCGCCGCCGGGAGTACTCCGACAAGTACGCCGAGGACTACGCGTCCGAGTCCGACTACGAGCCGCGCTATACCCGCCAGCACACCCGCCGCCACTACTCGGAGTATGCAGAGCCCAAGCCCAAGCCGCCGAAGCCCGCCGCTCGATACGAGTCGCCGCCGCCGCCCCCGTCGCCCGTCCGGGACTGGGAGTCGGCCTCCAAGCACGACTATTGGCAGGACAACGCGCGCGAGTACATCAACCGCGCCCGCGGCGGCAGTACCGCTGCTCCCGAGCCTCGACCGCGCATGCCGCCACGCTCGACCACCAGCAAGTTCGAGCCGTGCTGCGGCACCGGCTCCTGCAGACACACGCCGCGGACCCATCACACCTCCCCCCCGCCGCCGCCGTCGCCGCCGCGGGAAGCTCCCGAGCCTACTCCCGCCTACAAAACCTCCAAGGCACGCTTCTTCCCTGGCCTGAAGATCCGCACCGCCGTGCCGCCCAAAATACGCATCCCCCCGCCCAAACGCTCAACCACCATGTACGAAACCCGTCCCTCGGGCCACAGCCGCCGTGACAGCTCGCCTGTGCGCCGCTCCGACGGCTTCCCGCCCTCCTTCACCCGCAACCGCACCGAACCCATCATCCCCAAGGCCAGCAGCAAGCTCTACGACTCGGGCTACTCGAGCTCCACCAGCCCCGCCACGCCCGAGGCCTTCCACCACAACAACAGCCACCACGGCCACCATCACCACTCCGCCTCTACCTCCTCCGCCTCCACCAAGGCGCGCTTCATCATCATCGAAGACGCCCACGACTACCGCCGCGGCGACCCCACGCTGGCCACACCGCTGCCGCAGCGCCGCGCCTCCACCGCCTCCACCAGCAACCCCAAGCCGTTCATCATGCAGCCGCGCCACCCGCCGCCAGCCGCTGCCACCGCCGCCGCCGCCAGCAGCGCCCGCCGCGCGCGCTCGCGCGACTTCCACTTCCCCACCATGCGCACGAGCAGCACCGCCGCGGGCTATTTCAAGGACGACCATCCGTCCGTGTACAAGGAGATGCGGCCGCACGCGCGCCCGTCGCCGCGCATGTCTCCCAGTGAATATGCGAATATTCCCGAGATGGTGCCGCGCGGCTATAAGCCCACGAGCGCTTATTAGACAACCTTTCGCACGATGTCTTTTTTGCCCAGCATATTTCTCTTCTTCTCTTGCTGTCTATGAGATTCATTTTCGTTCTCTCTCTCTCTCTCTCTCTCTCTTTTTTGCTGGGGCTTTTTCGCGGGATTTCAAGTTTTCTCGGAATCTTGATCAAACCTACCTCTCGCGAGATATTCACGGCTTTATCTTCTTTTTTTCCTTTTGGCGTTTGTTCGCTTCTTTTTCTTTTCTCTGGCATATCCGACGTTTTCATGACGTCACCCAGGGGGGAGAAAAGGGGGGGAGGGAAGACAACTTTGCTTTTTTTTTTTCACGCCTCTTCCCCCTTTCCCTCCCGCTGAGCGCAACGCAGAAAATTCTCTTCACTCGAGACAAAGCTCTATTCACGGGTTTTCTTTCTTTCTTTTTTTTTTTTTTTTGGTAGTGTTTTTTGGCGGGTTTTTGCTACCCTTCAAACTTCACTTGCTGCTGTTTTGCACTACTTCTGCCCTGGCTTCTCAGGCAGGGCAGAAAGACACATACATACATACACAACTACGTCGATGGGGCGTTCTCGAAGACAAAAAAACAACGCCTCCACTGAAACGAAATCATCGCTACTACTTCTTCGTCTGAGAGACGCCTCAGTTATCGGCTCTTTTTCTTTTCTCCTTCTTCATCTCTTATTTCAACGGCATACACTACTCTGTTGAGACACGTCTCTTATGAAAGCACTTCTCCGCCCATATCTTATATCGAGTCCCCTTTTTTTTTTGATTATTGCACTTCAAGCTGCCCCTCTTTTTTTTGAGAAAAAGGGGGGTGGATGTATGTGTGTCCGTGTGCTTTTTTTTTGGGCAGACTAGACGAGCAAAAATCACCGTCTTGCTTTTTTTTTTTTCTCTCGATCTGACATCAAATAAAACCCACCTTCGCTTTTTATTTCATTGGATCTCATATTTCCTGTTTGAGTTTTGTTATTTTTTTTTTTTTTTTTTGCTATGTTGCTTTCTGCTTTCTTGTTGTTTTTCTTATTTGCCATTTATCATTTGTCATAGCTGTGGAGAAGTCGTTGGAGGAGAGAGACAGGGGGAGGGAGGACCGGGAGTGTGCTCTTGTCTTCTTGCACGCAAGGGAGATATATCACAACAGACACCCATATCTGCTTCTTCTATCCGCAGAGGCAAAAACGAACTCAGCCGTTTTTTTTTTCTTTGACTTCCCTCTTGGGACCGAAAAAAACCATACGCTGTGAGAGACAGAGAGAGAGAGAGCATCGAGGACAAAAAATCAGCAGTGGGTTGGGGCATTTTCGGAAACACGGGACCTGGAAACAGTCACAGCTTTTTGCCCATTCTATCTATCAAAGGCTCCTTTTTGTTAAGAGGAAGAAAGGTGGTGTGGCGCGTGGGATATGAATGTTGCCATTTCTTTTTGGTTTGTTGTTGGTGCATAATGTCAATCGTGTTTGACCATGGGCTGTGATGGGGTTTTGCGTGTTGGGATCTTAATGTTTCCTTTGTTGTTGTTGTTGTTGTTATCATTGCCGTTGCTGTTAGTATCTTGCCTTCGCTTTTTGCTCTGTTGCATGTTAGGTTTTTGCTATTTTCTTGAATTTTTTGAATATGGAGTCAAATGGAGTTTTTTTGTGTTGGTGGGGAAGGCTGTTCGCTCGTTTCGTTTTTGATCCATCGTCGTTGATGCTACTGCTGCTTGCTGCTGCTGCTCGTATTATTATTATTGCATGTTTCAAATAACTCACCACCATCTACCCCCCTTGTTTGCTCCAGGGGAGACCATGTATACACGTGTATAACGTGTGTTTTGCCTTTTTGTTTTTTTGTTTTTTTTTGTCGCCTATTTGCAAGAGAACCGTTTCTGAAGATTTGTTTCAAATGACTGGACGGGGCTATGAATGAAAGACTGATATGATATGACTTTGGATATAGATAATATGATTTTCTAGAATTGTTGTTCCTGCAGGATATTCGCTTTTGCAGAGGTGGTGGGGGGTTGGTTGGTTTTTTATGTGTCATGGCTGCCTGGTACGTAGTTGGGTGGGTAGGCAGGCAGACAGGTTAATTAACTAACTATGCTAGATCTAGGCAGCAGCCGCTTGAAAGAATCCTGGCGGACGGAATGATGATACATAAGAATCATATTTTTAGGCGTGCAGGAAGCGTGCAGCCAAAGGCGGCGGTAATTCTCAACAGCAAACACTATCTATGTACTCCATATTTAGTAGAAATTGAGGGGAGAGTAGTATCTTGTAGACATAGATATTGGATAATTTATTGATAGCTTCTCAATCGGAGTGTGTGCAAACGTACCTATGACGGCATCACTCTGTCAACCCAGTCAGCCAATAAGAGCTAGAAAGAAGCATGCTTAGCAATGATAGTTCTCGAAAAATGCTATTCGTAGGTTGATGTTACTCGGAACAGTGGAGTGTGGAATATTGACGTACTAACTACATAACCTCACGGGCACAACATAGATGACACGATTATTTACGATTAGTTATATCACAATAATCTCAGTTTGGTAGGAACTCTGTAAAGAAATGTCCACTTGATAAAAGTACAACATGATCGATCGGCTCACTCCGAAGCAGCAGCACCACCACCACCATCACGGCCAACCCACTGCCGGAACTGCTGGTTCGATTCATCGACCTCGTCCTTGCTCAGCCCATGCGCCCAGCTGGGATTATTCACGAATTTCTCCTTGAACCGGTCTTTGCGTTTTTCCTTGACCGCCGCCACATCATCCTTGGCGCCGTCTTTCATGGGAAGAAGAGCCGCGGCGGCTGGTGAAGGTCGATACCACCATTCCCGCGTCCCGGGCTCGTAGATGATATGGTAGCTGTTGGCGCAGATCCGGATCACTAGGCCCTCGTTGCTGACAAGCGTTTTGTAATACCGTTCATACGCTTCATCAGGCGCAAGCTTGGAAGGTCGGTTGCGACTCAAGAAGGGACGCCGGTCATCAAAGGTCTGGACGCCTTCAGTCGCATCACGCATGCTGTACGACGAAACATAGTACGACCACTTTGCCTCCGGGCTCAGTTCCTGGCTCTCTAGGGTACTATCCTCCCAAGTCAAAATTTGGATTGTAGTAGTGCTCGTTCCAGGAGTCTAGGAATGGAGATCGATTAGTAGAGGTAGCCAAGAATAGAACGGCAAAACTCACGTAGGAAATGCGATATGTATCCCCATCCCGGATCAGCTTCTCCACTTGCTTGCGATATTGAATCTCATGATTATGCGTAGTTTCTTCCTTTTCACGTTCCTTGAAGAACAGGTTCACGATATCAGCAGTCTTATCTTTCGGGTCTGTGTTGAAAACGCTACTTGCAAATTTTGCAATAGCAGAAAGCTGTTTATCCAAGGTGTAAAGCTCCCAGCCTCGGTTTCGGTTGTAAAATCGACGTAACGTCTCTTCTAGGTGCGAAGGGTCTAAGTTTCCTTTCACTATTTCTTCGCACATGCGAATCATTTGACAATAAAGACTTGTGTTCAGACTGGCATCATAGAAGAATTCCTTAGGTGCTTTATCGACCATGCCCAAATCGTCGGCTGCCTTAGGAGCCAAGGCGCGACGCAGTTCCTCACGTGCAGCTTCTTCGCCCCGTTTTAAGTGTAAGAGGCGAGCGTACAGCATCTCGAACGTGCGTAGGAAGCAATAAACTGTAATGTTCCCATACAGATGGTAGACTTTCTTTTTATACGGCTCGTTCAATGAATATTCATGCTCCTGATTGAAATTGCCTTCGTTTGGATGGTCCATCCACAGCAGCTCCGTAGTACTAAATGTTCCATTTGTCTCCGTCGCGCAGCCGGTACCTGACGCAGATCCGGTGCCTGGAGACGAGGATCTGCTAATAAACGCAGCGTTCGTTTCGCCATCTCTCTTTGCAGGCTTATCATCGCGGGAATTAAGGATTTCGCGTAAGAGATCCAATTTCTTGTTGCTAACAATGCGGCGAGGACGGAGTCCATTCACTTCATCAGATTGTGCGCTATCATTGTCCAAGTCTTCACTGGGGGTGACATCATAGACTTCCTCGAGATAAGTTCTGGCGGCACCTCTATCCATACCGAAAAACACAGGAACGAAGTCCCTAACGAAATTCATGACCTTCTGTGGATCAGCACCAAACCCTGCTGAGTTATGGTCCATGTAGCAGAGAACCAAATGAGTGGTATCGAGAATAACCTCCGAATCAGTGAATGTGTATTTGAACTGATAGCTCGAGACCGGATAGCCGCTTCGGCGGAGAGTTCTGGCTTCCTCGAACTTAGCCTGTATTTCGGCTTGAAAGTGTTTCGTAGTAAGTTGCTTTTTATCGTCTTTCTTGCTGATCGCAGATTGATGATCAAGACTCTTCCAGTAGCCCTTTTGCATCTGTTCCCGCCAGACTTTTTCCCATTCACGCTAAAACATGGTTAGCATCCAGATTTAAAGCAATAAGGTTATAGTCTAGGCAGACATACCTGGCTTAATTTCCATTCTTCAACCTTCTGCTTTAAACGAGCAAGCACAACGGGAATAACAACACCAGGGTTTGCGAACATCTCGTCGATGATTCGAATGCCAAATTCCTTTTCATAAACCTTCTTGATCACCTTTTTATATATCGTCTCGCTTTGGCCGCCAAGTCCAGGAGGCAGCTTAAAGTTAGACCGATCAGCATCATTCATAACAGAAAGTTGCTGCAAAATTGATTCCATAAGTTGGATGCTACGGATTCCAGCTTCAATGTAATGGTCATAATCATGGCGGTCTTCCTCAACCCGGTGCAACGAGTCCTCGTGTTGATTCTTGCGATGGGCAACAAATCCTGAATCTTCAGATGCCCATGTGGGATGGGATGCCCACTCATCGTTCAAAACGCTCTGACACAGCTCGTCCCTACCGCTACAGGGCTTCTGTCTTTCAAGCTTGGGTAGCAGCCGGTAGCTAGGGCCTAAGGCACGGCAGTGAGCAAGGTTGACGATTCCAGACTCGTCCTTCGCCTTTGGTTCAATGATTTCGTCTTTTGGCTCAATATGCATAAATCTCTTGAACCAATTCATAAGCTCCTGGTTAGAACCAATAAAACCGGCAGTTTTGTTAACAAGAACATTCCGATCAATCAAGTCAGAAGAGTACAAGTTGCAGAGCTTAAGAAATTCGCTGAAAATCTGCTTGTTGCCAATGAACTTTTTGACCCGGTCAAAGAAAGCGTACTCTTCCTGTGATGCTGAGAGAGAGAAAGTTGGCGGAATAGGCTCAGGTGGAGCAGGAACAAGAGTCGGTGAAATTGCAGGTACGTTTTCTGGCAGCGAAGGCTTGTGTGTGAGTTTTGTTCTCTGGAGACGGCTGGAGTTAGTTTTTGGTTTTGCATCACGAGCAAGACTATTGGGGAATATGGTAGATTAGGAACTGCAAAGAATCAATCATTTCTCAGCACAAATGCTGAAGAATGTGCTCAGAATGCGTGGGGAGTCAGACCTCCACCGGGGGGTTTTGGTTGTTGTTTGCGATAACTCTGTGTGCAAAAGAACTGAGGAGATGACAAGGCACTGGCAGCTGGATAAAGGCTCCCGGCTAACAACAGATGACAGGCACAACAAAAGAAGATAGTCTGGCAAGCTCTGGAACTCAAGATGAGAGCCACGGAGCAAGCTTCCAGGGTAACCCATATTTCTGAAAATGGGTAGTTTAAAGGTATATATGTGATCAACAAGAGGGTAAGGAAAGTAGGAGTGGGAAAAATGTTACCATGTTTTGATTTAGGGGCTGGATTGGGCAGAGAGGAACTCCAATAAAAATCAACTGTAGAATCATCATGTACTTGCCTTGTTAACGCCTCCAATCTGAGAGACGGGAACTTTGCCGGCTGGTCCTCCAATACTAGCAGAGTCAAGAGCAGCACCGCCAACAGAACCGCCAATGGCTTGTGACCCCGGCCCCCCTCGACGTTTTTTATTTTCCTTCGCGGAGTCTTTCACGTTAAATTGCCCAAGAGGCGGCATCTTGATGTTCTCTCTTGAAGCTTGGAGACCTGCGGCTCCATAACCAGGCTCTCCCCGCACATTACTCATACTAATGGGAATATCATCCGGACGACCCGGCCCTTGACCTTTGGCTTGAGCTGCCGATTCAGGGAGAAATTGTTTGAAGTCTTCTAAAAGATCGGGCGCAGAATTAAATAAGACTGTGACCTGGGCATAAACATCCTGAATGGGCTTGGATTCGCGTTGATATGTCTGCAAAATTTCCAAGAACTGTTTATAAATCTCTGGAGAGTCGGCAAAGCGATTCTATTCGGTTTTCATTAGCATGTGGGCTTGTCTTCCAAAATAGAGAACCCACTTTAATTTTATTCACATAGCTAATTGCATGATTAAATTCAACGGGCCCGCGTCGAGTAGCTTCGTTCTGTGTTCCTTGGAGTGTCCCAGATCCCATCCCCGCCAGCGAGCTTGCAGGTTGACTAGAACCAGGGGGCTGGGTGGGGCCCTGCGGAAGCTGCATCATTGACCGCCCAGCTCCTCCAGTAGCTACAGATACAGCGTTTTGTAACTGGGATACTCCACGCTGGTCTTGCTGATGAAGCAAAGAGCTGCTATGTACAGACGGTTGCTGCTCATGTTGGCCCTGGAATTCATAGAGTCCCTCTTGATGTTGAGTAGGGGCGTTCTGGGGACCAAACTGGGAAGGAGGGGCTAATCTTCCGCCGGGAGAATAAGATCCAAGGGTAGAGGAGAGGGATTGTTGAGGCTGCTGTTGTTGTGGCGGTTGTCCAGATTGCCAAGCAGGTCGCGATTGGTCGTAATATTCACCTCGAGAAGAAGGGATTAAGCCTACGGCCTGTCCTGAGTCGCTTAGATTTTCCAGAGAAGCACGTCCTGCCTGCATTGATATTGTATTCGTTCCAGATGGTGTGGTTACACGAATTGCATCTGGATTATCTTCTGTTCCGCACTCGATTCTATACCCAGGAGGCAGAAACGTGTTGAATCCCTGAATCAAGGCGGGATGGCCATTAAATAGACTCGATACGCGTTGAATGACCCCAGGTGTGTCAATTCTAGATTACGGTTAGAATAACTCTCATGGCGTTCGAAATAAAGAAACATACGCTTGACTTTTAAAATCCTTCATAATGTCAAGAAACCGATTGTAAACATCTGGTTGTTCGACGAACCGGACCTTAACCTGATCAAGGTAGCTGAGAGCATCCTGTTGAGTCGGCGCCATTAGCATTGACTAAAATTTAGACTGTTTGTTTCAAGGCCACAAGTGCAGAGGAAAATAAGAAGTGTAAAGGATGTGGGAAATAAAGGAGGATATTGCAAAAGAGTGTGTGCGTGTGAAATGTGTCAGCACAAAAATATGACACCCAGGATACAGTAGAAGCATAGTTATATTCGTGTCACATGGAGTAGCTGTGAGGCATGTTCTTCACAATGTTTATCTATTCACCACTGTACCTCCTCACCATTCACAAAATCACAATCAAGGAGATATATTACAAGTGACTTACATTCAATATGGGCTGCTGGCCTTGGGAGAGTGCAGCTACACTGCCAGGAATTTGCGATGGTGCATTTCCACTAAACCCTAGTAGTGACTGGGACTGGACAGTTAAATACTGTCTCGAGGGAGCATCCGGGTGTTGCATCTGGCCACTACTAAATAGTCCACCAGGAACATTGGGGCCCTGATGGGAGCTCTGGGTCTGGCTTGGCCCAGAACTCGAACCTAGATTCGACAGCAAACCGTTTGGGCCGTGAATGGAATTTTGAACTTTTGATGCAACAGGCTGGTGTATAGGTATTGAGCCAGTGTGACTCTGCACAGGGTGGTGTTGCTGTTGTTGCTGATCGCGGTGAAATCTTTCAGCTTGCTCTCGATCTCGCTCACGCAGCTCTCGTTCCCGGTGCATCATTTCTTCTTCACGGTGTATCTCGCGCTGTCTTTCAAGCATGTCGCGGTCACGAGATTCTCTTTCTCGGTCTCTATTCACAGAGGACTGAGGTGAAGAGTGCGTGATAGACTGGTTTATGCTAGGGAGTGGATGAGTCGGCCCAAGGGAGGGTTGTTGATGTTGTGTGTATCTTGAGGGTTGTGGGTGAGATGCCGACGGTACAGCACCGCCCTGTGTCAAATCAGCTAAGGTGGGAAGATTATGCCCAGAAGGCTGATTTGCAGTATGATAAGGACCTAGTGAATTGACAGTAGCCGGGATGTGTTAGCCATGCTTTGAGTGACGCGCTTCTATGTGGCTGGGGAATACGGAGTCCAGGCGACGAGTAAGACTTGAAAAGATGAATTATATCGCACAGAAATAACCTTACTTTATAAAGATGTGGGTTAGCAGGGTATACTTGAACGTTAGAGGGATGATGGACATACCCATAAGAGCCATGGGGCCTACTCGACTGTTGACCCAGTGGTTCTACTCCTGGGTGCTGCTGCGGGCCACCACCACCCGAATGCCATCCATCCTTGTTTGACGGATTCATGACAGGACAGTAATAAAATGCCTATATTCGGCAGGAATTGTGTGGCAGAAGTTTGTTTGGGGAGAGACAAAACAAAGCGGTTATTTAAGGGCTAGCTGGCACAATAAAGGTGGGACTTTCCATAAAACCTTCAATCTACATCGCAGCTAGATCAGGGGATGGTAAACTGTGAAGGCATAAATGGTATATACTAGGGGAAGGGTATTCTTAGAAAACAAAGGGCAGTAATAGAGAGTGAGTGCTCTGGCCAGCGTCGCAAGCGCAAGTGACGTGAATCCGCGGTTAGGGAGGAGTTCAATATTTTCTGCCAGACCGCCTTCTTCCGCACTGGGTTTAACGTGCCCTGGCAGCCTATAATTGGTGCATCATCACGTTACCCATCCCCACCTTCAGCGCTAGCCCGCTCAGGGGCACATGTCATCATGATGACCTAATCTCCCACACTAATCGGACGAAAAGGCACTTGAGCACACCGGGCGAGATCTGGGGATGGAGTTGATCCGCTTTGCATACTTCTCGGCTGCTGCAGCCTGGTGTGGAATAATATGTGCCTGTGCTGTCGGCCGGATGATGGACGTGGCAGCTCGCGGCGTATCTTGAAGGAACACTTCTTCGGCACAATAATGCCGTCGATGTGCAAACCACCGACATTGTCCATATGCAGTATTCTTGGGTTGGCCGCAGGAAATTGTATCAGGTCCTGTCAGAAGAGACGACCAAGAGGGTCACGTACCTCTCTCTACCCATGGTTTAAAGAACCAAGCAGAAGAGCTTATCGGCCTTCCTCCCTGAAGCTTGTCGGCCAAGGGGAGGGGAACAAGCCTTTACAGCTCTAGTAGTGCTTACTTTCCTTCCTTTGAAGTCTCTGTACTAGATAGCTAAGCAGCTGTGTTCCTAGGTATATCTATTTGTAGAGGTAAGTGATATCTAAATCCGTGATAAGTGTCACGGAGATAACTTCGTTCAATCCTATGCTTGTTATCGGGTACTGTGCATACAAATAGGCAAATTTGAATCAAGAGGAGCGTGGGCATCCACTTCGCGTATATTGGAATTTTGGGGACGGAACATCGTAAGATGTTACGTAGCATTTCCGTAGTGTGTGCTTGCAGGCGGGCAGATGCCGCAAGGGCAAATCTCCAATTAGAACATGCATCAGGAACTCCTTGCATATGATCGAGACTCGCCCATATTCTTGTGGGATATCCACACAGAAAACCCATGCATTGTTCCTGAAGACCGACAGCGCATTCGCCGGGCAACAGTAGGTGGCATTATTATTATTGCTGGGTTCATACTCCGTCGTCCGTCTGCGGAAGCTTCCATTATTGAAGCTGCGGTTCGCGCATGTGACTCGCATGCATTCACATGCTTCGTACGGCTAGCCCTGAGTCTGAGCTCGCCCCCAAGCCCGCACGCCAATCAGGCCGCACGCAAAGGCAGCGCGGTTTTCCCACGCCGCCCCAGGTAATTCCGCCGCCCTCGCGCCCTCCACAGCTTCCCCCGCCAAGCGGCCGAACCGCGGTTGCAAATGCCTCTGTCGTGGGCTGATTCGGATTGCTGTGATTGGCTCCGCCAAACGCTCCGAAACCCGGGGGAATACGGTGCTAGTATGTCCGTACGCGCGTCTCAGAAATTAAACGGCTCCTGATTGGCTATGCGGCGCGGTGGGCGGTAATATTACGGCGGCGTTTCCGTGGGGTGGAGATACCTCGGCCGAGATGGGGTACGGCTGTCTTGTGGTTGCCCTGCGCAGCACGAGTGAGAGGCAGCCAAATCAAATGCCAACTTCCTCCGACGTTCTCTCTCCCTTTCTTCTCGTCTTCGTCCTCAGTCTCTTCTATTATTCTGCTGCTGCTACTCTCTCGCCTTTTTTCTTCCTTTGTACTGTGCAATCATGACTACCTCCCAGAAAGTGATCGTTGTTGGCGGTGGATGTAAGTACCTTGCCCGAGATTCCCCCTCGCTCAACGAAGTGCTGATTTTTCTGAATAAGTGTCCGGTCTGAGTGCTGCACATACTGTCTACTTGAACGGTGGCAACGTATTAGTCCTTGATAAGCAAAGTGAGCTCCGAAAGCGCTTTCTCTGTCGCATTGAGAGATTGCCATGCTAATTCGCCTCGCCTCCAGATTTCTTCGGTGGCAACTCCACAAAAGCTACATCTGGCATCAACGGTGCCTTGACGAGGACGCAGGTTGATCTCGGCATTGGTGATAGTGTCAAGCAGTTCTATGAGGATACCTTGAAATCTGCCAGAGATAAGGCTCGCCCAGACCTTATCAAGGTCCTTACATACAAATCTGCGGCTGCCGTAGAATGGCTCCAAGATATCTTTGATCTTGACTTGACACTTGTTTCGCGGCTTGGGTACATGATCTTGCACCCCTTTGTTTCGCTGATTGTTGCTAATAACCTGGGGTAGTGGCCATTCGTTCCCTCGTACTCACAGAGGTCATGATGCCAAATTCCCTGGCATGGCCATCACATACGCTCTGATGCAGAAATTGGAAGAACTCACAGAAAAAGAACCGAACCGCGTGCAGGTCCTGAAGAAGGCCAGAGTGACTGGTGTCAACAAAGAGGGCAACAAAGTCACCGGTGTCACATACGAGTACAACGGTCAGACGCACAGTGCTGAGGGTGTTGTTGTGCTAGCTACTGGTGGATACGCCGCAGATTTCACAGAAAACTCCCTTCTGAAGAAATGGCGCCCCGATACATTCAACCTCTCCAGCACAAACGGTGTTCATGCTACTGGTGATGGACACAAGATGTTGATGTCCATTGGTGCCAATGACATCGACATGGATAAAGTACAAGTCCACCCCACTGGCCTCGTGGATCCTAAGGATCCCGGCTCCAAATGGAAGTTTTTGGCTGCTGAAGGTATGCGCACTTTCGAGATGGGTTTTGAATGTAGTGAACTAACTGGGCTCCAGCGCTTCGTGGCGAGGGTGGTCTCCTGCTCAACAAAGATGGCCAGCGCTTTGCTGACGAACTTGGCCACCGCGACTACGTTTCCGGCGAGATGTGGAAGGAGAAGGAGAAGGGTAAATGGCCCATCCGCCTTATTCTCAACAGCAAAGCTTCCAACATTCTTGATTTCCACACCCGTCACTATTCCGGCCGTGGTTTGATGAAGAAGATGACTGGAAAGGAGCTTGCTCAAGAAATTGGCTGCGGTGATTCTGCGCTCAAGAGAACGTTCGATGACTACAACCAAATTGCCGACGGCAAGAAGAAGGATCCCTTCGGCAAGAAATTCTTCCACAACTTGCCATTCTCTATTGATGACACTTTTCATGTCGCTGTGATGGAGCCAGTTCTCCACTTCACCATGGGTGGTATTGAGATCAACGACAAGGCCCAAGTTTTTAACCAGGACGGCAAGCCATTTGACGGCTTGTTCGTCTGCGGTGAGCTTGCAGGTGGTGTTCACGGAGCTAACCGTCTCGGTGGCTCTTCTCTCCTTGGCTGTGTCGTCTACGGTCGTGTTGCTGGTGACTCCGCCAGCGAGTATCTTTTCCAGCAACTTCTTTCCAACCCAAGTGCAACCGCACAAACCCGTCTGAATCAGATCTCGTTGCACATTGATCCCTCCCAGCCTGGAAAGATCTCGGTCGAATGGACCGCTCCTGGCGATGGTAAAGGCCAGGCAAGTATCACTGCCCCAAAGCCTGATACCTCTGCCGCCGCCCCTTCTGCAGCTCCAGCTGCTGCGCCCGCCGAAGCTGAGCCAGCTCCAGCTGCGGATATTTCTGATTTCAAAGTTCCCGAGAAAGAGTTCAGCATGGATGAAGTTTCCAGACACAACAAGAAGGATGATCTATGGATCGTTGTTAAGGGCGTTGTGATGGATGTCAGCAATTGGCTTGACGAACATCCCGGTGGCCCGCAGGCTTTGTTTAGCCATATGGGTAGAGATGCCACAGAAGGTAAGCGACATTCCCCTCGTTCAGGTTACCATATTGTTTTACTTATATATCTGGTTGTTAATAGAATTCGAAATGCTCCACGATGACGAAGTCATTCCAAAATATGCCTCCGAAATCGTCATTGGACGTGTCAAGGGACAGACTCCGAGCCTGAAGTTTTAAGCCACTAGTTATTCTCGGGCTTTCTTCTTTTTTCCTATCAGTAAATTGGAGCTATTTGCCGACTATACTCTCATCCTGCCTTTGGGCTCCTTCGTATTTAAAAGGCAAAAGAGCGGCCTTTTAATTATCTCTTTTAGTGTATACAATGATATCACATTTCGAATCTCTTATGCAGTCTTTGGATGTTTATAGGCTATATTATAAGAATGTTATCAAGTTACTTCCCTTAACGCGCTCTAAAATATCAATGCATGCTTCTTCAATACACGGTTCGTCTCAAGTATACCCCCGGCCGTTCGCCTACAATGTTATTCATTTGCACAGAGGCCATTTTTAACCAACGCCATGTAAGAACAAGCAATTAATCAACCGGGTTCCTCTCTCGTAAATGCGCGAGTACCATTCCCAGCCTCCTCACTGCCGGGCCCTTGTATAGGTCTCCCCCATTACCAATCATCTTCCGCTCTTCTACCTCCTTCCTCGCTTCCAATGTATATTCCTTCAAAGCCCCACCCCATACGGAATCCGTATACGAGGCATCCAGCTCCAACCACTCCGACACTGTCGGTACAGAAGTCAGATGCTGTTCAGGGACAGTAGAGAGAAATGACTGGATATCCGGCACAAGAGAGAGCGGCGAAAGGGGTTGCATTGAGGCCGGAATAGGAGTGGGGGCGAGCATGGGGGACGGTGGAAGGGAGGATGACGGTGCGAGGGGATCGAAGGCCGGAGAGTCCAGGAGGGACAGTACGGCGGAGCCGTCGGCTTGAGGGGCGGATTCGATGAAGATAGGGGTAGGTATGGGATTGGAAGAGACGTCTTTTGATTTTCCTTTGGCAGAACGTATTGGGATTTCGACGTGGAAGGGTTGTTCAAAGTGGTGCCATAGTTCCTGGTCTTCAGAGCTCACGTCCGTGCGGATTGTTCGAAGAGATTCGGATTGTAAGCCCGAGTGGCCTTGGGACGCAGATGCGGCAGCGCTTTGTCTATACGGCGACGATCCATTTATTATTCCCTGGCTTGACGATTCTCCAGTTCGCGGGGCTCCGGGTTGCGGGAAATCAGCTTTTGCCGAACTAGCAAGACTTTGGGAGAGGTTCGAAGACAAATTATCTCCAAAAGCGGGCGATCGAGTATTTAGTACTGTATCCTGGAAGAGTCCGGTAGCGGAGGATTGGATTCTGCTAGCGAGTGAGGGTTGTGTAGACTGCGTGGATGGTGTATCTGAGTCAAGCACCGTGCCTGAGTTAGGGGAGGAACTTTCCTTGCTGTCGTGCACGCCATTAGGTCCAGGATGATTTTCGCTCATTTTTATGTGGTTGTGGCTTTCGGGCGACGACTGTCGAGATCGTGTGTTTCCGTTTGATATTCAGACGGAAGCTCATTCATCCCGATGAGGAAGGCTATCACATGCCTGGGCAGTTTGGCGGTAGTCTAGATTTTAACCGAGCATATTTCTATAACTATCAAAGCCCTAAGTTTTGAACATGCAGCTAGACTTCTCGAATCCTGGTCTACCATTTCAAATTCACCATTGCCCACGTTTTTGATTCCCCCCTATGGTCACTGAGATGCCTTACTGATTCTCTAGGCTCGCCGACCGGTTTCAATGCTCCCATGTCCCTATAGGATAGTATCCCGTGCTCGAAATATCTATGCCCATAGGAGTGAATGGTGACACCTTGATAAGGCTGGTTGAATGTTCGGGTGTGGCACCGAGGGTCACTGATCTCTCTCCTTTCAGGCGTATTTATACTTCGATGTCCTAAGGTTCAGCTGCTTTCCATTTGATCCGTTCATGGGCTGGGTCCCACGAAGCTAATTATAGAAAAGCCAGTAACTGAGTAGTTCTGAAAGGATTCTGGCATCAGAATCATCCTCTTTGTGATCTACTCCGTAATACTTTAGGCTACTTGTTATCCGTCACTGATTTTCACTGAGTTCCATGGCACCGATTGTTCAGTATGTAGTTAAGCGCCGTCATGCTTCTCGACTAAGGTCTGCGCCTTGATCCTCGACATCTAGCTACACAATCCTTTCTATCCTTCTTGGGGGAACTGTGTGTAGGGTTCTGCCATCATGGTTTAAAGCCTGAACTTTCACTAGCCGTTGCTTTTTGTCTTGACGAGTCTTCATGGGCTTGTAACTATTCCGTAGGCCTCCCTAGCAAGTTATATGTAAGTATGTGATCGACAAGCATCGTGGTGACTCGTGATACGAGGCAATACCCCCGAACCATTAGGAGTTAACCGCCATTTGGCAGCTGTGGCTAGCCAACTGCATGCTGTCACATATGTAAATGCTTCCCTTCTAGAGCCTGCAGTGACTCGCTGTCAGTTTGTAACAAGTAGATTGAAACATTCATGCTGGTTCATTATAAGTGCACGCGGCTCATGCCTCAACTTGTAACAACAAAAGATCTGCCCATCCTGTTGCCATTTCCCAACCTTTCTGCAAAGGAACAGAGGAGCACGCTGCGCAAGGTGTTCTTCTGGTTTTTGGTTGCCTGTCGGGAGCCTGGTGTTCAGCCGTCATAACAAAGTTGGGGTGGCTATCTCGTGCTGCGCCAGCGCTTGTTTTCTTCCCCCCCAAAAACCCAGAACCCTCCCCTCCATCTACAAGCTTGCTGAGTACCACCCGCAACAACCTCCTCCATCCACTAGTTTGCCTTCTGATACTTGGCTTCATTCCTGTTTCTCTCCTATTCGCGATATCTTCAGCAATCTCCTCTCCCCTAACCCTTCCAGCATTGTGCTGCTCCACCGCTTCTCCTCGCTGATACAACCCCGATTACCGCTGATTGTTCACCTGCTCTCTCTCTCTCTCTCTCAAAATCTAATTCTCACTATACTCTACTAGCTATACCCTTCCCTCCTTTGCAGCTTGTGAGTGAGAAGATCTTCCTTTTGGATATAACTATTGCTTGCTACCCCTGTTACTTTCCCGTCACTCTACCGTTACTTCACATTGAGCTCCCCGTCACTTGTGAGTATTAGTGTGGCTGGGTCTCTTCTCCTCCATTGCACATATCTTATATGTACTTTTCATTGCATATATACAGAACTTCGATCCCTTACTTCATGCCCACTAACATTACTGTTATGCGCAATAGTTTTCAGACCGAACTGCTTCAGACCGCAACCACTTTGGGACCGAACCCTTCTCACAGCCTACCCCTCTACACTCTTCATACAACCTCTGTCATTGAGGCTATCTCTATTAAAAGTTTTGTTTATAACATCCACTAGAACTCCAAACAGCACCTGTGCTACGGTGAAGGAACAATCACTTTGTTTTGGGCCGTGAAATTTGATAGTTGAAAGAAAAGAAGAAGTCTAGGAATATGGTTGACGGGGAGCCAGGTTCACCTACCTGGAAGTTTACACAGTATGTTTCTACCCTTATCTATCTCTTGGATCATGAGTGTACGGTTCCAGGCCTCATGTGGATATTTCAATTCCAATCTTGAACTATAATACAACTATACTGTTTTTTTCGGGGAGACTCTGTTAACCATCTGAAAGATGCTTTGGCGACAAAGGCGACGTTGAAGACATCACCGAAGGTACGTCGGGACTTCTTATATATAATCTTGTTCGAAACTCTAGCTGTTTCATACTGCTATTATACGTCCAGCTGACTTGATTTCTCCATTTGAAGCCGATATCATCTCCACCGTCGAATTTGATCATACGGGCAACTACCTGGCAACTGGTGACAAGGGGGGCCGTGTAGTATTATTCGAGAGAAATGAAACCGTGCGTCTTAATCCATATTGAATTTTAAGTCGCTTTATATCGGTGAGGGACTGACACGGCAGCTCCAGAAAAAAACATGCGAGTATAAGTTCCATACGGAATTTCAATCGCACGAACCGGAATTTGATTACCTCAAGTCACTAGAGATTGAAGAGAAAATAAACAAAATAAAGTGGTGCAGACGTCAAAATGCCTCTCATTTTCTTCTTTCGACAAATGACAAGACCATAAAGCTGTGGAAAGTATTTGACAAGTCGCTGAAAGTGGTTGCAGAGAACAACCTATCTCATGATCTTACGCCCGGTGGTGTTGGAGGTGGGGCCCCCCGAGCGCCGCGTGTGTCAATTAGGGATGCATCGGACCTCAAATTGCCCCGTATGACACACCATGATACCGTAGTTGCGGCTGTCCCGCGGCGTATCTATGCAAATGCCCATGCCTATCACATTAACTCTATATCTGTCAACAGTGACGGAGAAACATTCATCAGCAGCGATGATCTCCGTATAAACCTATGGAACTTAAATATTCAAGATCAGAGTTTCAACATTGTTGATATCAAACCAGCAAATATGGAGGAGTTAACTGAGGTGATCACCGCTGCGGAATTCCATCCCATCAGCTGCAATTGGTTCATGTATGCTAGTTCCAAAGGAACAATCAAGTTGGCTGACATGCGACTACGTGCTCTCTGTGATGAGCATGCAAAACGTATGTATCTGTGTCTTTATCTCTATCTTTACTGAAAGTATATTTTTTGAACATTGGATGCTCACTCCTTTGAATTTTGGTTATACAGAATTTGAGCAAGAAGAAGATGCAAGTCCCAGATCATTCTTTTCCGAGATTATTTCTTCCATCTCCGACGTTCGATTTTCTCATGATGGCCGCTATATCGTTTCTCGAGACTACCTCACTGTGAAGATTTGGGATGTTAATATGGAGCGTCAACCCGTGAAAACAATCCCGATCCATGAACACTTGCGCCCAAGGTTATGCGATACATATGAAAATGACAGCATCTTTGATAAATTCGAAGTCGTATTCTCTGGAGATGCCAAAAATGTGATGACTGGCAGCTACAATAACAATTTTATGATTTATCCCACGGACCCGGTTCAAGAGACCGAAGTTGTTCTCCAAGCCGATAAGACGGCTTTCAAGGCAAAGAAAGTTGGCATACCAACCCCAATCAACTCGACCATTTCCACCAACGCCGGAAAGAAAGGTGGATCGAGAGCTGGAAGTCCTGCCGGGGTCGGGGGCCGCATGCGTAAAGAGACGGATGCAGATCAAATTGATTTCAATAAGAAGATATTACATATGAGCTGGCATCCTTTTGAAGACAGCATTGCTATTGCTGCAACTAATAATGTAAGTCACGCCATCGAGTCTGCCATATCGAAACCGTCACATGCCTTCGAAACTAACTATCTTTAGTTATTTGTGTTTTCCGCTTTGTGAAGCACCAGACGCATTTCCGTATGTACCTAACCACGACTTTACAAAGCACAGCCCTCGAACAAATTCATCATGACCCTGTTCTCTTTTCTTAAAGTATCATTGCATTGTGGCCGTGGAATTGGAGCTTGTGGGCATTGGTTTGAGAGGAAACAAAAACCTTTTTCTATCCATAGACAACATTCTCCATGTACCTATCACCTGCCTTTATGCTCTATTAATATTTAGAGCGGAATCTGAGAGATATTGGGCACGAAAGGATGTGCATGAGCGCTGGCTAGGCGTATGAAGACGCAGCGGGTAATAAGGATGCTTTAGGGGTTAAAGAGCAGACCGAGCCGATAGCATATCATTGGAAAGATGACTTCTTGACAATTGACATTCGGCATCTTGGCAAGTCGTAAAACGAAGATCGTTTCTATTGTGTGGTTCAGCGTGACATGCCTCAAATCTGGTTATAGTAGTATCTATTTTAGGTAAACATTTACTTCAGCATCTCAGCGTAGAAGGTTGTCGAAAGTGATTCGCAGTTATAGGGAGCTGCCCAAGTTCTAGACATTCCCTTCATGTGTATTCCGTATGTAGTTTCAATAGACACCATAGTGGATGGACTACATATAGTGTATTACCTTCCGTGCCTTTCACATACGACCACAGGAAGTGGAATACAGGGCTTCCCGTCCGCTCAGCCGTACTTAAGCCACTTGCCGGCCGGCTAGTAGTTGGGTGGGTGACCACCAGCGAATCCCGGCTGTTGTATGTTTTTGCTTATCTGTTCTTTCCTCCCTCACCTGGCAAGGTGCGCTCGCTGCTCTAATTCTCCCGAATTCCCCTGCATTCCCGCGAATGTATTACCTCATGATCTCATCCCCTCAGACGCGTGCTGCTAAGGTTCTTTAGCGCAAATTTAGTGTTTTGAACTAACCCATTCTAGTAATTCTGCCAGAGCCTGACCAGCACAGCATCTGAGCTTGCCTCATAACCTCAGACCTTCACCATATGTTGAAGAGCCGTCTCCTACTAACTAGGGTGGGGCTATGCCAAGATACACTAGGCTGAATTGAGACTTCTCTTCAACATCCATTGAAGGTCTGAGCCAGTTTTCATCACTGCAACACCACTTTTCTTCAACTATGACCATTCAATAACTCAACCACCACATTTAATACTGTCAAAAGCAATGCGTATCATTGTTGAGAAATAGGTGAGCAACCACTTTGTCCAAAAAAAAAATCAAAAAATTTACTAATTCTTTTGGTATAAGACTTCTCCCAAGGCCACCCATTTTGTGATGGGTGCAGTCTGAAATTTCCATTTTGCTCAACCATTCAACCACCACAGCTCTTAGAATCTTCATACTAGAGCTGAGAGTAGCTGATAGTTATACAAAGTTATACCCAATTTAAAATTTTTATTTATTTGAAAAACCATGGAGTAATCATCCTCTACCTTGTATTTCCCAATTGGGTAACCAAACGGAAAAATCTGGCGATGTGGAGCAGGTTGAACCAGATGTAGTAGATATTGTAGACCTGAAGTAATAAAGGGAGCCCATAGTAACTCATATTGTATCAAGTTCTTGAAATCAGACATTCAATGTTGAGATTATCAGCTCAAATCACAAATTCCAAATTTGTATGGGAATTCCAGAGTTCCTCCTATTTTTGTGAAAACCAGCTCAGATGCTGTGCTGGTCAGGCTCTGGCAGAATTACCAGAATGGATTAGTTCAAAACACTAAATTCACACTAAAGAACCTTAGCAGCACGCATCTGAAAAGATGAGGTAACATCTGAGCTTGCCTCATACCCTCAGATCTTCCACTTTGGATGAGTCAGAAATGGGCTAGGCCCAATGTAGTGTAGCATAATTATAAGCTTTGGAGCTAGACTCTTATGGATAATTTCTGCCACATTCTGTGGAAGATCTGAGTCAGTTTTTTGCATTTTGTTAGAGTTCTCTGACCAGATGTTGAACTTAGTGAAATTTTGAATCTCTGAAACAGTCTGCTCAATGTCTTTAATCATTCACTCTTCACACAGTTCACATTTTATCATCAGAATACTTTCATAGTTATCTTTATTGAATCTTGAGTCAGTTATTTATCTTCAATGTCTCACTCTTTCATTCAGAATCATCTGACAAAATGACTGTGCATCATCTTTCTTCACTTCAGTTTTCAGACATTCTCAGATCTGACTGTCAGCAAATGATCTCTCACTTAATCAGCAGTCAGAGCTTAGCATGCTCTGACATCAGAGATCTCTTGCTCTGTTATTTAAGAAGACAGATGATGTTAGAGCAACATACTGACATCTGAGTGTCACTCATCAGTTACATCTGCACATCTGAAACTGTCTGTTGATATGATTATTTTCTCCAACAGTGACTTGACCAAGTGTGAAGAATCTAATGAGACTAGTGAAGCTGAGCAAACAGCTGATCAATCAGCTTTAAATTTCTGATGAGTTCAGAATTTTATTGAGAATCTGCTTATGTGCAGTGAGAGCAGTGACTCTGATAGCTCAGATCTGAATATCATTGCATCTGAGTTGGAGAAGAAGAACTTAAGTCTGTTCAGCATACAGATCAGTTTCAATAGTTTCACAGATAGCTCATTTAATGAGAGTTTCTCTCAGACAGAGTCACAATTCTTGAAAGATGCTCTTCAGCATCTGTTGAAGTTAGATAAGTGTTTATCAGAGTGTAAAAAGATTGACATTATATTTCAACTGCTTTGATGTCTTCAAGTGTCTGTTTCTTCACTGATTCAGCAATGAATTCAGAGTGATGAATCAAAGTCATTCTATATGCTCAAATGAAGAGTCAATAATCTGATCAGTGTGCTAGAAAGAAATGACTTCTTTCAGATTGCAGTGATTCATAGTCAGAGTCTTCAGCACACAATGTTGAATTAAATAGTGCATTTTATCTGTTGAAAGTTGACAGTTCTTCAGAGTCAGAGTCTCTTCTTCTGTCACTTTCATATGATCTGTTTAACTGACAACATTAGCATTGATAATCTTGCTTCCATGATTGAGCAGATGACACTCATGTTAACACATGTGATTAAAGAGTTTGCTCACTTAAGTCATCATCAGCATACTTATAAATATTGTCTGCATCAGAGCTGACTGACTCTGATTGCTTTCATTCTGTAGTTGAATCACACTCAGAACACTGCTAACACTTTTGCTTGGCTATTAAGTCTTTATTTTATGAATATGAAAGTTAAATGAAGAGTTTTTGCTGTTCTGCATGATCTAGAGATCATTAATAGTTACATGACTCTTTGTGACAAGTGACTGAACATAACTACTATTGTCAAGATCAGTGAATGATTGTTTAATCATCATTGTGAGCAGCAACTGATCAGTTGTCACAGTGTCAGCTTTAAGAAGACTTCAGATCAACTAATGTTGTTATAATTGATAATTTTGAGTTTCAAGAGAATATTCAGCATCAGATCATTGATGACAAGAATTCATTTCACTCTTATATCACTGATCTCTATGTTCAGAATCAGATTTCATCAGATGAACTTTGTCAGAGCATGTTGAATTTGTCTTCTTTGAATCAACTTAACTATATTCATTTCTTACAGCAAAATCAGAATCAGATTGAGATTGAATTGTGTTGCTATTTCATTTCTGAGACTCTGTTTGCAGCCTACCCAAATGAACTGGCCAATGTGTTTGAAACAGAAAGTGATTTGTATAGTTAACTTATTCTACTGAAGATCAATAAACTGCATCTGTCAGAGCTGATGTGTACATCACTCTTAGATTCTATACTGATGTCCAAGAGCACATATGATGATCTTTATAAGATCTTCTGTACCATCTTTGCTGAGCAGTTCAACATGGATGAGAATAAGAATTTCCATGAGTTACTGTATCTAGTTTATGATGATCAGAAAACATCAGTGTTCATCTGAGACTGTCAGTGCTGATGATGTGAGATTCAGAGAATATATGATACTCACTGTTGAACATTGTCAGTGTTAGCAATGTGGCATCTTCAGCTCAACTTCTTATATATGATGATGAAGATCTTCTATGAGAGAGTTGAGTTCTCTCAGTAGACAACATCATTGTTCAATCACATTAATCATCTTCATCAATGTAAGGTGGCAGCCTATAAGATAGGTGCTAAAGGACAATGTATCAAGTCTACAGTGTAAGAAAGGTAACTAAGTTGCACTTATAGTATCAAAGTAGTATTGCTATATGCACAGTAAGAGAAGAACTCATCACTGACCTTCTGTGGGAGAAGATCAGTGTGGCTTTAAGTACTAGTGAGATTAGGGCTATGCTAACTAATAAGATACTAGCTCTTAGGGCAGATCTAGCCTACAGTGGGCATGACAATTGCTTCTCTTTCTTGTAGGCATTGTCCTTGAGGCTCTAAAATGTAGCATAGTGATATAATTTGGCACCAGATTGTGCTATTGGCATTCTAATTTTGAAATATTAAAGTGTATAGTTAATAATTTGCAATAGTGTTGGGTGTTGGTGTGGGTGGAGCCCACAGTGTTGCAGTGTTGGGGTGTGGTGTCAGTGTTTTGTTGTGCTGGTGTCAATTGGGTGTTGGCATTTTGTTGTGCTGGTGCTGATCAGATAATTAGTGGCGCCACACCACCAGCATTAGCATGAGTGTTAGTGTGGTTGATGGTTGTGTAGTCATCAGTGTTAGCATGATGCTAACACTTAGTGAATATCAATAACATCAGTGTGTGAGCTTTCTCTTCTTCTTTCTTCACTTGAGCATCATCACATCACCTCCACTGCCATGTCTTGCTGCTCCTCTTGCTGTGCTGCCTCACCACCCACCATTCTTCACATTGTGTGAGTACTGAATTGACCTGTTCATGCCACTTTGGCACTCTTGTTGATGCTAAGTGATGTGATGAGGGTTTTGCTTTTGTGTGTTGTGGATTGTTGATCCACAACATTATTGCACAGTAGCATTTGCTACTGTTATTTTGATTTTGCTAATGGCTCT